TTTTTCAAAGTGCCCTGTGTATGGATTTTTGTGTTTTCGTAATAGACAAAAACTCAAGTGTGGGTTTTTAAATATTTGGAAAATTTTGAAAATGATATGCCGTCATTTTTGTTTTACCTCATTGTGGAAGAGTAGTAACATTGTTTGGCAACATCTTCCAGACATTTCGATTTAAAGCTTTCGTGACTGCAAGGATTCATCTTCTTGGCTGTTTCGGTAAAGTCACATAGAATGGAAATAAAATAATAAAAATAAAACATAATAAAATAAAATTATCACGACGTTTCGGCCACAACACAAGTAGCCTTCTTCAGGTGAAGGAACAGAACTGTCGGGACGACAGCGCTTCAATGAACACTGCTAAGCTTCGCAGCATCTTTTAAGCTGGGTGGGAGGAGCAGAGCGCCTTGACAAAGGAGTTTACATATCAACAGAAGAATTTACCATTGAAATAGCTGTGTTAAAGTCAGAAATTAGCATGTAACTGGGAGATTAGCATGATTACTCATTGGTTTTTTCGGTAAAGTCACGTATGTAGAAATACAATAAAATTATATTAAAATAAATCAATCACGACCTTTCGATCACAATGCAAGCGATCTTCATCAGGTGTCAAGAACAAATCACGGAGGTAAATACAACAAAAAGATGAGAGACGAGAATTCAACAAACCTGAAAAAACATTACGTGAAGCACATCCAGTCAGGCCAACAACACAGTTAGACACTTCCTGGCGGACCACGAATTTCAGGAGTGTTAATTTTCGTGTTCAACCTTTGGATTGCACATACCAGCATAGATAGAATGAAAAATACGAGGTACACGGTCAGTAGAAATACATATACAAGTCCACCAAGAGGTAAGGAGGGAGGAAAGACGAACAGGGAGGCAGAGAGAGGGGGGGGGGGGGCGGAGGGATGAACAGAAGCTTAAATAGGAAATACGGTTGGAGGGGGGGAGGGGCCAGAGCGAGAGCGGCAGCTCAAACACGCACATCTTACACATACAAAACGGCAGCTCAAAAAAGGACCACCTCTTGTAAATACAAAACGGCAGCTCATGATGTTAGTGTGAGGGATTAGCATGTAACTGGTCACGGAAGTAGCTATGTTAAAGTCAGAGTTTACATATCAACAGAGGCATTTAACATAGTGACGCTAAAGAACTGCAACTACCCAACTATCATACAATAAGCCGATGTGAAAAACTAAGTATAAACTACATCAATATAATAAATGTACTCAATATCGTCTTCAATAAGTTGAGCTATTAACATAAAGTAACTGGGTATACACTACACTATATAATGAATACCATATAGTAAACTGATAAAAAAACTAAAATATCAATATAATGCATAATGTTAGAGCTTACATTGGGCTGTGTATACGATATTATACAATGTAGTTTAGATTGGAAGGTATAACATTGTAATGTATAGTAGTCTAGTTTATAACATAGTTGTAACGGAACACAGGACAGGCAGCACATCGTGGCTGTTTCTCCCCCCTCCTCCGTTCCGATCATAGATGGACTCGTCCGTCTGAACAAAGCTCGTCGCTTTCCGTGGTGCTAACGTTGAAAAGAAAAAAAAAACGCCACTTTTTTCGACATAGAATTGTAATGTATAACGACTTATTGTTAGTAGCTCAGCTGATTGGAGAGTATATTGAGTTTATTGATAACATTAATGTAGTTTATATTTTAGTTTTTTATCAGTTTACTATATGGTATTCATTATATAGTGTAGTGTATACCCAGTTACTTTATGTTAATAGCTCAACTTATTGAATATATTGAGTACATTTATTGTATTGATGTAGTTTATACTTAGTGTTTCACATCGGCTTATTGTATGCTAGTTGGGTAGTTGCAGTTCTTTAGCGTCACTGTTAAATGCCTCTGTTGATATGTAAACTCTGACTTTAACATAGCTACTTCCGTGACCAATTACATGATAATCCCTCACACTAACATCATGCTAATCTCCCAGTTACATGCTAATTTCTGACTTTAACATATTGCTAATCCAACACTTTAACACAGCTATTTCAATGCTAAATTCCTGTTGACATGTAAACTGCTTTGTCAAGGCGCTTTGCTCCTCCCACCCAGCTTGAAAGATGTTGCGAAGCTTAGCTGTGTTCATTGAAGCACTGTCGTCTCGACAGTTCTGTTCCTTTACCTGAAGAAGGCTACTTGTGTTGTGACCGCAACGTCGTGAGAATTTTATTTATGTTTTATTTTTATTATTTATTTCCATTCTACGTGACTTTACCGAAAGAACCAAGAAGATGACTTCCAGACATTGTCGATGTATTGATATGTATGCAGCTGGTCTGATAGCCGTGTTTGGAAATGTTGACAAGTATTGGATTGTTTCAATGATGTGATCACTCTTAAAGTGTAAAAAACCATTCCTAACAACCATTTTAGCCAACAACCATTTTAATTACCTGCCAAAATCTGAATTCCAGAAAAATGTACAATTACAAAGGTATGAGACTGTTACTTGTTAGTAAATGTTTATTTATAACATTTTGTCTGCTGAAATACTTAATAAGTGCAACACATTCACATGACAAAATCCATCAGTATGTAAGAACTTGCGTCGAGTGAAATACGATAAGTATTTACCAGTAATAAAGTATCACTACCTAAAACGTTTTGATAACAAAAAACAAGGTGACCATGTGGTCCAGGCCTGAAACATTCTACAATTCTCTCATCTTAAAAAAAATATCACTGAACAGGAAGAAAATACTCTTTGTTTTTTTTTTCAGTAAAGTCACGTAGGTAAAATAAAAAAGAAAACAATTAAATCACGACGTTTCGGAGGCAACACAAGCTTCCGTCTGCAGGTGGAACAGTCACAGCAAGATCGCTGCATCAAGATCTTGCTGTGACTGTTCCACCTGAAGACGGAAGCTTGTGTTGCCTCCGAAACGTCGTGATTTAATTGTTTTATTTTATTTTACCTACGTGACTTTACCGAAAAAAAAAACAGTGAATCCTTGCAGTCACGAAAGGTTCAAATCTAGGAAGAAAATAATACATAAAATACTGTCTTTTTTGGGCTGTAGGTTGCATGTAATTTTAGCATTTTAGGTGTTGCATACGACTTCACATTTGTTTCTCATGGTGTTTTAAACTGGAATGCATTTTTCTAATTGTTTTAAAATGCAGTTTTAATATAAAATGATTGCAAGACAAATGTAATGTTCTACAAAATGACTTGTACAATTCACAACACATCCTTCAATAGCTCTGTGGCAACTCTTCCTTATTATCTGAAACTTCATTGTTTTTTGATTCCTCCAGCATGTCCCCTCAGCTCTTTCACAATCTAACCTGGCCAGGGTGAAGCAGTCTCCACGAGCATCACCAGTAAACTGTCCTGCGCCACACTAAGTGCATGCTGGGATTACGTCTCTCTCCCTCGTACAAATTACCGTTTCACTGCTTCCCCGTAGCTCTCAATGATTCTGCCAATCATTACAGTTCTTCCCCTTTCAAAGCAGACCAACTCTCCTACGTTCTAAGAGGATGGGACACGCAGAAGCAGGGGCAGAGCCACAGGGGGGGCTGCAAAATGCTGCAGGCTGCTTGAGCTTTCGAACTTATCGAACTTATTAGGCACATCAGCGGCTCCGACCTATTAATAAACTCCACGTTCACATCCAATAAAATTTGTTTTATACATTTGTGGCGCCCATTGGAAAACATACACTGGATATCTCAGAATATTGAAGTCAGCCCCCCCAGAGTCAAAATCCTGGCTCCGCCCCTGCGCATAAGAGTTTGGTTTCGCATATTCCTTTAAATTTTTAACTCCACTCCATGGAAATCTGCTTCGGAATACCTGTACTTTACATTTTAACTTAGATTTTCAATTAAAACATTGGTAAGCATGTGCTAATCTTCTTTGATTTAATAAAGCATCACATGCAACACGTGTTACTGGGTGATGGTTTACATGTCTAAACAACATCAATGCAATGTTCTTAAGGGACCGTCCATAAATGACGTCACGCACCTAGGAGGGGGGGTCAGACATTTGTGATGATGTGTGACGAGAGGGGGGGGGTTTGAGAAATGTGACGCCACATCAAAATGTGCAACTTTAAAAAAATATAGACAACACGTTCTACTTAATTAAATAGACTTTTTAATAAATGTTTTCTCATACAACAGAGTACAGCGCCACATTAAATACACAATAGTGTAAAGCGATTTGAAGCATGTTTTATTTTTAAAATGGAAATATGGTTTTGGGGGGGGGGGGGCAGAGCTTTGTGACATCATATTTGAGGGGGGGGTCTGACTTTTTGTGACGCCGTGTGACGAGGGGGGGGGGTCAAAAATCGTCCAAAATCACGTGACGTCATTTATGGACGGCCCCTAATGGAATACATTATTTTAAAATGGTAGATACGTGCCAGGGGAAAATGAGTCGAGATAGATGGCATAAAGAGGTAAACAAACCAATAGGACTCTCAAACCTTCAACGCCAAGTGGGGGAGGAGGATGTGAATGGCGACCGGGGTCGCTTCGTGCTTGTGCTTCAGCTGCAAGGAGCGGTGGCTGATGCTTCTGTGCAAAATTGCTCGTTTAGATGTCACAAAAAACACAACACCTTGAAATACAGCAACGTTCCTGAGAAAAATCTTACTTGGCATCAACTCGGTTGTAAGTTCAATTTCAAGACCCTGTGTATCCACGTAAGACTAATTCACTCTTGCAAATTATACCTTCATTGTCCCTTGAGTTCTCACCTGGTTAAAACAATATACTCGTACCAGAAGGCATGCCAGTTTCTAGGAGGGGATAACATAATCTAGGGCAAGTCGGTTGAATGAGAAACAAAACCTTTGCGTGCATTAGTCGTAAAATCTAATATGATCGTCAGCCATGGCCAATTAGCTGCTGGATGAAGGACTCTCCAAGTCGCCACCACCTCTCACGATCCTGCAATGTAAGAATGAGGATAATACCTGCACATACTTTTTACTACTCCCATCTCCTCTGTGGACATGCTCTTAGACACATTTCATTGGTTGCAACCCCATTATTATTCTTGACCATGAGCCATCATCTGTTCTCCCAGAGTGTTCTGGCCAAGCCCACCTCCACTCACTTTTCTTCACGGTGTCAATGTATGTTGAACTTATTTTGCACTGTTAGTAGCCAATCGTGCTAACCAACGTCATTAACCTCTGTTCTCTAATCCACGCATTCCACCTTCGTTCCTCAATGTAATTGTAACCTTACATCTCTCCTGGCCTATTGGGGGACTTTTCAATTTTTATTCAATTTTATCGTTAATGTGTTTCTGATCCGTACGTCACCACGGTTATCACGCACTGATTAAAATCGTTCATCTTTCCAAAAGTACCTGCTCTCATTCACCTCTTTCTTTCACGATTTCGATGCCGGTCCACTGAGCAGAACATCTCTTGTTATTAATCAGGGTTTAAAGGGAAGGAAAACTGTATCATTTGTCTACACATTGGGCACTGCCTGAAATATTGCACACAGTGATCGCACAAGCACGTGTGCCGACAAGGCAGGAGCACCCGGTTCACTTTGGCATTCTGGCAAACCACGCAGTCTCGACATGCGCCTCCCCGTCCATCACCGTCCTCCTCGTCCTGGGCAGCGACTTGCCCCTCCGCCCTGACCTCGGGCAACACCTGTGAGGTCACGCCCTCATCGCTTTGCGAATCCTCGGGCGCATCTGTTGACATGAACAGCCTCTGTAAATGGAATAACAAAAAGGTTACGTCTTGATATTTTAGAATATAAAATCACGATAATGAAAATTAGGAAAATGAGGAAAATTAAAAGGGGATGAAAATCGCAAACAAGTTAAAATAAAACAGACCTTTGTAAAATAAATCACGAAACAATGAGAACACCCATCAGGGAATACACAAAAGATTGATTAAGAGGTCACAATATAGGTGCATGGCAGACGTTCATTAGGTTATCTTCTTAGTAAATCACAAATAATAGCTTTTGAAGAGGAAAGTTAGAACCATGAAGCCTGTTTGCTACAGAATTGTAAAGAAACTTGAAGAGAGATTGTATACAGAGACTCTACAGCAGAGACATGAATATAATCATACCTCGGTATACGGCCGCTTTGGAATACGTCGAATTTGGTATACGTCGTGTTTTGACGAGGAAAAAAATGTCTTGGGATACGACGTCTTGCTTGGGATACGACGCGCTTGCTAGAACTTGTATGGGTCGGGATGAGTCACCGCGTACAGTACCCGCGTACACAATACTGTTACGGTTCTAACAAGCCGTAACAGTATTGTGTGGAATGACCAGACAATGTCACACTTCAGGAACATTCTTAGAAGAAGGCAAAAACAAACTTCAATGGACAAGTTTTTCGTAAAACTCAAACCTGGTGAGCCTCAACCAGGTCCAAGTCAAGAAAAAAGACAGAAAAGAGAAAAAAACCCAGAATGTCAGCTTCCTGAAGTTTTAATGGAAGGGGACTCTCCTTCCGAAAAATAACATCTCCTCATCCCATTCCTCACCACCATCCTCGTAGGCTATTAACTCCTCAGCAAGGTAAAGTGATGTTACATTTTATTTTTATTTCAATTTATATTAATTTATTTATGCATTTATTTAATGTATGTATGCATTTTAGTAATAAGTAGTGTCTCCATTATGTTATACAACCCCATTAATGTATAATATGCCATATAAAATATCATTTATTATACTCTGGAACGGATTATTTCCATTCCCTTTATTTATTATGGAAAAATTCGTTTGGTATTCGTCATTTTCGGTATAAGTCCGACCTTCTGGAACGAATTAACGACGTATACCGAGGTACCACTGTACCTCAGCAATACCTTGGAGGAAATTCGACACGGTGGCAACATTGAAGAGACATGGTTTCATGATGGCATATTCTCTATGTGTTTTGTGTGTAATCAGCATAGAATGTTTTCAAAATAATCATGGAAATAGCAATATGGATTTGATGCTTTCGTGACTGCAGGAATCCATACTTTTTGGTTCGTCCGGTAAAGTCACTGTAGTTAGAAATCAAATAAAACAAATACAATACGAAACGTCGTGATTTGTTTTATTTGATTATATTTCTAACTACGTGACTTTACCGAAAGAACCAAAGAGTAGCAATATGGATAACCAGACAATTTATCCTTCATATGTCTCCACATCATTATTTTGTATTATGTATATGATTTTGTATTGAACTTGTAAACATTTCTTAAAGAGGGTTCTTGCTGTAACATCTGATAGTTTAAAAGCATTGATTCTTGCAAGCCTGACTGGTCCAGAGTATGCTTTTGCTGAATTAATTAAGAAGCCCATGAAGCCTTCTTGGTTCTTTCGGTGAAGTCTTCTTGGTTCTTTCGGTAAAGTCACGTAGAATGGAAATAAAACAATAAAAATAAAACAAAATTAAATAAAATTCTCACGACGTTTCGGCCACAACACAAGTAGCCTTCCTCAGGTGAAGAAACAGGACTGTCCAGAAGACAGCGCTTGAGTGAACACTGCCAAGCATGGACAGCGTTTTTTAAGCAGTGAGGGAGGAACAGAGCGCCTTGACAAAGGAGTTAACACATCAATTAGCATGTTAGTATGAGGGACAAGCTTGTGTTCAGACGGACGAGTCCATCTATGTTCGGAACGGAGCAGGGGCGGGGGGGGGAAGAGGAGGAAACAGCCACGGTGCGCTGCTCTGTCCTGTGTTGCGTTATAACTATGCTATAAACTGGACTACTATACACTAGTATTGTATAGTATTTCCATTCTACGTGACTTTACCGAAAGAACCAAGAAAATGAATCCCTGCAGTCACGGAAGCTTTAAATCGAAGCCCATGAAGCTGATGGGTCGTGGACGAAATACTTTTATTTTTATGTGAAGATGGATATATGCAGGATACATGGTCTGCTGCTCATCTATTTTACTACTTACTTTCAGATCATACGAGAGCCCAGAGTGTGTGAGCAACAGCTGGTGCAGCACCCGGCAGGACACGCTATGTACAGGGTCTGGCAGGTGCACGCATGTCAGCAAGGCCACCTGTAATGCAGTGGCACCGTTAAAACCACACAAAAGACACCGCACAGAATGTCTATGCACAGCTTCCTCACACTGTGCACACCCGTCACATCGGTATCTTACATGACTGCCCGAGGACCACCGCCTTACGCTCTCGGTATTGCGAAGAGGCTCTGTGCTGTGTTCAGACCTGGTTCAGGTTTCCGGCCTCGATCTAGCGGTACACTTGTACTATGAATGTGTTGTCTTTCATTCTCTAAGTCTTTTTTCATACATGCGACAGTGGGATACCATACTCCCTGGTTCTGATTCATCCATAAGAGAAATATGCAACTATGCTTGCCTATGTGGTTTGGAATTCTCCTTTCCATAATAACGCATTTCACCTGCAAGTTACTCAAATAGATTCAACAACACAGAGGTGTACAGAACTGCATCTACAATTATCCAGACCACCAGCTCAACTGAATGTGTGACCTTGTTCTCATTTTGACTACCAACTCAAAGAGCTGAGAAAATATGGTCATCCCAACAAGGAGTAGTGAAGACAAATGTAGATCGGTTTTGTCCTGATCAGCACAGTACAGTCATCATTGTTCACTGCTGAAAAATGCCTCTTAGAGCCCCATATATAGAGAGGACTTGTACTTTTACATTATGGGAACACCTATTAGCACTTGCTACAGAAATGATAATTAAAATCTGTAAATTATGAGAAAATCCAGCACAACCATCTGCATTTGTTTCTATTGTGATGGATCTCGTTATTTACAGATTCAAATTAAATGACTCCAGGCAAATGACTGCAAGTACGCTGTGTGCGAGGTATCTGGAATTTGCCATCTCCATTACCATGTCCGGAGCCCGCGGTTGTGGCCGGTGCTCGGCGTGGGTGAGCAGCACGACGAGCGGGTAGCGGAGTCTGGGCACGCCGCCCAGGTCTCCCCCCCGCAGAGCGTCAGGCAGCTCCACTCTCTGCAGCACCTTCTCATCTTTTGATATTCTGACAAAAGGCATTAAGGAGACTTGCAAAACACTGTTATTTGTCTTTATCAGTTAAAACATGCCTATTAATTCAATCTCTGGTAATACTTGTGTGTCACAACAAGAAGGGCCCAGGTTCGATTCTCAACTTGGGTGCCTTTGTGGAGTTTGTATGTTCTACCCCTATTCTGCATTGGTATCCTCCAGGAGTTCCTCCCGTCACAAACAAAAAAAACATGTATTGCAACTGGTATTTGCCAAAGATTCCCATTATTAAAAATAACCTGCAAATTAATTAATTTGGAAATGGAAAGGTGTTTTATACCATATGTAAATCATGTGGCATGAGTCATCAGCAAGCAACTCATGGCATTTTGTAGCAATACGCATCAGATTGGCCATCAACACAGGATAAATGTATTTTCTGTGTAAAAACCCAAGACATTTTGTGACGTGTAGGAAAGATCATGCTGTAAAAATAAAAAAATAAATATACAAACAACATTCTATATAACAGCGGGAGGAGCTGTGAAATGAGCAACGTGACCAGGTGAGATTGAATCTCGCTGAAGGATACGCAAATTGCTCCCTGTGGAGGTAATCACCTCCCAGCGCCATCTCCATCTGCTGCGGGGAGCGGAGCGTTGGGAGGCGGCGCGCGTGGCCCTGCAGCACGGCGTGCACGGCGCCCAGCGCGCAGCCCCAGTAGCAGGTGAGGACGCACGGCACCAGGCAGTGCACGGACAGCGTCACGCCACCTGCACCAAGCCAAACACAATGGGGGTTGTGTCCATTCATCAATTACGTGCCACAGACTATCCACGTGACTTACGAGGACATGGGAAACACAACAGATCAGATAAACAACAAGATATAGGACATGATTGATGTTGTGGGGCATAACAGCGCAACCTACGCTGTGCCCTTCACGCAGACTCATTTGACCACTGATAGTAGCCAGCCCAGTGGCTGCCCAAACAATGGAACTGCGTTCTCTCCCAACAAGTCACTCCATGCCGTGCCTCTCCGCTTGCTGTACTCATGCACCTCCCATGCAATCTGCTTCTCTCACTCCAAATATCCCTTGTGCCATGTCAGCTCCACGTATATCCATGCGGAACCCATCTCCACTTCTCTCTATGCCATGTCTTTGCTTCGTCCAATCCACACATCTCTCGCTCTGGCCATCTCTGCCTCCCTTTCTCTATGCATCATCTGCATGCTTCTCAATGTATGCATTTTATACTGCTCACTTTACACATTCCCAAACTGCACTTGTCTCCACTGGTTCTCTATGTGGCACGGTACTAGACATGTCACAGTGACCACATAAGTCTGCGGTGAGAGGCGGAGACAGCACAGTGTGGGAGATGCACCGATTGAGAGAAGCACAGCACAGAGAAGCCACGATGCAGCATTAGCAACCATCACACTACGTGGAAGGAGGCAGAAGATGGATACAGATTGTAGATGTGTGCAGAGCCGGGAGAGGTAGAGACAGCAGTGTAGATGTGTGACGCGAGAGTAGCAGCAACACAGCACGGATATCTATTGTGTGACAGAAGTGGCGTGTTACTATTCGTTGACCCATGACTGACGCTCGATTCATGCCACAATGTTGGAGTAGATAGAAGTTCAAAAAAAAGTCCTAAAATTTGAGATGTATTGTAAAATATTGTGCATATATGCTTTAGCAAAACATGTATGTGTTGTCCTCTAGGGTGCAAACACGTTGCAACTCACCTGCGAGGGAGGCCGTATTTGAATCTGCTATGTCCAGGGCAAACACGCTGGAGACCCGCTGCATGCTCGTCTCGGGTACAACGGGCCAGGCGCCAAGATCTCCTGAATGATGCTCGAGAATGACAGGGAGACCCCAGTGCCACCCCAGCCTGACGGGTACATATGCGACACGTTAGAGTGCTCCACTCATCCTTCAATATCTTGTAGCTCTAAATATGAAGAACCCAGGGTATCTTAGAGATTCCAGGTTCCTCTGAAGTGGGTCTGGCGGCGCATTTGGTGCTATTGGAGGCATTCCAGTGTCCATTCCACCGCAACGTGAAGGGAATTGATACAAAACGGCGTCCACTGCCACCCCCTCCCTTAAAATGGGCTCCCACATTAAGAGGATGCCATCACTGGTAGGACTATCCTGCCTATGGGGTTTCTATCCCATGCAGCCTACAAACACACGTGCATACACACACACAATCATGATACAAGATATAGCTTCCTACAGGCACACAGGAACAAAGCACCAAATAATTGTTTTATATTGTCTTGCAAGGCACTTTGGGATGCGATGGCATTCAAATACAATTACACACACCAACAACAGCTGCCATTTGGCACTAAGCAGCGTCACCACTGACACAAGTCCTTGTGTCAAGTCCTTGTGTCAGGCTAGGTGCACTTTGGAGCCACGTGAAGTGCCGAAGATTTGCTGACAGGTCACGGGGCAAACCTAGGTGTTATAGGTTGACTGAGGTGCCTGGCATAATGCACCACCTGTGCTCCTTACTGTGCCAACTTTCTGAATTTTAGCCGCCCGGCACTCCGCTCGTTGTTGTGAGCGTCGCTCCTCTGCCTTCCGTTGTTGGAGGGCGACCGCCTCCAACTGACCAGTAGTGTCCGTCACCAGCCTCCTCCTTAGATGCAGATCTCGACACCGCTGGTACAATCGGCAAGTTCACTCAGCTCCACATCTTCTGTACCAGATCAGTCCATCTTTTATCTAGCCCGTGCCACACCAAGTCAACTTTTAAATGTTTACGTATAAATTAGGATATTTTTAATAATAAAGGGTTTCTGCCATCATTAGCCTCTACTTCAGCTTATGCTGGCTAACTTTGCACCAGGTTGGCCCTGGAATCATACAGGGCAATGTCCACAACTAGCGGACTGCGTTCTACTGCATCTCACTTTGCAAATTGGTGCAAAGTGGATGGGGCAAGGTCACAGCGAATATAATATTCCAGGTTCCTCTGAAGTGGGTCTGGCGGCGCATTTGGTGCTATTGGAGGCATTCCAGTGTCCATTCCACCGCAACGTGAAGGGAATTGATACAAAACGGCGTCCACTGCCACCCCCTCCCTTAAAATGGGCTCCCACATTAAGAGGATGCCATCACTGGTAGGACTATCCTGCCTATGGCGTTTCTATCCCATACAGCCTACAAACACACGTGCATACACACACACAATCATGTTACAAGATATAGCTTCCTACAGGCACACAGGAACAAAGCACCAAATAATTGTTTTATATTGTCTTGCAAGGCACTTTGGGATGCGATGGCATTCAAATACAATTACACACACCAACAACAGCTGCCATTTGGCACTAAGCAGCGTCACCACTGACACAAGTCCTTGTGTCAGGCTAGGTGCACTTTGGAGCCACGTGAAGTGCCGAAGATTTGCTGACAGGTCACGGGGCAGACCTAGGTGTTATAGGTTGACTGAGGTGCCTGGCATAATGCACCACCTGTGCTCCTTACTGTGCCAACTTTCTGAATTTTAGCCGCCCGGCACTCCGCTCGTTGTTGTGAGCGTCGCTCCTCTGCCTTCCGTTGTTGGAGGGCGACCGCCTCCAACTGACCAGTAGTGTCCGTCACCAGCCTCCTCCTTAGATGCAGATCTCGACACCGCTGGTACAATCGGCAAGTTCACTCAGCTCCACATCTTCTGTACCAGATCAGTCCATCTTTTATCTTGCCCGTGCCACACCATTTAGTCCTCTCTATCCAGCTAAATAGCCGCTTCTTGGGCATGCGGTAGCTGGGCATGCGGGCTACGTGACCCAGCCAACGAAGCCTCGCCTGCTGGAGGAGCTCAATGATGGGACTGTTCAGATCCTTTAAGGATCTGTGAGCTCACACAATCAAGTCTGGTTAAACCCAGGAAGAATCGTAGGCAGGCCTGCCTGAATGTTTCAACCCGGTGCCAATGTTCCTTCAGAGGGGTTCACGTTTCGCAAGCGTAGAGGGCATAACTGTGGCCGAGAAGACCCGGAGCATCGATTGGAGCGACAGGCCAGGTAGCTTCCACGTAGCGTTAGGCAGCCGATGCAAATATAACGCTGCTCAACTGATTCGGAAGCCACTGCTGCCAACCCGGAACTAATCAAAATCATACTCTTTGGTTCTTTCGATAAAGTTACGTAGGTATAAAATAAAATAAATCAATTTTATTTGATACCTACGCGACTTTACCGAAAGAACCAAAGAGTATGCATTCCTGCAGTCACGAAAGCTTCAAATCAAGATTAATCATAAGCACACTGCAAAGCTTTGGGAATTCCTCCACTCCCTACACAACTGCCCCATCAATCGTAAACACACACGCCGTTCCCGAACGAAGTGGCGGTAACGTCACCACGGCGCCTGTGCCTGGCTAGGTGCACTTTGAAGCCAGGTGAAGCGTGGGAGGGTCGCCGACACGTCAGACTCAGGTCCCATGGGTTGACTGCCCGAGATGACTGGCAAGATGCACCACACCACACAGCGTACGCAACGCACACGGCGCCCGGCACGATCCACACGCGCATTGAGCACGCACAGAGGTCGGTCGCTGCCCTCACCGCGCCATCACCCTGGCAGCCAGAGCCGCAAGGGCGACCACGAGCAGCGCGGCGCCCACGGGAAGCCACAGCGGTGGCGGAGCCTCCTCCTCGCCCTCCATGGCGACCGCGCAGCCGCCTCATCCCCGTGACGTCACCAACCAAATACGCTAAATGACGTCACGCACGCGCGCGTTACAGCGAGAGGGGGCTATCTTTGTGACGTCACTCGCAGCGGGCACTGGGAATGATCGTCTCCTGTTGAATCGAAACACTGCATATTTGCCCGAGGGCAAGAAGTTACGCAGATCTGAGCTCAGTTGTAAAAGAGGACTGCAGCTACATCACGGTAATTGCACAGTGCTGCTGTAGTTGTATTAATATCGAGTCCCATAGGCTGGCAACAATGCTATCGTGGGAGTGGATAGATTTTATGGCTCTTGGCTCACAGCTGTCGACGAGCAAGATGCCCACGTGGGTGCTGCTGCGCGTGGTGGCCGTGCTGTTTCTGTGGCTGGGATTCTGGTGGCTTCGGAGGGAGCAACGCGGTTTCCCGCCTGGTCCCAGAGGGCTGCCGCTTGTGGGGAACCTCTTCCAGTTGGACCTCAAAGCCTTGCCCGCGTCCTTAGACAAGGTACGTGTTTATTTTTTGTCCTTCCTCGCACGGTTGGCTACGTACGGTGCTAAAAAAGTCAAAACTACATACACACATTGAGCTCCCCGACACTCGCCTCGGTCAGCACTGCGAGTGGATGCACGTTCAATGTCTCTAGAGATACTTTGGTAACTTAATGGTATAAAAACACTTTTTTTTCTACAAATTTAAATGTGTATTTGTATCCATTCCATCTCGTTCAATTTGTCACGATCGGACCCGTATGAGTGTAAATGTTTGAGAGAAATTCAACTACGTTGCACATTTCTGGTTTCCGTTCTTTAGTAAAAAAAATTCACCTTAAATACAGACCCTTGAATATCGCGGGTTTATCGTTCGCGGTTTCGACCTAAAGACGGCAACCTCCTTGTACCAATTTAGCTATCGTGGGGGTTCGGTTTGGCCTTTCGCGGGTACATTGTACCCGAAAGTAGTGTCAGTGGCGGATACCTTGGAGCGACGGGGGCGAGGCAGTCAGTGGCACCTCACAAGCATCTCGCAAAAACAAAGATCCCCCGAAAAGGCTTCACAGATTGTTGGGGTATGTTGAACTTCTTTCGCACCGTACGTAGCCAACCATGCTGTTCACGAGGACCTATTAAGGCCGGAACTGCACACGAGGGGGTGGGTGGGCAGCACCACGCCCGGCCGCCTTTGTCTCCCCAGTGGCGATGTTTACACATCGCACCAGGTACTCATTTGAGGCCGGGTCGACTTAGGGGAGGCCCAGGACCGATTCAGATAATCGTCACTGGTGGTGGCCGTGAGCCGGAATTGAACTCGGGTCGCCGCGTTCGGAGCGTTGCACGATCACCGTAGCCCTGCCGCTCCCCACTTGCGGACAAACACCCGCTTTGGATCATAATCGGTAAGTACAATATTTATTCAGTATTTATACTGCTATTTATTGTCTAGTAATGTTTTTGTAAAGGGCTTTTACTTTATTTCAATTATTTTTTAGTTTATTTGGCATACAATACATATTTCAATTGTAAAATGTCTATTTTTGGTTGCCATTATTGAGGTACGGCTTAAGTATTGAATATTGCGGTTTAGCTTTCGTGGCACTTTCCGAGAATGTAACTCCCCGCAATATTCAAGGGTCTCAAATACGTATTTAGCATCATTCAAAACGCTCCAAATGTGGCATCGACTTTATTCAAAAATGTATTTTTTTTGTCTTCAGATGCTGTTGGAACGCTTCAAAAAACGTCGTTTCAGGATGTTTTTCGGCATAACAGTTATAAATGTTAACATTTTAGCTTTCTGGTTCATGCATTTTGGGAGCCCTAATATGTGGAGGAACAAAGTAAAATATAGTTTTCCGACTTGAAAATATTTGTCATATTTCAATGAGCAACCTTCGAATGGTCAAGTTACAAACTTCTGTAGGCTTCGGTTGAGCAAAAAATGTGTATCTCGAGTGGCTTGGCGGCCCAGAAGTTAAAGTGCTGAGATTCTGGGGTCATATCAGGCCAACGACCCACGCTTCACCCGGGTTCTCAAGTGCAGTTCGTTGATAGCCTCGCTCTCATCACAAATACTTGCACACAAACAGATATATGGATTGTACATTTGCTATTATTCAAACAAGACAAGGGGTTCACTGTGGGTAGCTTACGTTATCGTTATCGAGGCTGCTTTTCACTCAGTCGACCCCACTGCATAAACCTATATCCTTGGCCCTAAATCCAGGAGCCTAAAGTGCAATGAAGCTCCATACTTAAAATATGTAATTTCATGGCCTGGAAAGCAATACTGCTGTGCATTTGTAAACCCCATGACCCACCTACCTCACCAATTTAAATAATATATTTCCAATTTCGTATTTCTAATTTTGCCCAAACATTTTACAACTCCCATCACTTAATCACCAGCCTAGCTGAGTTGCTATAAATGTATGCATGTTTAAAATTTCGCACCGTATATAGCCAATCGTGCTAATCGTAGGTGCTAATCAATGAGATATGTCCACATACCAGTTCACATACCATCTGGAAATTACGATGTTTAAACTTATTATGTTTATTATTTTATGTTCAATAATCGTTTCTGACAAAAAAAGAGTCTAATGCTTCCTTTGGTCTCATTGTGCCGTCCCTCCCATTGGCTCTCAGCTCTCAGAGACCTATGGTCCAATTTACAGTGTATCTTTAGGACAGACGCGAGTTGTGGTTTTAGTCGGCAATGAAATCATAAAGGAAGCTCTCGTTACCCAAGCTGAGATGTTTATTGACCGCCCTGAAATACCCGTCTTCAAAAAGTCTTTGGGAAATTACGAAGGTAAGGCATTCTTTGTACCTCATTAAATTTGTGGCGCGTAGAGCGCTGGGTTGCCATTGGCTTAGGGCGAATGGGCAGTACGTTTGGAACCGCCCCTTACACCAGACACGTGACCTGGGTGACGATCACGGCCTAAGGAAGGATACGCAGAGGGCACGGGCCAACCTGTGACGCACGCACGGGCCACCCTGTGACGCACGTACGGGCCACCCTGTGATGCACGCACGGGCCACCCTGTGACGCACGCATGGGCCACCCTGTGACGCACGCACGGACCACCCTGTGACGCACGCACGGGCCACCCTGTGACGCACGCATGGGCCACCCTGTGATGCACGTACGGGCCACCCTGTGACGCACGCACAGACCACCCTGTGACGCACGCACGGGCCACCCTGTGACGCATGCACGGGCGACCCTGTGACGCATGTACGGACTACCCTGTGATGCAGGCACGGGCCACCCTGTGACGCACGGGCCACCCTCTGATGCACGCACGGGCGACCCTGTGATGCACGCAAGGACCACCCTGTGACGCACGCAAGGACCACCCTGTGACGCACGCAAGGACCACCCTGTGACGCACGCACGGGCCACCCTGTGACACATGCAAGGAGCACCTTGTGACGCACGCACGGGCCACCCTCTGATGCACGCACGGACCACCCTGTGACGCACACAAGGACCACCCTGTGACGCACGCACGGACCACCCTGTGACGCACGCACGGACCACCTTGTGACGCACGTACGGACTACCCTGTGACGCAGGCACGGGCCACCCTGTGACGCACGCACGGGCCACCCTCTGATGCACGCATGGGCGACCCTGTGACGCACGCACGGACCACCCTGTGACGCACGCAAGGACCACCCTGTGACGCACGCACGGACCACCCTGTGACGTACGCACGGGCCACCCTGTGACGCACGCAAGGACCACCCTGTGACGCACGCACGGGCCACCCTGTGACGCACGCAAGGAGCACCTTGTGACGCACGCACGGGCCACCCTCTGATGCACGCACGGACCACCCTGTGACGCACGCAAGGACCGCCCTGTGACGCACGCAAGGACCACCCTGTGACGCACGCACGGGCCACCCTCTGATGCACGCAAGGACCACCCTGTGACGCACGCACGGGCCACCCTGTGACGCACGCAAGGAGCACCTTGTGACACACGCACGGGCCACCCTCTGATGCACGCACGGACCACCCTGTGATGCACGCAAGGACCACCCTGTGATGCACGCACGGACCACCCTGTGACGCACGCAAGGACCACCCTGTGACGCACGCAAGGACCACCCTGTGACGCACGTACAGGCCACCCTGTGACGCACGCAAGGACCACCCTGTGACGCACGCAAGGACCACCCTGTGACGCACGCACGGATACCACCCTGCGACGCACGCAAGGACCACCCTGTGACGCACGCACGGGCCACCCTGTGACGCACGCACGGGCCACCCTGTGACGCACGCAAGGACCACCCTGTGACGCACGCACGGATACCACCCTGCGACGCACGCAAGGACCACCCTGTGACGCACGCACGGGCCACCCTGTGACGCACGTACAGGCCACCCTGTGACGCACGCAAGGACCACCCTGTGACGCACGCAAGGACCACCCTGTGACGCACGCAAGGACCACCCTGTGATGCACGTACAGGCCACCCTGTGACGCACGCACGGGCCACCCTGTGACGCACGTACAGGCCACCCTGTGACGCTTGCACGGATACCACCCTGCGACGCACGCAAGGACCACCCTGTGACGCACGCACGGGCCACCCTGTGACGCACGTACGGGTCGCCCTGTGAAGCACGTATGGGCCACCCTGTGATGTGCGTACCGGCTAACCTGTGATGTACGCACGGGTCAGAAACATGGCCATTAACAAACAACATGCAACAAAAACTGACAAAGTGTGCAAAGGTGCATGCCTATAATAAAATTGAAAGACAGAAACATGGATAAGAGAACATTTATAGGTTGATTTCAGGTAGTGCATTGTCTGCTACATACATCTTAATCATACATGATTATCTTGTGTAATAGTCGTAACTAAGATTCATTTTATTCACACATCATATGATGGGCTCTGCATATACAATGATCATACAAATACTAAAGCTAAGGGTTGTTATAACGCGATCGTGATCTCTCAACACTCTCCGCTCACTGGCGACAGGGCTGCTGCTGAGTCATGGGTGGCAGTGGAGGGCGAGGAGGCGCTTCACCCTTATGATGCTGAGAAACTTTGGGATGGGCACGAAGAGCATTGAGGAGAAGATCGCTGAGGAGGCCGAGTTTCTTGTGCGAGCTATAGAAAACAAACAAGGTATCAAAAGCACGACCGCAATAAAGGAATGTTGTACCTGTATAAAACCTTCATGGGCGAATGTCAGCATTAATATCGAGTGTATTTCAGTGGTTGTTGCGTTTGTTTCTGACAGCATTATAATCGTGCTGAGGTGCGTATTCGTAAATTAGAGGTGGTGACGTGGTCCAGCCGTAGCGCGCGTTCGCCACTTGTTGTCCGTCTCGGCAATTGTCCCTCCCCCACCCTGCACGCGTCCCGCCCAGCGCAACCGTCCACGCCGAATCACATCCACAGCAGTCGCCTGCCCTCTTCTCCTCCGGACTCTGTGTCGCTCCTCCTGCACTGTCACGGAATTCCCAGCATCCGTGTCGGACTCCTGCCCTCGGACGCCGACAACTTATTTTTGAGCCGCTGAGCGTCCTGCTCCTCTCTGATCCGCACAGTAACACGGATAGAGCACTCGTGTGGCTCCAATACCACACTCAGACTCACCTCTCTTCTCTTACGAAGTGGTTTCCGTAGCCCATCAAACACCTGCTTGCTAAAGCAATGTACCTCCTCACAGCACCCTGCATTGTGGACCTCACCGCATCACTACACAAAGTCCTCTACCTCATCAACGTTAGGAGAATGTGGTGTTGTGGTGTTTGCATGGAAAAGTCTTCATCTAGTAGTTGAGAAGGTGTTTATTATGGTAATGATGTCTATATATTATTTTGACTGTACTACTTCTCCCAACTTCTTCCTATGCACTAGAAAAACCTTTTGATGCACATTCCGAAATCAACAAATCAGCGGCAAATGTAATATGCTCCATCACATTTGGAGACCGCTATGACTGGAATAATAAAACATTTGTCAAGCTTATGGATATTATCACTGAGAATGTAGAACTGTCTGGTAATGATTGGTCCCAGGTGAGTAGTGTTATTGCAATCACGAATCCATGTTTAAAATCATTGCATCTATATATGTTTCTGTGTGGACAAATATGCTCTATATAAGAATAGGTTTAACCCTTTCTGGCAATAAAACAGGTGTTGAGATGTTAAAACACCAAACTGAAACCTCGTGCAAGGAATCTTGTCTGCATAAGCCACATATACTTGTGGTGAACATGCAAGCAAAAACATGCTCTGGTAGTATATGTATTGCTCTATTATTTGGTTTGTAAACAAGATGGGGGTTATGACTGGATCCTGGACTGTTTTTACCACAACAGCACTAAATACAGAAGCGCTGCACCATGATAGGAGACGGTCAAGTGTGTGCAATTTGAACTCGGTCATTTGATTTCAATTAGTTTGAAGAGTGACATCTGGAAATCAGAGGGTGGAGCTTTTCATGACACTCAACTATGGCAACAAAGCTACATTTCTGGACCAGTGACATCAAATTCTGGAAACCATGAGACAGGGTTTCAGGCCACTTTACGACTCAAAGTTAGTTTAAGTGATGTCACGAGAACTTTAAGCGAAATAGGCAATGTTACTGCAGTATCCGGAGACATGGCACTATGATGTATGCATGGATGTAGCGATCTGCTTGAGTGGCGAGCAGTCGCAAGTTTGAGGGCTTCATTCCGGTTCTGGGGATGACTCAGTCCCTCATTTTCTGGGGTTGATAAATTAAATACCATTGTGTGAGAATTCTTGCAACCTTGTATTCCTAATCACACTCTCGGATGCTCTCAGGGAATTTACAGTAATAACTAAGGCTACCAAATTAAAAAAAACTCAACCACACTGCCAATGTTATGTTTTATGTTGCTCGTCTTGCTTATATCAGCAAGGCTGCAGTGGGTATGGTCTGGATCATTGTTCTGTCTGCCACAGTGGAAGTATTTACACACCTAGGTCTCATTTCCACAGCTATTTGTATTCGAAGTAGTGTGATGGCAACATGGACATTACACAGAATTTCTATTCCATATTACAAGCCTTGAAAGGAACAGTTAAACATATAGAATGAAGAAGTGATGCCATATAACCTGCATGTTCTGCATGCAAATGGAGAAAACTTGATGGTGGAAAGTTTAGAATAAGTTTGTTTAACACGAAAAGTGGAAAATATGTATTTGTAGTGACTTTACCGAAAGAATCAAGAATATTAATTCCTGCAGTCACGAAAGTTTTAAGTCTAAAAATGTATTTACTCCAATACTTCAATCTCAAACATTTGTGCAGTACACATTTTCTGTGGCCCTGAGTCAGTGGTGGACATTCCACCTTCCTGAGTAAATATGATTACTACCTCACACCAAGTAGGTGCTCATTTTAGCAGTGTTGGTGGGACGATAAGTAAATTTTATTGAGGTTTAAATGGCGATGTTAACAGATCTTAGTATTCGTTTTCAATAATTATTCTCTGCGTTTTATTTTCTTTCCACAGATTTTCAATTCTTTTCCTGTGCTGAAGTATTTCCCAGGACCCCACCAACGAATAAACAAGAATAAAGTTGTCTTGAATGCGTTTATTCAAGCTAGGATTGAAGAGCATGACATGGCACGCATTCAAGGAGAGCCCCGAGATTATTTGGACGCCTTCATTGACAAGAGGATTGAGGTTCTTTTCGATATATTGAAACAATCCATATCAAACATGCAGCACTAAAAATTATCTACGTTGGGCATTGCTCCCTGGAAAATGAAACTTTCGACAAAATCACTTAAGTCGAAAAATTTTACCACTGATTTAATGCTATAAATGTAGGTTACGTTCCTGACAGTAATTTTTCGGTAAAATTTTGCTGAAAAAATATTAAATAAATACTAAAAAGGTTAACGCAAGATACTCAAAAATATATTATATAATACAAGTTTAGATAAATAATAAAAGTAAATACAGACTTTGTGTACCTCACGTGAGGGTGGTACCGAGTCCAGTATGGCGATGTTGTAAACACTGAGGCTGGACAGCCCCCTTGGGGACACGGTGGTGTCGTAGTGCGTCATCACACACGCTGCCCAAACTACTGCGTTCTTTAAATTAAAAACAACGTAGCGAATCACCGCTTTTACATAGTATTAATTTGTTGGCGACGTTGTCGTGCAACGTAAATAGGAGGAACGTAAATAAAGGACTTGCTAATGCTTTACTAGGTACTTTAAAATTGTCTTTTAGCAGCATGCGCATGAGATTAGATTATCATCTCATTGATTGCATTGCTGGTGTAAAATGTAACGGTAAACTGGTAGTGTTTGTCTGAAAAACACAGACTGGATTTCGATAAAACATTCCACATTTATAGTCTGATTTTCAGTAGGATTCTTTCCTTAATGTCAGTATAAAGATGTATACATCATATGTCATATCTAATAAAATGTTGACATCAAACATGTTTTAGGTCTTCATTAATGATCCAGTAGAATATCACACATTGGAATCTTGCACCATCTGTTTGTATGGTTTTAGCCTCATTACATTTCATTTTACAATTGGTGTTTCCTCGATCTTGTGTCAAAGATCACCTCTTCTCACCATTTTGAATGGAAATATAGCAATAACCAAACCTTACAGGATTAAATCCTGAAGCACAGACAACGTATGCATATTACTCAATGATAAGAGTGCTGCTATATTCCTCTTGTCAAGGTGTTTGATTTTTTAAATAACTTTCTTCCATTGCTCTTGTAGGATTCAATGAATCCAGACACAGCCTTCTCTGACATAGCCCTTATTAACACGACAGCTAACCTGTTTGTGGCTGGATCTGAGACCACCTCCGCCACACTTAAATGGGGTATCCTGCTCATGCTTACATATCCCAAAGTACAAGGTGAGTACATGAGTACTCGCACACAATATTGTTCATGATTGTTGTGTTAGGCCACTTAATAATCTGGTTAAATTAAAGACCATCCACCACCCAACACAGCCATACAAAATTGTCACGTTTATAAGTGTTTAGCAAGCCAGTCATTAAGATCACCAGTAATTTGAAAACAATCCTCACAACCAAGTTTGGGTTCTGTCCTGAACATGCTTGGTGTAACATCGTATCTAGTTGCTAATTTGGTTGTAAGCATTCTTCAATCTACCGGTGAGTGAGCTGAAACAGTAACAGTTGGCGTGTTAAATGCTTGTACATGTGACGGTTCAATTTGCTTGGCTGTGTCAGATGGTAGAGGGACCTTATGATATGGCCAGGTCAGTAAGTCACTTAACCCAACAATCAGTTAGGAATCATATGCAGTAAACCCTCTCTATCCGCAAGGGTTACGTTCTTGAAAATGCTCCCGAATGCAGAATTTGCGAATGCAGTAAACTTGTTCCAAAATAATTTTTAAAAATGGGGTTACGTTTCTGGTACAAGTGAACATAGGGGGGGAAATGGTAAAATAATATTGAATGATAAATAATGAATTATAAAGAACAATGCATATTTTTACCTTTGATGATGATCTGATAACGATGGAGGTGGTGGTGAGGAATTCAGGAGGACTACTCCTCGGGAGATGCAGGAGTTCTCATTCTAGACCTCTGGGGAGCGCTCGCCGCAACACTTCCCCTGATTGCACTCATGTCATCTTGAATGGACCTCACAGTCGCTTGGTTTATACCTAAATATATAAACGAGTTGACTGAAAATACGTATAATGTAAAAATATACAATAGCGAGTTCAAAGCAGGATTACTGCGATACTTGAGTAACTCCCGAATATGCGAAACTCGCGAATCCAGAACTAATGCATAGCGAGGATTTACTGTACTGTGTGCATGTCATCCTGACTGAATTGTCTTTGGTGGTGGTCCAGTAGTGACTGTAGAGAATGTTCATATCACTATTGAAACCTTCACTCAATGAAAAGTAGCTGCAGTGTATGACAATCTTCTGACGTGTCAATTTACATGACAACAGAGTCAAACATCCCGCAGTGCGCCACGTGTAGCAACAGAGCGTGCGTGTGCATTGCCAGTGGAGGAATCCTCCACGTTTACTGGAGCCCATTGTCGTTCCGTGCCAGAGTTGTGCAGCAATATGTGGAACATGCTTCCCCCAGCAGAAGGATCTCCCAGTTACAAAACTTCCCTTGAGATGGTATTCGTGCTGTCCCTTCAATGCATTAAAAACTGCTCCAAAATCAGTTAAGAAAAATTACGCTGCATGCAATCTGGCTGATGAAACTAATGGCTCGATTGATTAATGTTCGAGAATGTATTCTTTGTAGCAGAGACATGTTTATAAAGTACAGTAGTCATTTTTCATAATCCTTATCTCAATTGACGTAGCACGAGTTTATGTAACAACCATCGATTTAAAGCTTTCGTGACTGCAATGATTCATCTTCTTTTAGTTTATATCATTATGTACACGCGGTATTCACTGGCTATGTTTCCATTTTCTCTACCTGCAGAACAAGTTCAGGAAGAAATAGATCGCGTTGTTGGATCCAATCGCCGGCCGGCTTGTGCCGATCGAGCATGCATGCCCTACACCAACGCCACGGTTCATGAGATTCAGCGCTACGCCAACATCCTGCCGATGGCATTTCCACACGCTACCACCTGCGACACAAAACTGCGCGGTTATTTCTTGCCCAAGGTGTGTCCACGTAACGTGAACTGTCACAAACGATGATTGGCTAACACATTCTATATGAAAACAAACATCGGAGTGATTCCCTGCTCAAGTGAACAGTGAGGCGGTGCTCATCTGTTTACAGTCTGAACCAGTGGTTTAAATTCCACATTCATATGGCAGGGGTTAGTTTATAAGAAAATCACCGTTGACTGCCCCACATAATGGTACTTGTTTCATTGAACCCAGAATATTTTTTTATTATATTGAACTTCTTTCACACCGTACGTAGCCAACCGTTAAGGGATGAGTCAACCCTCAAAGAGGATTTGAACTCGCAAACGTCCGAGTGCGAGCCACTGGCTATACCACTTGATCCACCTGGCCGGACGCATTATCAGAAGGTTCAGAATACGGTATTGCAGATGCACGAGCAGACTGGAATGTGTAAAAACATCATTTATGTATTTTTAACCCAGTTGCCCATTCAACGACAATAGTGCAGAGTCTGAAAAAGAGAGTTGTTCTGATCTGCATGAGATAAACATTCTGAGGCCATATACTATACGTAACTGATACAGTCAGCAAATTGTTTTTAAGTGTCATTGACCTGCCGGTAGAGCCGCAAAGTTGGACACCAAAAGTTCGGAAACAGAAAATTTTGAAGAAAGTAAAAATGCAAGCATTTAGTCAATTAATCCAATGCAAAAATGGCACAGTCAGATTACAACAGTGCAGTAATGTAGCACACTACTAAGCAAGGTCAATGAGTAAGCATGGGTCATCTTTATGCGTTTGGTGATCAGAGGGAACTCAAAAGTCGATGACATCGGGGGTATTGGTGAGGCCAGAAGAGTGGCCATTGCCTGTAGGTGTACTGGTTCTACTAGAATAGTTAATTCGGGTGAAATGTCCTTCAATTATCTTTCCTTCTAATCTGATTCTGTATTGAAAAATAATGTTAATTGCTCTACTGCGGCACACATGAAGGCTTCCACTGCCAATCATCATACATATTTTTCTATAAATTTCTGCAACATCGAGGGTATTAACAGTAATATCACATTCGTTCATCATCACCTTGAAACAACTCAACCCTGTTCTGAGCAGAAATTCCGATCTCAACTATCATCTGACCTCGCACACGTGATGTTCCCAGCCGACAGCCTTGTTTACTTTTTCTCGTTCGACGATGGAGTTTGTGTATTCACCTGATTTAGCGTCTCTGTTTTTTCCCCATAATCAAATCTTGCAAGTCTCCTCCATATATTTATATGTGCAAAGTGTGCTGTAATCTAAATTTTCTCAATAAAATCTGTTACTTTCAGGGCACACAAGTGATTGCTCTCATCCACTCGGCGCTGAGAGAAAAGTCACTGTGGGAAGCACCCGAGCAGTTCAACCCAGGCCATTTCCTGGACATCGATGGAAACTTCTATAACCGAAATGATTTTATGGCGTTCTCTGCAGGTAATGTTTTTTTATTAATCAACCTGTCTGGATACGGCTTTCATCAGTCACTGTAGGATGATGATGGATATTTGAAGTTCACACAGTGAGGTTGATACACCATTGGTCAAATTGTAAAATAAAACAATAGCAATACAATCTACAGCTTCCAAAACATGAAAAGACACCTTTTAAAATAAATCCAAGGTCTTGTCATCAATGTACCCAAATAAAAGCCCAGTTATATATAATTTGCAAATAAGACATGTGAAAATAATTACAATTCAGGTTTTGACACAATGACCTCCTCTTACAAATAATGCCACGTGTTTGTGTGTTTATGACACTAGGGCCCCGAATTTGTCTCGGGAAGAACCTGGCCAGGATGGAAGTCTTCCTCTTCTTCACAGCTCTTCTACAACGTTTCTCATTTCAGGGACAGCCAGGACACCCTATGCCTGACCTTACCCCAAAGTCAGGCATAGTTTGGAATCCCTTTCGCTACGAGGTTTGTGCCATAAGGCGGTGATAGCATTCCAGATAATAGAGATTGCAGGTCACTCAAAGTCCGAGTCAAGAATCACTATGAACGAATCTATCTTGATTTGAAGTTTTCGTGACTGCAGGAATCCATTCTCTTTGGTTCTTTCGGTAAAGTCACGTAGGTATAAAAAAGAATAGATCACGACGTTTCGATCACAACACAAGCAATCGTCATCAGGTGAGACAACTACAGTAAGAAAACTGCTGAAGTAGGCGAGAGCTGCCATGACACGAGGTTATATAATTATCGGCGAATACCAATGAAAATATGATCGAATATTCTTATAGAAAATCGAAAATAATAATTTTTAATTCAGGAAAACGTAGAAAGCATATACATCACGAATCTAACTTGATTTGAAGCATTTGTGACTTCAGAAATCCATACTCTTTGGTTCTTTCGGTAAAGTCACGTAGGTAGAAATTAAATTAAATCACGACGTTTCGATTGCAACACAAGCAATCATCATCAGGTGGGAAAACCACAGCAATAATTTTTTTGCTGAAGTGGGAGGGAGAGTTGCCGTGGTAAGAGGTTATATAGGCAAGAAAGGGGGAGGAGCAAGGGGGAGAGGGAGGGGTGGGGGTGTGGGGTAAGGGGAGGGCAAGCGCTGCGTGGTGTAGTAGTACCCGGCAGATATGATAGACGACAACCACTACAAAGCAGTTAGGGTTTTACCTGGTTAATAACATCCTTCCAATTATTGCTCAATTTGTATCCATCTTCTCGGTTGAAGTTATGTCTATGCTTATATATCTGGATGGCTTCATGAACAAACCTTTGATAGTAGCCCGAAGGTTTGCAGAGTACCTTGGTATCAGAAAAAAACAATATCATGCGAGCCCACAGCATTATAACAATTGTCAGCCACGGCAAAGGTATTGGTTCTGCCGTGTTTCAGATCTGCCCTGTGTTCAAGAACACGGTCCGAGATATGTCGTTTAGTTTCCACAATGTAACAGCCACCACAGGTGCAACTTTGTAGACTCCAGGATATTGCATGTCAGGATGACATCCTTCACAGATGGGATTAGATCACGGATTTTGTGTACTGTATTGAATCGAACCTGGATCTTGTGTTTAATATTTTGGAAATCTTTTTGCTAACACGTGCTATGTATGGTAACGTGATGGTTTTGATCGGCATCTCAGGGGGTTGTTTCTCCATGGTTGGAGAAACAGCTTTGCGAATAATGCGGTCCAAGTACCCATTCATCTTGAGGGCCTGGTGTACGTGTTCCAGTTCACTGGCTAGGTAGTGTTGGTCAGAAATGCAGTGGACTCTATGGTGTAGTGTTTTGATGAGGGAATTCTTCTGTGCCATATGGTGGTGGGAATCAGGTTTCAGATAGGAATCTGTGTGGGTGTATTTCCTGTAGACAGTGTCCCAACGAGCCGTCAGGTCTCTTCTCAAACAAAACATCCAGGAATGGTAGCTTAAAATCCTTCTCCACTTCCATGGTGAATTTAATGGATGGGTGTATGGAATTAATGTGGTTGAGAAATTGGTTCAATGCTGGCAGGCCATGTGGCCAAATGACGAAAGTGTCATCTACATATCTCTTCCACAAGGAAGGACGTAGGGTGGATGTCTGGATGGCATCTGTTTCAAATTTCTCCATGAAAACATTCGCTATCACTGGTGATAAGGGGGAACCCATGGAGGTACATTTATTTTGTTTGTAGATTGTACCATTCCAGGTGAAGTAAGTGTTGGTAAGGCAGTGCCTAACCAGAGTAGGAACATCAGGATTCAGTTCATGTTGGACTAAATCTTCAATTATTGCTAAGGTGTCAGGCACATGAACCTTTGTGAACAGAGAAACTACATGAAAGCTGACGAGAAAATCATCTGGGGACAGTGAAATGCCCTTGATTAGAGAGACCAAGTGAGCTGAGTTACGTACTGAGGTAGTTTTGCCCGTGAATGGAAGCAAGGTGTCAGACAGAAAACAGGCCAGCTTGTAGGTAGGTGAGTTGATAGTGGAAACGATGGGCCTAAGTGGAGTACCTTCTTTCTGGATTTTAGGAAGACCATAGAATCTGGGTGGTCTAGCAGCAGAAGGTTTTAGGGAGAGCCTTTTGAATGGTTCGATTCGAGAAGTCGAACTGGTAATGATATTGTTGGTTTTTGTAGCCAGGCGGTTAGTAGGATCTTTGTTGATTTTGGTGTAACTGCCATCATTAAGAAGGTCCTGGATTTAGTTTTTTTTTATCCATAATGACAGTAGCATTGCCCTTGTCGGCCGAGGGGATGACTATGGAATAGTACATATACATCACGCTTTCTGCGATTCTTTTCTATAATGCTCACTGCCTCTGACACCACATTCGATTCGCACGGTTGGCTACGTATGGTGCGAAAGAAGTTCAACATACATGATGACAGGATCCCCACAGGAAACCTGCACACACTGCAATTAACGTTTTAAAATACAGCAACAGTTTGGAATGGAAATTACATAAATGGAGGGGAACGGAGTAGTTTTAGAAGCTCGCGAGACGCGGTGGGATGGCAACATTACTGACGTGACGAGAAGGGAGCTGACGGGGCTCGTGAGGAGAGGGGCAGCAGCGCCACGAGCGAAGCGCTGAAGCCGCTTCGTCAGCACCCCCTTGAGGCGTGTGCTTTAGGGTGATTAGGGTCATCTTACTCTTTGGGTCTTTCGGTAAAGTCACGTAGATAGGTTCAAAGACAACAAAAAAACTACGACACAATCAGAATCAGAATATTTATATTGGAGGAATCTGATGAGCTATAACGCTCTTTATCACATGTCCAGTAGGGAGGGGGGGTAAGAACGTTACATCCAGCATTGGATCGATCCTGGCTTTTGACGAATGCTATGCAAACACGTGTGGTTGATACAATGTTTTAACGAGGTCTGCATCGCACGATAACAACGAGACGCCGCTTACGAGCGGCCGTCATCAGGAAAACGTAGTTTTTTGTTATTTTCTTGGAATCTATTTACGTGACTTTACCGAAAGACCCAACGAATATGAATTCCTGCAGTCACGAAAGCTTTAAGTCAAGATTTGTTTCGAGTCACTTGAGATTTAAAGAATTCCGTTATTGGTGTCGTGAGCCAGTTCATGAGTTGATTATTTTAAATGTTTCCTGTTACTTGCCGTGTTTATCAGTTTTTTTCGCGGTTCGTACACTGTGCTATGAATTTGGCACGCGGTTAATCGCAATACAGATAATCCAGAGTTAACCGTGCACGACTTTCATCTGATTATATGAAGTTGTTAGAAATGATTTTGGATGAACGTATCAATCCTGTATAATCATTTGGTAGTTCACAAATTAGCAAAATCTGTCCGGAATTTCGCCTTAACATCTACTCTTTGAAATAAAATGAAAATACTATTATGACGCATCTGTTTTGTCATTTAATTGTCAAACATTTGTGCTCATTTTTAAACTGAAATTCGTCAAGCGTGAGTGCAAGGCGGGTAATGAGTTTGACTTAACAGCTCCTCGTGCTCCAGAGCGGGGTGTACTCGCTGCGTTCACTCTCACATCATCTCACGTCATCTCACATCATCTCACGTCATTCATCCCACAACGACCGGCACGGACGATAAAGGTTGGAGAGTCAGCAGCGGAGCCATCGAGCCCCTCGTGGCACAACTGCGGACTGTCGCGAGAGTGCGGCCGTCGGTGTGCCGCGCAGTGACGTCACGCACAGCCGCCATGTTGCGTGAGGAATCGTCGCTGGTGCGCGGCCCCCACCCAGCATGGCGGGTGTCGCGTGGGGTGACGTCACGCGCGTGGGGCCGTGTCCCGCCCAAAGATGTCCGCCGCCGAGCTCCGCCCTTCGCCTGCCGGGTTGCGCTGAGCGTCGTCTCTCGCCTCACGCTGCTGCTTCTGCCTGCGGCAGCCGGAGCTGCCCGTTGATCCGCGATGGTGAACGTGCTGAAGGGCGTGATCGTGGCGTGGTGAGAGAGGCACTGGGCATGGGTAGGGGACAGGGGATGGGGTGGCGTCAGGGGCGCAGCGCCCCGCGGTCTCCATCGCGAGTCCAGCGGCGAGGCCTGGAGCCCTGGGCAATGCCACTGAATGATCCGACGTGGGTATCTGACACTGCTGTGTGTTGCCTGAACTCACCCGCGGTGAGAAGTCCACCAGTTTACGTCAACGCGCCACGGTGGCGAGATGTTAGCTACATCGCCTGGTGTGCAGGAGGTCGTGGGTTCGAACGCCTGTTGTATATTTGGAGTTTGCATGTTCTCCCCGTAGTCGCGTGGATTTTTTCTCCGGGTCCTACCCTCCACATTTAGAAATATGCGTTTTTAGAATTTGGCTGCGATACATTTCCACATGATACGCCACTAAGGTGAGATATCATTTGTGGCCGGGTCGCTTCTGAAAAACGCCTATATAGCTGACTGGTCCTTCCCCGGTAAAATAAAAAAATGTATATTTATATTCTTGGTTCTTTCGGTAAAGTCACGTAGAAGGGAAACAATAAAATAATACAAATATAAATATATATTGAATATGAATCCCTGCAGTCACGAAAGCTTTAAATCAAAATGTAATTGTATATTTAGTTTAAATAGTTTAGTGTATCGAGGGGTCCATAATGTTTGGCCTATTTTATCGGGGGACATATCCAGAGCAACGTGGAATTTCTACCAATGGAGATATGAGCACCACCAAATGCTCATTTGAGTTTTGGGTAAATGACATTCTGCTGTAACTACAGTGTAGATGAGGTTTCCTTTGGCACTTTGCGATGCAGTAGATTCACCTGCGTTTTGTTTTTTCAGTGATCCTCCCATGAAGCAGTTCCTGCTCTTTCTGGATGAAACCAATGCTCTGGGGAAGAAGTTTGTGATTCACGACCTGGACGAGACGCATCTTTTCATCGCGTCTGAGGTGGTGCCCATTCTGCAGGAGCGAGTGGGCGAGCTCATGGACCAGAACTCATTCCCCATCACCCAGAAATAAAGTGTGCGCTCCTCCACATGAGGGGAAGGCCACCCAAGGAAGATGTCTCCCGAAGATCCAAGCATTTCACTGGCTAGTGGCAAATAACATTTGGCTCGACATGTGGAGTGTTTTGGCAGCGGAATAAAAAGCTTTTGAAATGATGGCTTCATAGACCGATCATATTGAGTGCTTTGACCCGTGCAGCGATTTGTAAACATGTTCAATGTGCCCAGGTTATCTTCCTCACGTTAATATAGTCACCAGGAAACGTGTGACGCTGAAACCATGGATTGTGGTTCATTTTAAATTACAGCATTTTGGCTAAATGTGAAAGTAACTTCTCACCTGCTACAAAATGTAAAGTTGAGTGTAAAATGTCTGAAACGTCAACTGAAACATTTACATAAAACTTGATGGAGGATACAATACAGTTTAACACGTAGGCTTTCGCGACCAATAAAATTCATAAGGTTTTTTTGGGTTGGATCGCGTTATTTATAAATGTGTTGTAACCCTCCACCACCCGACACGGCCAATCAGCAAAAAATGTCACGGTGACAAAAGACAAATAGTTCAATACTTTAGCCCACCGGTGTGTTGAGTGAATCCACAACATTTACAGTTTGAGACCATTCTGGCGAATTGCCCGATGATGCTGGATGTAATTACCAGCGAAACGGCGTACTCAAACTGTAAATGTTGTGGATTCACTCTTCAACACACCGGTGGGCTAAAGTAGTGAACTATTTGTCTTTTGTCAACGTGACACTTTTTTTTCTGATTGGCCGTGTCGGGTGGTGGTGGAGGGTCACGACACATTTATAAATAACGCGATCTAACCCCAAAACCTTTATTATGAAGGATACAATACGTTTGAGCATTTTGTTCTGGTTTTTTTTAATAGGTAGAACTGCACATTTCTATCAGTTGAGTATTGTGCTGTCATGAGTTTGGCACTACTGTATATGACAGAAATATACATCACAAACCAATAATGCTGCAATAAACAAGTAATCTACACATATAAAAGGCAAAGTTGTGAATATGTGTGTTCAAAATGTTTAGCGTACTTCCCGACATGCAACAAACTTGAAACTTTCCATGTGTGTACTTTCCAGACTGTACACCATGCAAAAATGATAAAAATACACATTTTTGGGGGGGGGAGCTCAATGATGCATCTTTTTTTGCATGGCAAGTGAGCTGTGACGTCAAATCTGTCATGTGACCCACGCATGTGGAAGCGTAACGCATTGTAGTGTAGCGGTTAGCGCGCTGCGCTACGAACCCGGCGACTGAGTTCGATTCCCGCTCACGGCCACCACCGATGACGATTATTTTTACCGGTCCTGGGCCTCCCCGAGGTCGACTCAGCATCAAACGAGTAACTGCTCTGCTGTGTGAACATCGCCACTGGGGAGACAAAGGCGGCGGGCGTGGTGAATCCAAGTCCCGGGCGAAGCCGGGTAGTACAGCTATTAAAGTATATAACTGCCCTATATGAATGGTGCTGCCAATGTTCATCATGGTTGTAATTGACAACTTGCATAGGTATTGAAAATACCATTGTGTGGAAGCCTGCATTTCGCACGATTTTATCCTTTGCATGTGGATTCTCAAATGGATGAATATAACCCACTAGCACGAAGAAACGTAATAATTCTAGTGCAATGGCTAAAATAATTTTTAATACTGAATTGACTACTATTTCAGTCTGTTTTACCGCACTTGAGCAGTCTTGATTTTTGTCTGGAAATTTTGTTTATGCCATTTAGGCAAAATGTAGCAAAACCGTTGCATTTAAACTGCTCTGTACATTCACACGGGAGTGGGAGAAACATTAACCACTGCTGTACAGTTTATACGTCATTCTATTACAGAGTGTTGAACGCTTCAATGGGGATTGTAAAAGTTAATGTTCCTTAATGCAGAGTGTTTTGATGAAGCAGTTTTGCAAATTTTCACTTCACAGCATTACACAGTTTCCCAGGTAAAGTCACGTAGGTAAAAATAAAAAAGTTAATCAAATAACGACGTTTCGGAAGCAACACAAACCTCCATCATCAGGTGGGATAGTCACAGCAAGAAGTAATTTGCTGTAGTGTACGTTACCGAAATAACCAAAGAGTATGGATCATTGCAGTCACGAAAACTTCAAATCTATAAAAAGTTTCCCAGGTGTTTAGTGTTTCTGGCTGTCATTTATTTTTGGAATATTTGGGATCTGGACATTTTTTCCAACGACAGAAAACATCAAAACTTAACCAACTTGTTAATAACGTTGGGAACACCGAACCACAGTCCTTGAGTTACATCATCAACAGCAGCACACATTATTCCAGTGAGGGATTCATTTTGATGTCTATTTAGTGTTATGGTTAGTGTGAGCAGCTCGTCGTGGAACGATTGGCTCTCATTCGTAAGGTTGCGAGTTTTAATCTCGGTTTGGGGTTGATTCTGCCTCGGGTTGATAAAATTGGTATCACTAGGGACGTGCTGTAAACGGATGATCACCGTCTTAATGGTAATTTGAACAGTAAATAACATTCTTTGAGCTGCTTGTTTTGTGCGGTTTTTTTAGCAACAGAATAGTGTTCAGCTCTATGCAGAATTGCCACGTGAAAATTTTACTCGTGTTATGCAATTCGGAAGGTTTTGATGTGTGATTGCATATAAGCGCTTTCAATGAACTGTCCATGAAGGTGTGGAAATAAATTTGAAGTAATATTCTTTATTTTCTTTTTATCTACAATTTAGTATTCAAAATGTATCGGTTGTAAAAAGAAAGTCCATCGTTTTGCTGGCTAGACATGCTTTGCAACATGCAACAAATTCGTGAAATCAAGATTATGACTGGAAAAATAACCATGCTATATATGGGAGTCTGCAAATGGATGTGTTGACAGTAAAGTCTGCCAATGGATTATATTCAACCAAATTAGATTTTATTTGGCTACATAATTGTTCAAAGTGTTGTGCCACATATCGTACATGTGTTCAGGAGCTTCCAGCCATAATCTCCACAAAGACTCGATTCTGCACCTCCATTCTCATGGATTGTTCGTCCACGTCGGCAGTATTATTTACCACAAAAAGCGTATTTTTTCTGCACCTTCAAGTGACTGAAGTTATTATAGGCAGTCTGCAGGTTGACAGAGATGGTCCGATGTGCGCATGACGCGGAATGTGGCGATGTGATGAGTGGGTCACGCAGAGCTGCTGCCTGGGGGCTCCTGAGAAGAGGAATGCGTGGCGAGTAGGGGCCCCGGGGGCCTCACGGGGGCCTCACGGGGGCTCCCCCTATTCTATTGATGAACCATACACACGAGGATCCCCACTCGTGATAAGCCTCACACAGAGATCCCCACTCTTAGCGATGAGCCCCACTTGCTGAACCCCACACAGGGATCCTCAAATGGAGTGTTGACCCTACACAGTGATCCGCAATCGTGTGAAGATCCCACACGTGCACATGTACGAGCAAGCTGCGACGGTGTGGGTGCCGCGGGCAGGATGCATGGGTGGGACAGGTGAGGTAGAGCGGGGTTGGTGGATAGGCGAGGGAGAGTGGGGTAGGTGAATCGAGTGGGGAAGGTAGGACAGTGGCGTGGGTGTGGCAGGTGAAGAGAGGGTGGGACAGGTGAGGCGTGAGTGAGGCAGATACGCAGTGCGCGTGTGTGGGAGCAGTGGGGCCATGCGCGGCTCGCCGCGCTGCCCTCGCCGCTGGCCCCGTCGTGAATCCGGGCCTCGTCAGCTCGACTGAGTCACCGTGGCAATGGAGGCCGAGCGGGCGCGCCTGGCGGCCAGGATCCAGCGATGGAACGAGTCTTGCCTCGACCTCTTTGGGATGAGCACCCCCGATGAGGTGAGACTGCGCCGTGACAGGGTTTCGCCAAACAGAATCGCACGAATAGAAAGACGGTCGCCATCCACGGAGCGCCTCCCCCGGGATTCACCGAGCGTTCAATGCAAGAAGATGAGCGGTGGCGCGGTGGTGACACTCGTGCCTAACAGCAAGTGGCACCTGGGGTTCATTACTGACCGGCGCCTTTCTGTGTGGAGTTTGTATGTTCTACCCTTGTTCTGCATGGGTTTTCTCGGGGTTGTCAGATTTCCTCTCATATCCAACCATTAAATGTAACTTGTATTAGGATATCTGGCCAATATCAGTTACATTGGTCGTGGCTAGCAAACAGGCATTTCACCCCTGGAACATTGTGCTGCCAATGAGCAAGAATAAAATTGTATGTTTTGGGTTTTTTTGTGTAGCCTCTTTATGTACAGTACTGTATGGTTCTCATAATAGTTCTGTCCTGGGATACACGCGGTTTATAAAGCCTAGAAAAGGGTTTTAAAACGACAGCGAGAGCCTTCCCCGTGCGAGTTTAAATGCCTCTACCGGGCAGGGAGCGAGGGCGCGCCCGGGCTCGCGGCCACGTCCAGGGTCGCCGTCATTTTACCCGAGCTGCCACCGTCATCCAAGGCAGTGACCGCCCTAGTTACGATATAAGCCACACAAACATCATCGCACCTCCTGGCTTTAACCTTCTTGATCAAAGCCAATGGCGTAACAATCGACCGCTTCAGAACATCAACAAGCCGACGCGCAAGCCACAGTGGTGCGATTGTGGCCATGCAACCCAAACTGTGGACTGCACAGTAAACCACTGCAGTCTGCGCCCCTGCAACGGCGGAGAGACGGCAAAACTAGACGAACGTCGTGAGAATGTTATTGTTTTATTTCATTATTTTATTATCATTCTACGTGACTTTACCGAAAGAACCAAAGAAGATAGACGAACTCTCTCCTGATGCGCTCTCGTCGTGGCTAGCAGACTGACATTGGCATTTAGCTCCTGAACAAATTAACCTTATGGTGGTACCCCGAGGTACCATAGTACCCCGGCTCTCGCACAATGTCCGTGATGCAGTCACTTTTAGTCTGTTGATGGTCGGCGATGCGGCAATCGACTCATCTCGACGAGCTGTACACTACGATGCACCACTACGGTGCGTGCGAGTGTTCAGGGTTTCAGCGCAATCGTCCTCGCTGCGTTTCGACATCGCGGAGTAGCACTGATTTCGGATTGATTGGTACCCCAGTCGCGGAGTTAAGAACTCCCCTGGAAAATAGTGTCCCAGAAATAAAATATTTAATTGCCTCGGCCATTTGGTATTATTTGGTACCCTGGGGTACCGCCGTATAAGGATCATATTGCCGTACACAATAATATAATATAATTAAACCAGCATGAGTCATAATTGTTAGTATTATGCTCGTTGGTTCTTTCGGTAAAGTCACGTGACTTTACCGAAAGAACCAAAAAGTATGGATTCCTGCAGACATGAAAGTTTCAAATCATGTTAGTTTTTTTATCCAAGAAAGCCTGATGGAATCTCAACTTTTTATAAGAGGGGCCTGCCACGTTTTATCAGGAGGGGGCGATGTTGCTATGTGTAAGCACGATTGAGTAATTTGCAGGTAACAATTTCAGCATTGGGAATGTTGGTCAATACCAATTAAATAATATGGTTTTTTTTATAGCGATAAGATGGAACGGGAGAACCCAGAGGAAACTCGTGCAGAATAGGCGGAGAACATACAAACTCCACACAGAAAGATGCGCGAGTCAGGAATTTAACACGCGGGCTAATTGCCACGAGGCTCACGCGTTACCACCGAGCCACTCCTCTCAAACGTAAATGTTGATCATGCAGAGTGACATTCTGGCTCGAAGGGACTATGTAGGCATGAGATGTATATAGAGCTTGGGTATTGAAACTTCAAGGTTTATGGTAGCGGTGGTGTCCATTCTCTATGAATTAAAATGGAGATAAAAAAAAGTATTCGTGTCCAAGAAAAGCAGAGGTCTGTTGGTCTTCACGAGTCAATTGTTGCCGAGACAATAATTGGGGCTGTCCACTATGGAGATGCTCTGCATCTCACCACGAAAAATATCACCGCTGGAGAAACTTCACCTTCGCACCATGTGAAGAAATGTCTGGTTGCACAGCCCGTGTTTGCTGCCCGGCGAAGCTTCGCATATTGACAGCGCTCACCTCCTGGAGTGACACCACCACCACCAAATGTGCCGCGTGTGTGTGCAGGCCCTGGAGTTCCATGCGGTGGTGCGGTTTCAAGTGCAGGCCGAGGGAGCCATGGGCAGGGTGCACAGCACTTGCGTGCGCGTCACGAGCTCCAGCAACGCCGTCGATGTCCTGCGTGCCCTGGAAGAGAAGCTGCAGACTCCTCTCGACTCCTACGGCATTTTTGAATTGCTCCCTGGCAAAGGTGGGCAAATTCCCGCTTCAGAGACTAGCTGCAAAATAGTGTTGTTCAATTATGTTTGAACATTTATAATTAAGATGTAAAAAAGTATACAACACATTCATACAAATGCACACGTTTGATATTACAGAAATTTTTCAAATGTGGTGAATTGCAGTTTGATTACGTTGATTTTATATAAAAGCTGAATATGGGCAGTACACTAACGTTCTCATAAAGATACTCACTTTTCGTCAGCAGATTATTTCGCTAAACATTTTGTTTTCAACTTCATATTCCACGTTCACGTTTCATCAGTACAGTGCAAACTTGCGAAATGCAGTTCCTGACAGCATGCTGCACCTCTGGCAGAGTGAGTGGAATTCATTTCGCCGCGTTGCTCGGAGCAGCTAAAAGCGAGTCGGCCCAGTTTAGCTGCCGGACATGTAGAGTGACTACACGGTAGCCTCACCAGGATTACCGGTCACATGACGGCTGCCTTACACACAGGCTTGGCAGAACGGCGTTAATTGGCCTTTGAATGGTGTCAGATAATGTAAGTGTGCCTGATGGGTGTGTCTACCCAGTGTGTGTCACGTACACTGCTTCTCGTGCCTTGCTGTTCTTGCATGGCTGTTGTAGAGACCGGAACCTCAGGGATTGCAGAAGCATACATTTCCATCTCTGGCCAATTTTGTGGATTATTTTCTAAATAAGAATGCACTTTAGCTCTTAGTCATAACACAATTATTCCATAAAGCTCTAATCCACAGATTTTAGCTATAACAATTTAAAAATATTTAAACTATGTTTCATTGTGATAATTGCGAGTGTTTAGTTCTTGTGCTATGGAAGCTGCAGGTTGACGTGACGATGCCTCGTGTTAGGCGGAAAGCAGCGCCGTGACGGGAGGTTAATGGACCTCGCGCGCTTGTGCACTGCAGGTGAGCGGCGCTTGGGACATGGTGAGAGACCACTTTTGTTGCAGCTGGGCTGGAACCCCAAAGGTCACCATGGGAGCTTCATTCTCAAACCAACTTCCCCATTACCTGCCAAGGTACTTTGATTCGTATTCAGTGAGGAAAGCCTCACCGATTTTCAAGATTATTTGTCAGGAGGGCCCTGTCAAGTTTACACATTAGGGGATGATGTTGCTACTATGTGTAATCCCAATTGAGTAATTTGCAGAGGTGATTGTTCAGCATTTGGATGTTTTGGCCAATACCAGTTACATTGTGTGGTGTTTTAGTTATGGGAGGAAGCCGGAGAGCCCAGAGGGGACGCATGCAGAACAGGGGTAGGAAATATAAACTCCACACAGAAAGGCACCCGAGTCAAATGACAGTGGTTGGGACAGAAAAAAGCTGATAAGTTAAAAGTGAAAATAGAAGGCGAAATGGGGAACTGTTTAAGCTGTAGGAGCAGTAGATAAGGTCTTGTCATTAACTTTGATGCTGGGGATGGCCACAAGGAATAGCAGCAGAGGCAGCAGGCTGAGTTGGCAGAGCAAAGGCAATGGGATGAGTGAAAGACAGAAGCAGGCAAAATAAGAATTCGTGTTTAGGTGGTTTAACCAGTTTTTTTTACCGGATATAAACCGCACGATTGAGCAAACTCATTGAGAAACTGGAGTCGGGAGAGGGAAAGTAATTTGCAAAGCAAAGCAAATTGAATGTGAAGCGAAAAGTAACCTGAGAAACGGTTTAAACGAAGTGAAACAGTGGAATCTGCGTAGGGGAGTTTGTGCTATTAATGCCAAGCTATGGACATGATATATATGTGTAATACTACACTCTATTATACATTTTATTTTGGGTTGTTTTTAAGTTACGAAAATTGTTAAATTTACATCGGGTGATATGTGAAAGTGGTGAATGTGTGAGGGAGGAGGGTTGTGAGAAGGCTGGCTGTGACAGTGTTTCTCTGGACATCTTTAAAAAGAGCTTTATAGCTCATCGGATTCCTCCAGTATGAATAAATATTCTAATTCTGAAAATATTCTGATTCTGATTGGCTGGGTTTTGATTGCACAGATCAGGCAATGTCCATTGCGTCACGGGAAGTGTCGACAAAAGAGTTAAAAGCGGCTCCAGTGATGCGAAGTTTCTTGTCGGTCGTCCCTTGTGAAGTCTTCCGTGCCTTGTCAACAGCCTTAACAATCTGCCAAGTCAAGTTGCTCAACAGTGTTATATGGATATGTCTTAAATGTCCCATGAGACTTTGCTGATTAATTTCCTCCTGATGGAATTTACATCGGTGTGCTGTTGTTATGCAGCCTCGACTATGTTTTACGTTGGCAGGGTAAACAACTCTGTGCCCATTTAAACACTTGTGATGAGAATGGCCTTGAGATTACCTCTGAAACACAGGTACACACAGGGCGCAGCAGCAGCAACCACCCTCCCTTGAGCTCAGCACACGCCATACCGGCCCGACGAGTTCCTGAAACACTTGCAGCCAATGTTTTTATCAACCCCTCATCTGCGTGTTACCTTGAATGATGTCAATTCATTTCAAGATCATGTTCATGTTTGTACGAATGCATCTAAATCATTCACCCCACAGTTGAATGTAGGTTTTGTTGTTAACTTTCCTCGTCATTGTTAACTTCCTAGAGTCTTTAGTAGCAGCACAACAGGTTTTTCACTGTGCGCAAGTGGAATGCCGCAAGGTAATTCCACATGCATGAACCTGTGTGACGTGAATTAGTGTGTGGGAGTGCAAGTGTGTCAGTGTATGTGAGACTGTGTGACGTGAATTAGTGTGTGGGAGTGCAAGTGTGTCAGTGTATGTGAGACTGTGTGACGTGAATTAGTGTGTGGGAGTGCAAGTGTGTCAGTGTATGTGAGACTGTGTGACGTGAATTAGTGTGTGGGAGTGCTAGTGTGTCAGTGTATGTGAGATTGTGTGACGTGAATTAGTGTGTGGGAGTGCAAGTGTGTCAGTGTATGTGAGACTGTGTGACGTGAATTAATATGTGGGAGTGCAAGTGTGTCAGTGTATGTGAGACTGTGTGACGTGAATTAGTGTGTGGGAGTGCTAGTGTGTCAGTGTATGTGAGACTGTGTGACTTGAATTAGTGTGTGGGAGTGCTAGTGTGTCAGTGTATGTGAGACTATGTGACGTGAATTAGTGTGTGGGAGTGCAAGTGTGTCAGTGTATGTGAGACTGTGTGACGTGAATTAGTGTGTGGGAGTGCTAGTGTGTCAGTGTATGTGAGACTGTGTGACGTGAATTAGTGTGTGGGAGTGAGTGCAAGTGTGTCAGTGTATGTGAGACTGTGACGTGAATTAGTGTGTGGGAGTGCTAGTGTGTCAGTGTATGTGAGACTGTGTGACGTGAATTAGTGAGTGGGAGTGCTAGTGTGTCAGTGTATGTGAGACTTTGTGACGTGAATTAGTGTGTGGGAGTGCAAGTGTGTCAGTGTATGTGAGACTGTGTGACGTGAATTAGTGTGTGGGAGTGCTAGTGTGTCAGTGTATGTGAGATTGTGTGACGTGAATTAGTGTGTGGGAGTGCAAGTGTGTCAGTGTATGTGAGACTGTGTGACGTGAATTAGTGTGTGGGAGTGCTAGTGTGTCAGTGTATGTGAGACTGTGTGACGTGAATTAGTGTGTGGGAGTGCTAGTGTGTCAGTGTATGTGAGACTGTGTGACGTGAATTAGTGTGTGGGAGTGCTAGTGTGTCAGTGTATGTGAAACTGTGTGACGTGAATTAGTGTGTGGGAGTGCAAGTGTGTCAGTGTATGTGAGACTGTGTGACGTGAATTAGTGTGTGGGATTGGTAGTGTGTAAGTGTATGTGAGACTGCGTGACGTGAATTAGTGTGTGGGAGTGCAAGTGTGTCAGTGTATGTGAGACTGTGACGTGAATTAGTGTGTGTGAGTGCTAGTGTGTCAGTGTATGTGAGACTGTGTGACGTGAATTAGTGTGTGGGAGTGCAAGTGTGTCAGTGTATGTGAAACTGTGTGACGTGAATTAGTGTGTGGGAGTGCAAGTGTGTCAGTGTATGTGAGACTGTGTGATGTGAATTAGTGTGTGGGAGTGCAAGTGTGTCAGTGTATGTGAAACTGTGTGACGTGAATTAGTGTGTGGGAGTGGTAGTGTGTCAGTGTATGTGAGACTGTGTGACGTGAATTAGTGTGTGGGAGTGCTAGTGTGTCAGTGTATGTGAGACTGTGTGACGTGAATTAGTGTGTGGGAGTGAGTGCAAGTGTGTCAGTGTATGTGAGACTGTGACGTGAATTAGTGTGTGGGAGTGCTAGTGTGTCAGTGTATGTGAGACTGTGTGACGTGAATTAGTGTGTGGGAGTGCTAGTGTGTCAGTGTATGTGAGACTGTGTGACGTGAATTAGTGTGTGGGAGTTCTAGTGTGTCAGTGTATGTGAGACTGTGTGACGTGAATTAGTGTGTGGGAGTGCTAGTGTGTCAGTGTATGTGAAACTGTGTGACGTGAATTAGTGTGTGGGAGTGCAAGTGTGTCAGTGTATGTGAGACTGTGTGACGTGAATTAGTGTGTGGGAGTGGTAGTGTGTAATTGTATGTGAGACTGCGTGACGTGAATTAGTGTGTGGGAGTGCAAGTGTGTCAGTGTATGTGAGACTGTGACGTGAATTAGTGTGTGTGAGTGCTAGTGTGTCAGTGTATGTGAGACTGTGTGACGTGAATTAGTGTGTGGGAGTGCAAGTGTGTCAGTGTATGTGAAACTGTGTGACGTGAATTAGTGTGTGGGAGTGCAAGTGTGTCAGTGTATGTGAGACTGTGTGATGTGAATTAGTGTGTGGGAGTGCAAGTGTGTCAGTGTATGTGAAACTGTGTGACGTGAATTAGTGTGTGGGAGTGGTAGTGTGTCAGTGTATGTGAGACTGTGTGACGTGAATTAGTGTGTGGGAGTGCTAGTGTGTCAGTGTATGTGAGACTGTGTGACGTGAATTAGTGTGTGGGAGTGCTAGTGTGTCAGTGTATGTGAGATTGTGTGACGTGAATTAGTGTGTGGGAGTGCAAGTGTGTCAGTATATGTGAGACTGTGTGACGTGAATTAGTGTGTGGGAGTGCTAGTGTGTCAGTGTATGTGAGACTGTGTGACGTGAATTAGTGTGTGGGAGTGCTAGTGTGTCAGTGTATGTGAGACTGTGTGACGTGAATTAGTGTGTGGGAGTGCTAGTGTGTCAGTGTATGTGAAACTGTGTGACGTGAATTAGTGTGTGGGAGTGCAAGTGTGTCAGTGTATGTGAGACTGTGTGACGTGAATTAGTGTGTGGGAGTGGTAGTGTGTAAGTGTATGTGAGACTGCGTGACGTGAATTAGTGTGTGGGAGTGCAAGTGTGTCAGTGTATGTGAGACTGTGACGTGAATTAGTGTGTGTGAGTGCTAGTGTGTCAGTGTATGTGAGACTGTGTGACGTGAATTAGTGTGTGGGAGTGCAAGTGTGTCAGTGTATGTGAAACTGTGTGACGTGAATTAGTGTGTGGGAGTGCAAGTGTGTCAGTGTATGTGAGACTGTGTGACGTGAATTAGTGTGTGGGAGTGCAAGTGTGTCAGTGTATGTGAAACTGTGTGATGTGAATTAGTGTGTGGGAGTGGTAGTGTGTCAGTGTATGTGAGACTGTGTGACGTGAATTAGTGTGTGGGAGTGCTAGTGTGTCAGTGTATGTGAGACTGTGTGACGTGAATTAGTGTGTGGGAGTGCTAGTGTGTCAGTGTATGTGAGACTGTGTGACGTGAATTAGTGTGTGGGAGTGCTAGTGTGTCAGTGTATGTGAAACTGTGTGACGTGAATCAGTGTGTGGGAGTGCAAGTGTGTCAGTGTATGTGAGACTGTGTGACGTGAATTAGTGTGTGGGAGTGCAAGTGTGTCAGTGTATGTGAGACTGTGTGACGTGAATTAGTGTGTGGGAGTGCTAGTGTGTCAGTGTATGTGAGACTGTGTGACGTGAATTAGTGTGTGGGAGTGCTAGTGTGTCAGTGTATGTGAGACTGTGTGACGTGCATTAGTGTGTGGGAGTGCTAGTGTGTCAGTGTATGTGAAACTGTGTGACGTGAATCAGTGTGTGGGAGTGCAAGTGTGTCAGTGTATGTGAGACTGTGTGACGTGAATTAGTGTGTGGGAGTGCAAGTGTGTCAGTGTATGTGAGACTGTGTGACGTGAATTAGTGTGTGGGAGTGCTAGTGTGTCAGTGTATGTGAGACTGTGTGACGTGAATTAGTGTGTGGGAGTGCAAGTGTGTCAGTGTATGTGAAACTGTGTGACGTGAAATTAGTGTGTGGGAGTGCAAGTGTGTCAGTGTATGTGAAACTGTGTGACGTGAATTAGTGTGTGGGAGTGGTAGTGTGTCAGTGTATGTGAGACTGTGTGACGTGAATTAGTGTTTGTGGAGTGAAAGTGTGTCAGTGTATGTGAGACTATGTGACGTGAATTAGTGTGTGGGAGTGCTAGTGTGTCAGTGTATGTGAGACTGTGTGACGTGAATTAGTGTGTGGGAGTGCTAGTGTGTCAGTGTATGTGAGACTGTGTGACGTGAATTAGTGTGTGGGAGTGAGTGCAAGTGTGTCAGTGTATGTGAGACTGTGTGACGTGAATTAGTGTGTGGGAGTGAGTGCAAGTGTGTCAGTGTATGTGAGACTATGTGACGTGAATTAGTGTGTGGGAGTGCTAGTGTGTCAGTGTATGTGTGACTGTGTGACGTGAATTAGTGAGTGGGAGTGCAAGTGTGTCAGTGTATGTGAGACTGTGTGACGTGAATTAGTGTGTGGGAGTGCTAGTGTGTCAGTGTATGTGAAACTGTGTGACTTGAATTAGTGTGTGGGAGTGCAAGTGTGTCAGTGTATGTGAGACTGTGTGACGTGAATTAGTGTGTGGGAGTGGTAGTGTGTAAGTGTATGTGAGACTGCGTGACGTGAATTAGTGTGTGGGAGTGCAAGTGTGTCAGTGTATGTGAGACTGTGACGTGAATTAGTGTGTGTGAGTGCTAGTGTGTCAGTGCTAGTGTGTCAGTGTATGTGAGACTGTGTGACGTGAATTAGTGTGTGGGAGTGCAAGTGTGTCAGTGTATGTGAAACTGTGTGACATGAATTAGTGTGTGGGAGTGCAAGTGTGTCAGTGTATGTGAGACTGTGTGATGTGAATTAGTGTGTGGGAGTGCAAGTGTGTCAGTGTATGTGAAACTGTGTGACGTGAATTAGTGTGTGGGAGTGGTAGTGTGTCAGTGTATGTGAGACTGTGTGACGTGAATTAGTGTGTGGGAGTGCTAGTGTGTCAGTGTATGTGAGACTGTGTGACGTGAATTAGTGTGTGGGAGTGAGTGCAAGTGTGTCAGTGTATGTGAGACTGTGACGTGAATTAGTGTGTGGGAGTGCTAGTGTGTCAGTGTATGTGAGACTGTGTGACGTGAATTAGTGTGTGGGAGTGCTAGTGTGTCAGTGTATGTGAGACTGTGTGACGTGAATTAGTGTGTGGGAGTGCTAGTGTGTCAGTGTATGTGAGACTGTGTGACGTGAATTAGTGTGTGGGAGTGCTAGTGTGTCAGTGTATGTGAAACTGTGTGACGTGAATTAGTGTGTGGGAGTGCAAGTGTGTCAGTGTATGTGAGACTGTGTGACGTGAATTAGTGTGTGGGAGTGGTAGTGTGTAAGTGTATGTGAGACTGCATGACGTGAATTAGTGTGTGGGAGTGCAAGTGTGTCAGTGTATGTGAGACTGTGACGTGAATTAGTGTGTGTGAGTGCTAGTGTGTCAGTGTATGTGAGACTGTGTGACGTGAATTAGTGTGTGGGAGTGCAAGTGTGTCAGTGTATGTGAAACTGTGTGACGTGAATTAGTGTGTGGGAGTGCAAGTGTGTCAGTGTATGTGAGACTGTGTGACGTGAATTAGTGTGTGGGAGTGCTAGTGTGTCAGTGTATGTGAAACTGTGTGACGTGAATTAGTGTGTGGGAGTGCAAGTGTGTCAGTGTATGTGAGACTGTGACGTGAATTAGTGTGTGTGAGTGCTAGTGTGTCAGTGTATGTGAGACTGTGTGACGTGAATTAGTGTGTGGGAGTGCAAGTGTGTCAGTGTATGTGAAACTGTGTGACGTGAATTAGTGTGTGGGAGTGCAAGTGTGTCAGTGTATGTGAGACTGTGTGACGTGAATTAGTGTGTGGGAGTGGTAGTGTGTCAGTGTATGTGAGACTGTGTGACGTGAATTAGTGTGTGGGAGTGCTAGTGTGTCAGTGTATGTGAGACTGTGTGACGTGAATTAGTGTGTGGGAGTGCTAGTGTGTCAGTGTATGTGAGACTGTGTGACGTGAATTAGTGTGTGGGAGTGCTAGTGTGTCAGTGTATGTGAAACTGTGTGACGTGAATCAGTGTGTGGGAGTGCAAGTGTGTCAGTGTATGTGAGACTGTGTGACGTGAATTAGTGTGTGGGAGTGCAAGTGTGTCAGTGTATGTGAGACTGTGTGACGTGAATTAGTGTGTGGGAGTGCTAGTGTGTCAGTGTATGTGAGACTGTGTGACGTGAATTAGTGTGTGGGAGTGCTAGTGTGTCAGTGTATGTGAAACTGTGTGACGTGAATCAGTGTGTGGGAGTGCAAGTGTGTCAGTGTATGTGAGACTGTGTGACGTGAATTAGTGTGTGGGAGTGCAAGTGTGTCAGTGTATGTGAGACTGTGTGACGTGAATTAGTGTGTGGGAGTGCTAGTGTGTCAGTGTATGTGAGACTGTGTGACGTGAATTAGTGTGTGGGAGTGCAAGTGTGTCAGTGTATGTGAAACTGTGTGACGTGAAATTAGTGTGTGGGAGTGCAAGTGTGTCAGTGTATGTGAAACTGTGTGACGTGAATTAGTGTGTGGGAGTGGTAGTGTGTCAGTGTATGTGAGACTGTGTGACGTGAATTAGTGTTTGTGGAGTGAAAGTGTGTCAGTGTATGTGAGACTATGTGACGTGAATTAGTGTGTGGGAGTGCTAGTGTGTCAGTGTATGTGAGACTGTGTGACGTGAATTAGTGTGTGGGAGTGCTAGTGTGTCAGTGTATGTGAGACTGTGTGACGTGAATTAGTGTGTGGGAGTGAGTGCAAGTGTGTCAGTGTATGTGAGACTGTGTGACGTGAATTAGTGTGTGGGAGTGAGTGCAAGTGTGTCAGTGTATGTGAGACTATGTGACGTGAATTAGTGTGTGGGAGTGCTAGTGTGTCAGTGTATGTGAGACTGTGTGACGTGAATTAGTGAGTGGGAGTGCAAGTGTGTCAGTGTATGTGAGACTGTGTGACGTGAATTAGTGTGTAGGAGTGCAAGTGTGTCGGTGTATGTGAGACTGTGTGACGTGAATTAGTGTGTGGGAGTGCAAGTGTGTCAGCCTAGAGCCCGAGACAGTGACACGGCGAGGGGGGCGGTTTGCCTTCATGCATAATTGAGCCTGTGTGGGAGAGACGTGCTGTGTGTGTGAGGAGTGTTGGGGAGACGTGCTGTGTGTGTGAGGAGTGTGGGGGAGACGTGCTGTGTGTGTGTGAGGAGTGTGGGGAGACGTGCTGTGTGTGTGAGGAGTGTGAGGGAGACGTGCTGTGTGTGTGAAGAGTGTGGGGAGACGTGCTGTGTGTGTGAGGAGTGTGGGGGAGAAGTGCTGTGTGTGTGAGGAGTGTGAGGAAGACGTGCTGTGTGTGTGAGGAGTGTGGGAGAGACGTGCTGTGTGTGTGAGGAGTGTGGGGGAGACGTGCTGTGTGAGGAGTGTGGGGGAGACGTGCTGTGTGTGTGTGAGGAGTGTGGGGAGACGTGCTGTGTGTGTGAGGAGTGTGGGGGAGACGTGCTGTGTGTGTGAGGAGTGTGGGGGAGACGTGCTGTGTGTGTGAGGAGTGTGGGGGAGACATGGAGGAGCACGTAAGTGCGTGTTCAAGTGTGTGCTTGTGTATGCTTCTCAAAGCGAGTCTAGAATCTGCTTCTTTATTGGTTGTAAACATGATTTAGTAACCAAGGCCTGGGAAACTGATGTCACGATAATGGCCATATTGTGAACATTTTTATCGTATTGTGAAACATGATGTTGCAGCAACCGTAGTAAGCACACATTATCTGGCTTGTCAAGTTTAATTGTATTGCCTGCCCTTGTGCAGGTGTGTCTTTAGTTGTGTCTTTTAATGCAAAAAGTTGTTTAATGTTGTTGTAGTTGATGGTTGTATTCACTCAAAGAGAAAATATCTATTCTGCCAGGTGGACGGTTGTGAAAGCCCAAGTGACCAGGTCAGAGACAATGACCAGGATTCCTTGCAGAGCCTCAAGAATTCCTCCGGTACAACCGCACACTCTCTGTGCACACAGTTCACCCTCGCTCCTTGCACATTAAACACTCACGCAGAGTGGCACACACCGCACGTGTACACACCGCACGTGTACATACCACACTGCATGGCCATGGTGAAGCTCAGCAGCAATTGCTCTGTGAACTCTGATAGCTGCAGCTGAGCCTGGTGACCATGGAGTGGGTCCAGCACCCTCACTACCCACATACACCAGGGCTGACGACCAGCTCCCCCCACCCTCCCTCCCCACCGTCACTCATTGTGGCGCTTTGATGAACTGGCTTCTGGGTTTGCCTGGAGCTGCTGCTGCTGCCAAACATTTTATGTGGTTCAAGTTGAAACAGGTTGACAATGGTTGCAGCTGCTGTTGCTCCCAGGAATTATCATTCACAGATGCCGCCGTATTTACGTAATTATACATTTGACATCTCCGGTGTAGGCAGCTAAATTCAGTGTTTACACATTTAAAGTACCGTTCATGGCTGAAATAGGTTTGTTAGAGTTAAACATTTGAAGCCGGCTAATTAGGATTAATTAATTATCTGATAAATGTAAAGACAATCTCTGGGTGTAAGTCATCAATTACGAAGCCTCAGCTCCCTTGCTGCAAATTGGAGACGCTTTGTGTGGAGAAACCAGTAAGGACACGTTTGGATGTATTGGTTTTCATTTATTTAATGGAGTAATTGCACTGTTATTCAATTTGATTACTATGCCATGTGGAGGTAGCGTACATTACACGGTGGTATAGTCATAACAAAATATTCGGTGATACTGCTGCATTGGCAGTGGTGCACAAAGAACAAATAACAAAAAAACACAACTCAACACAATCGTAAATAACACTGCCTTAACAAGATAAAGTATATAGTAATGCCATTTTTGGCAATGATCCTTCTTCAAAGCACGTAGAGAGACCAGATGTAGCGTGGTTAGTGATAGCAGGGTTTATATAATGATAGAAACGTATTAACCAGGGTTGTCTGTCGGATTTGAACCACACACCTCTGCAACACGCGGAAGGTATGCTACCCCTGGGTCCAATTGTTGCTGATGACCTGCTTCCCCATCTACATGAGTTTATATTCCTACAAGTGTCCTGATGTTATGCATTAGTGGCAAAAATCATCAGCGACTGTCTCTAAAAGCAATAGGTTTTCAACACTCTATTTAACTCACTCCCAAAGTATAGCTAACCCCTTTAATTTATCTAGTCGCTGAACTTCTGTCTCCATCCTGTATCTCTGCTCTGAGTTTAAACTGGCCTTCAAGTTTCCTTCATGGCTGTGTTCAGCCCATTGAGCGACTCTCTGGGTCTCACTCATCACCCCCCATTCAAATGAGCCCCAATCCCACTCTGTAACTCCTACTTTTGCCGCTACAGCTTCTACAGGTCACCCCAGGTGAGAGCTCACACTCACTGCAAACGTCCAACTGCAGGTTCGTAGTGGATATGGATGCATCCATGTGGCCCGGTGTGGTCACCATCTGGGTGCATTTGGTTAGTTCCACAAATTAGGTGGCCTCAATCAAAATTTCAAAATCATCCGAATAATATAATGGGGGGTCATTTTGATGGTAGTTGTAGTGATAGTTTTGGAGAGTGTGGCATGACATATACAGTGAGGGAAAAAAAGTATTTGATCTCCTGCTGATTTTGTACGTTTGCCCACTGACAAAGAAATGATCAGTCTATAATTTTAATGGTAGGTTTATTTGAACAGTGAGAGAGAATAACAACAACAAAATCCAAAAAAAACGCATGTTAAAAATGTTATAAATTGATTTGCATTTTACTGCGGGAAATAAGTATTTAACCCCCTCTCAATCAGAAAGATTTATGGCTCCCAGGTGTCTTTTATACAGTAACGAGCTGAGATTAGGAGCACACTCTTAAAGGGAGTGCTCCTAATCTCAGCTTGTTACCTGTATAAAAGACACCTGTCCACAGAAGCAATCAATCAATCACATTCCAAACTTTCCACCATGGCCAAGACCAAAGAGCTCTCCAAGGATGTCAGGGACAAGATTGTAGACCTACACAAGGCTGGAATGGGCTACAAGACCATTGCCAAGCAGCTTGGTGAGAAGGTGACAACAGTTGGTGCGATTATTCGCAAATGGAAGAAACACAAAAGAACTGTCAATCTCCCTCGGCCTGGGGCTCCATGCAAGATCTCACCTCGTGGAGTTGCAATGATTATGAGAACGGTGAGGAATCAGCCCAGAACTACACGGGAGGATCTTGTCAATGATCTCAAGGCAGCTGGGACCATAGTCACCAAGAAAACAATTGGTAACACACTACGCCGTGAAGGACGAAATCCTGCAGTGCCCGCAAGGTCTTCCTGCTCAAGAAAGCACATATACATGCCCGTCTGAAGTTTGCCAATGAACATCTGAATGATTCAGAGGACAACTGGGTGAAAGTGTTGTGGTCAGATGAGACCAAAATGGAGCTCTTTGGCATCAACTTAACTCGCTGTGTTTGGAGGAGGAGGAATGCTGCCTATGACCCCAAGAACACCATCCCCACCGTCAAACATGGAGGTGGAAACATTATGCTTTAGGGGTGTTTTTCTGCTAAGGGGACAGGACAACTTCACGGCATCAAAGGGACAATGGACGGGGCCATGTACCGTCAAATCTTGGGTGAGAACCTCCTTCCCTCAGCCAGGGCATTGAAAATGGGTCGTGGATGGGTATTCCAGCATGACAATGACCCAAAACACACGGCCAAGGCAACAAAGGAGTGGCTCAAGAAGAAGCACATTAAGGTCCTGGAGTGGCCTAGCCAGTCTCCAGACCTTAATCCCATAGAAAATCTGTGAAGGGAGCTGAATGTTCGAGTTGCCAAACGTCAGCCTCGAAACCTTAATGACTTGGAGACGATCTGCAAAGAGGAGTGGGACAAAATCCCTCCTGAGATGTGTGCAAACCTGGTGGCCAACTACAAGAAACGTCTGACCTCTGTGATTGCCAACAAGGGTTTTGCCACCAAGTACTAATTCATGTTTTGCAGAGGGGTCAAATGCTTATTTCCCTCATTAAAATGCAAATCAATTCATAACATTTTTGACATGCGTTTTTCTGGATTTTGTTGTTGTTATTCTGTCTCTCACTGTTCAAATAAACCTACCATAAAAATTATAGACTGATCATTTCTTTGTCAGTGGGCAAACGTACAAAATCAGCAGGGGATCAAATACTTTTTTCCCTCACTGTACCAATGGTTTGACATGGCACAAAGCTGAATGCACCATCACCATCCCAGCATGGCTGAATAAGTGACTGAGTACGTCCGATACCACGACATTTCACAAGCGTTTTCACCTTGTCAGGAAGCCTGCACAAATTTTTATTTTTACCTGCATTACGACCCTAATGGGATGACACACGATGCCCAAGTGAAAATCCACTTCCAGGTTATACTAATTATTACCCCATATTTAAACTCTCTGAAATGCATGCATGACATCGTGGAGCTGCCCATCCACGTGCATCTCCCTTTTACCCCAACCAGGCCACCTTGAGCTTGGTCCAACAGTTAGCACAATTGGCCATCAAACACAACAAAGTAATCACTAACAGCCGCTAACTCTGTTTCTGAAGGGTTCACACATATTCTCACTCTCCGTGTGGCTTTGCGGTGCGTAGAGTATTCATAACAATTATAATAACCACCGTCGCAAATTATTAACCTGACGATGGTGTGGGTGACCTCGCGACCGACCGAGTGCAGGCAAGGCCATTCTGCAGCTGAGGAGGAGCCTCTCGGGGGGCAGCCAGAGGGAGAGGCGAAGGTCTTGGGGAGAGAAGGTGACGCCCCCCGTCATGCGACAGAGCTCGTATGGGCCGAGGAGCACGCAGCAGCATCAGCAGCAGCAACAGCAGCAGCAGCAACAGCAGCAGCAGCAACAGCAGCAGCAGGGGGACTGCGAAGGCGGGGATGTGGAGGGCACCGAGCAGTGCTTGCCCTACCTCATTGACGTGACTCCAGGTGAGCGCGGCCATGGCATAGACGCTGGTGGTTCTGCTGACCATGCCTTGTAATCCAGCACTGAAGGCAGTTAGGGTTGATGGATTACACCAAAAATGTTGTGAAGCTTCCTTCTTGTGTGCGTTGCGGAAGTGCCATACTCTGGTTTTCCAGGACATGGTGGTACGGTAAAAATGTGGACTCCATCTGCTCTTTCTGTATGGGATGGAGTATTTATCCCCTGCATCAGTGGGTGCTCCGGGGTTCCTCCCACAAGTAAGCACAAATTAATTGGCCGATAACACCTTCGTATGTAGAGCATAGCACAGTTTCTCTCTTTCAGAGCGAGCGAATCCTGTGTGGTGGCGGCGGCGTGGTACAAGTTGACATTATTAGTGTTGTTAGTAAGAGGGAAGCATAACGCAGAATGGAGAAAAAAAATAATTAGTGACCTTTAATCGATGTTTTCCATCTCTCGTCCCTCCAGCGATGAAATTGACAGAAATTACCAACTACTTGGACTCATTAACAATGCAAGACAGATGACATTTTTTTTCTCACGCCTGTGTCTCTCTAGGAGGATCTCAACGCATTTTCTTTCTGCATTGTGAGGAGACGGCCATTGGCTGTGAACAGCACCAAGACCGATGCATTCAGGTGAGCATCGTTCCGGCTGTATAGCCCTTACAAAGATCCCCCGTATAGCCCTAACATCCTGTTTAGGCAAGTGCTGCTAGCGAGCACCTATGAAGGCCAGCACGATACACGATGGGTGGGTGGCTAGCACCATGCCCAGCCGACTTTGTCTCCCTAGTGGTGATATTTACCCTGCACCAGTTACTCATTTCTACAAACATACATACAAGTATGAATGCTCACAAAAAATATTTGCAAGAATCAAGGTGGGGTACTGCATTCAGGTTGCAATCCCAATTAAATTATTTTTCAAAATTCTACCTAAAATTTCAGTAAAAAAATAGTTCAGACTTCATCTCAAAATTTGATGTCATTGATTTGACATTCTGCACCATGAATGAGACAATGCAAACACAACGTTCATACAAATATTAAATCCCTACTTGTTTTTGATGGGTTCCTTTTTTTTACAGCATAATAACTGCATATCTTTTCTCTATGAATCTCAATTGCAGGCTGTGTCTGTGAAACACAGCACCTTCCTTTATGATAGTCTTGTGCTGTAAGAATGACACAAATATAAATTATAATTATTTTAACAATGTGTGCTGCTGCACTGTGTATGTTCTATGACTCTATGAGATGCAGGTGCATGGGCCTGGCATTGGACCTCGCCACTGCTTTGTCCATAAACAGGATGGGGTCGTGACCCTGGTGCCATGCGTACCACTGAACAACCTCACTTACGTGGATGGGCAGCCAGTCCATGAACCTGTGGTGCTGCACAATGGGAACACGGTGCGCCTAGGGTCGGGCACTCTCCTGCAATTTGTGTACGGACCTGGCTCCATTCTGGAACAGGAAATGATGGCGTTTGGAAACACGGATTTCACACCGTCAGGGCCTATGGTGGCTGGCTTCGAGCACAACGAGCTGGGATTGAGGATACCTTCAACGGAAGCAAAAGTGGATGTGCATAGACCACAAGCACAGCCCTCATTGCCGCAAGGGCATCGGTACGGGCCTCTGGGAATTGAACAAAGCGAAATGCAACAAGCGAAGGGGGCGTTCGTGGAAACAGCACCCAGAGCTGTTGGTGCTGGACTCTGCTTCTCAGAATCAGCCGTGAGCGCGGTGGCTTCGGGAGTCTCACAGCCTGAGCCACGTCCCTGGGAGCCCAGTCTAGGCCCAGGTTTCAACCAACAAGGCCTGGGGGGATCAGAGAGAGCTGGAGCCAGGACCAGAGCCCAGGAACAGGGGGATCATCTCAGCAAGCCCTTGTCAGGACCAGAGCACAGCAAAGTCCAGCTCAGGTGAGAAGTAACATGCACCAGGACATTTTATATCTTTGTTTTTGTAAGGACATTACGCAGATGCACGACAAAGTCAATGCACTCGAACCAGCACCATTAGGGCTAAAATGCAGTTTCTAAATGATCTGGCTTACACCGATACCTTCATGTGAATGTTAAAAAAATGAATTCGTACCATTCAATAAATGCATCCCGGTGTTTTTGTTTCAGGAATGCCTTGACTTCGGAGTTATATCAGAAACAAGCTGCATTTGAATCCATGTCTGTGGAACAGGTAGAGCTCCCTAACCCTCAAACTGATGACATTCACCCTCTCCTCCAATCTCGAGCCCTGTGAATATATAACCTTGAGTCTCAGAGAGGTTCCTTTCTTTTGTTTCCTTTCATAAAAAAAATAAGAATCTGTAAACGTATTCACGGTTTAAATGTTTATGGTGATTAAATATCAATCAATCGATATAACTCCGGCATAAACACTGGAATGTAAATACCACTTCGTTGCGCACGTGTTGGCAATGACCTGTGCTGTCTCTGTTACCAACAATGGGACAAAGCATCACTCAGCCAATGCAATTAATTTCAGATGTTCCCCCAGCACGTGAGTAGGGCCCCTAGACGTTGTCGAATGTAGCACCTGCGTCTCTGTCACACACACAGACACACGAATCAGTGTCATTGTCGTGGGGCGGGGCATTTCTGTGGCTATCCACCCGATTGGGTCCACGGTAACGCGCGGTTGGATTTTTAACGACCACCGGGCCCCGCTCCAGCTGCTCACGCATGGGGGGCAGTAGAGCTATTGTGTGGGGGGGGGGGCACCGGTGCAGTGATTCACCACGAAGCAGAGTGACCTTGGAAGGGGGAGGACATTTGGCAGTGCAGGCTTCCCCTCAAAACCACAATGATAGCGCCGGCCCCGACGACGACCACGCACGGGTACTGTCACTCGTGCAACGTGGTCCTGGTCCTGCGTGCTTGATGAGACGGGGGTACGCTCGTGTGAAGCTGTGCACTTATAGTTTGTCCATTGTGAGCAGGAAAACAGAGAGAAGCCTTCCTCATCTACATCAGAAGGGTAAGCCATCGTATTCATAGTTATTTAAATTACTGCACTGTGATGAAGGTCATCGTTTATAGTGAATTCATTTCTTTATAAGATACATGTAGGCATGGGGTTGAATAATGGTTGCATTGCAGTGGAGTATACGAGCTGTAGGTCCAGAGTTGTAGTCTTCAGTCTGATGCCAGATTGTATCCGCTTTATTCACCGCTGAGTGATTTGCTACCATGGCCTGGCGATGCTCATTGGGTGCGATGGAGACCGAGTGCTGAACATAGTGGCGTTTCTGCTGCAGGACGCTGCAGCGACTCCACGCCTACGAGCTTTGCCTCCCCGTCTACGTGGAGGTCTCCTCCATCGGTGAGGACTCCTGCAGCCGCGGTCATCATCGCGGTCTCCTTTCCTCGCTCTCCCTCTGTTTCGCTTTCCTCTTCGTGGGGGGGGGGGCGCTCCCACGATCACTCACGAGCCTCCCTCCATCCCTCTGCTTGCCATCTCGCACCACTCACCGGCTTCTCGGTCGCCTTCTTTCTTGGCCGGCTCTCATTACTGCTGCCTGTGTTTAGCATTTCCTATTTTCAGCTTCGTGCCACCCTCATGGAAGTGGGCAGTGGGCGCCCCGCACGCAATGTGACCCACTCGTTGGTTCAAGCCCGGCGGCCGCCCTGGTTAATACTGCGGGTGTAGTGACCGGAAACATACTATGTGCTGTCTGCTTCACAGCGAACGTTAAACATCCCACGACGTAATTCGAAATGAGTAGGAGGCCATTGTGTTCCGGCATCATGGTCCAAATTTGCCAAATTCTAATATTACACCACAAATAACTCGATTTGGATTCCACACAGCGGCAATGATCACCTCCTCCTGGCAGAGGTAAGGCACAATGGTAATTGATATTTACCTAAGTAAAACTTGCACCTGTTGTTAATAAAGTTGCAAAAATCCGGTCTCGCACACAGGTTTGCAACACGCACCATCAATGTTTGCATTTAAATACAGGGGAAAAAGGGTGTCTGATAATCCAGAAAAATCGGTATATGTATCATTGATAGTCTGTAGGCAATTCTAGATTTAAAGCTTTCGTGACTGCTAGGATCCATACTCTTTGGTTCTATTGGGTAAAGTCACGTAGGTGAAAATAAAATAACAAAAAAAATCACGACGTTTCGGCCACAACACAAGTGGCCTTCATCAGGTGAAGGGACGAGACTGTCTGGAGGACAGCGCTGGAGTGAGAGAAGCCACGCTTAGATCACGACCTTTAAGCTGTGTGAGATGAAAACAAAGCGCCTTGACAAAGGAATAAGCATATAATTTAGCATTGAAATGGCTCATTGAAATAGCTAAGTTAAAGTATACACATCTGCACAGGTACCCCTTGACAAAGGAATTAGCATAGAATTTAGCATTGAAATAGCTGAGTGATTAGCTTGTAACTGGTCACAGAAATAGCTATGTTAAAGTCAGAGCATATACATTCACCGAGGCACCTAGTACTAATCAAACAGGAGAATTTAGCGAAACACAACCACGCTCAGACAGCGGACCTTTAAACTGTGTGCGAGCAAACAAGGTATTCTGACAAAGAAATTAGCATAAAAATTAGCATTTGATTGGCCGATTTTAGGAAAGAGGTGGTGTACGTGCCGGTGGACTTGCCGTTTAGCGCGGGGGAGGGGGGGGAGGGGGAGTTTACCTATTGATGGTGTGAAAAGGGAATTTATAAGAGCTGAGAAATTAAGCAACCATTGGAAAGATGTTCTAAATCGAACTAAACATTCAACTAATTTCAATGGTACAGTATATTTTTTCAAGTAGTGGTACCCCAAACTTTCTCAGCTCTTATGAATTCCCTTTCTCACTCCAGTGCTGTCCTCCAGACAGTCTCGTCCTTTCACCTGATGAAGGCCGCTTGTGTTGTGGCCGAAACGTCGTGATTTTTTGTTTTTTTGTTATTTTATTTTCACCTACGTGACTTTACCCAATAGAACCAAAGAGTCTGTAGGCATTTTGATTTAAAGCTTTCGTGACTGCAGTAATTCATATTCTTAGTTTTTTCGGTAAAGTCACGTTGAAGGGAAACAACAAAATAATCAAGTATATATAAAACAATAAAAAATTCTCACGACGTTTCGACCATAACTCAAACCAACACACCTGAAGACGACCGTTTGAGTTATGGTCGAAACGTCGTGAGAATTTTTTATTGTTTTATATATATTTTATTATTTTGTTGTTTCCCTTCAACGTGACTTTACCGAAAAAACTAAGAATATAGTCTGTAGGCAGTCGATGTATGTGGTCAATGGTAGAGAACAAAAGGCAGAAAGATGAAGATGTTGGATTATTTGAACAAAGAGAGAATGACAAATGCCAGGGAAAGTTGTAGAGAGTGCAGGCTTTTTGACCTGTGCCCAGGGCCTGTCAATAGCCACGCATTGCATTGGGATGTTGAAGTCATGTTCTTTCGATGTTTATTTTCAATTTGTTGCCTGGTTGAAGACATGTCTGTAATTGAATGTCAATAGCACTCGCCACGTGAAGGTTGCCACTTCCCCCCTCCACCCCCTGCTCTTCTATCATGCGGCCTGTGACCTCTGTGCTTTGCCAATGGAATTTTCAGCCGAGGAGGAGTTCCTGGATGCGGTGACCTCTACCCCATCGGACATCCCGCCCTCGTTCAGCCTGGGACCGGCCTACACCATCTACTCTGCCTGCCGTTTCCTGCTGTCCAGCCAGGGCAGCTGCTCCCTGCCCTCGCAGCAGCAGCAGCGGCGGCGGCACCAGCATATAGCGTATCTCACAGAGGGAGCGGCCTCCCGCATAGAGGGCACAGTACAGGTGGGCATGGGCGCGCAACTGTGCTGCGTCTGTGCAGAGCTTCACACGCACACTTCACGGCACCACGATCACACAAAAAAGAACATGTGACAATCACACAAACAGGAACATTCCGTGGGCACGAAGGCCTTGATTTCAACTGGAGAAGTTCTGGATTCATTGGGGGCATGAGAGATTGCTTTCTAATCACAGTCCACTGCTAGGTTTAGTTTTTTATATGATCTTGTTTTTTTGTGACCAAGATGAAGACTTGAAGCTAGATGGTTGAATTGTTGTGGGGTTTGGCAGGTGATGGTGACGAGGTGGTGGTGGTGGTGGTGATGGTGTCGGCGGCATCGGCTGTGTTGGCTGTTTTGGCTGCTTGGCTTCGTTACCTTTTTCCTGTTTCTCATCATTTGGGAGTGATTAATTTCATTCTTTGCTGGTCAAATGTCTCCTCTGCCAATGAGCTGCAATTTTGACTGTGTTATCCACAAGTGGGCGCTGCAGCATCTCGCATGCCTGCCACTGGTTGTTTTATGTGCATGTGTGCGTGTGTTCACGTTCAGGCAAGTGGACGTGACATGATGGTGAGCGGTTTCTGGATGGCCAACACCTCAGAGTTGCTTCACTTCTTGGAGCAGGATGGTGACCTCCGCCCTCTCACACTCCCAGCGCAGGAGATGCTGTCCTCCGCCGTCCACACAGCATTCAGGTCCGCAATTGGCCTCCGTGTACTCTAACCACGTGACTTTTAATTCTGGTTCATTTAATGAATTTTTACTTTTTGTTCATTGAAAAAAATGTTTGTAGAGGGCCCCGTTTCTTAGCCTGCAGCGTTTCCCTGTGCCTCATGTGATCTGTGACTCACATAAACACATCAGGCTTTCAGTCTTATAAAATTGGTCAAATATAACGCATGCAGAGCTTTGTAAGTCCATTGTTTAACGAAGGCCACCCCATGCCATGTTTGCCATTGTGATTGTTTGAGTAGACTTCATCGCGCTGCTCGGTGCGTGTTAGTGAAGGGGTTCCCAGATCTGGTTCGGATATCGCTCACCACTGACGATAACCATGGGCAGGAATTAACCTCGGCTTGCTAAATTCATTGTGCAGTGCGATAGCCACTGCTTCACTGCTCCACCCCCTCCAGCGTTGACCCATGTGTGCGCTGTGTGCTGTGACCCACAGCAACCTGGTGGAGTGCTTGAAGACGGAGCTGAGTGTGCGCCTGCCCGTGTTCCTGCAGGACCCACAGACCCTGACTGCTGGGGCACCTCAGATAGGTGAGGTCTCATGCTGAACTGGCAGGGATGTGACGACATTCCACCTGTGACAATCGGTAATGCCACATGCTGTCAAAGTGGTAACACGTGTTTCACGATTTTGAAACTTAGAGAGTTGCTTCTCTCATCTCCTTTCGTCTCTTCTTGACCGCATTACGCGGTGCTTGTGAGCAGGTCCAGTGCTGTCTCTGCTGACGGAGGTGATGTCAATGCTGAGGACGTTCAAGACCAACCCCGCGCTGCTGGTGCAGATATTTGCACGCGTGTTCACGCTCATCGCGGGCTGGCTCTTCAACTCACTGCTCTCCGACGTGGACCTGGGCCTGCGCTCGCGCTACTGGGCCACCACGCTGCAGCGCCGCCTGCTGCCCCTGGCGCGCTGGGCCGAGGGGCAGGGTCTGGAGCGGGCTGCGGCCTGCCACCTAGCACACATCGTGCAGGTAACAACAAACCCACTGCATGGACAAACATGTCCTCTATTAGCACAGAGAAGAATCGCCAAGCATCAGGGCTCTCTCGCAGGATGATTCTGTATTGGGATGTTTGGCCAGTTTTACTCGTGGGAGAAATTCAAAATTCCCAAAGAAAATGCACCAATATTCTTTATATGAAAACATTCCCAGATGTTTCAGGTATTCAGTTGTCCATCATAGTCCATCACATCATCTCACCACACCATTAGATCCAGATCCCAATCAAAATGAAGGTGCCATTAAAATGAAGAGCATAATGGCAGGCAGTCATGTGTTGCTGTCCATCCCAGTTGCCCACGAGGGTTTGGGTTACAATCGAAAATGCTGCAGCAACATTGGCAGCAACAATTTCCATAAAAATGCCTCGAACGGATCCATGGCCTTTAGCGCAAAGTGGTGAGCACTGGTGGAGCGTGCCACGCACGTGTTGTTTGTACGTCGCAGATGTAAATCACCTTGGCCAAATATGTCATCTTTGAGCGATATCTCCCATATCATCGTGAGTGATTTCACACGTGGTCGTTTTGACCGGGGGCACCACGTCAGTGCTTGTCGGCGGCATCGAGGCATTTACAGTGAGTGGTTGCACGGTTGCAGGCCACGGAATTGCTGACCATGCGCAAGTACGAAGTGAGCGACGTCCGCGAGATCCTCGTCACCTGCTACCGCCTCAACTCGCTGCAGATGCGGGCCCTGCTGGAGACCTATCAGTACGCGCCCGACGAGCCCAAAATACCGCAGGCAAGGCCTCGCCATGTCTCCGCAGCCGGCGCGGTGCTCTGCTTGTCTGTGGCGAGAATACAAAAGAACCGCGTGGTTCTCACTCATGCTCTGTGAATGCCCCACACACGCCTGGCATTCTGCCGCTTCAAGGATGTTTCTGGTTCCTCTTCCATCTTAATCGCAATTTGATGCTGAGCTCTCGATTCTTCATGATAACTTCTTTTGCAATTGCTTTTGACTCGTGTATCAGTGTCTGTTTACATATTTGTATAAGTCACCTCATAACTGTTTCATGTTAATTATATTCTTGTCAGTCTAAAAGTAATCTGAGCAAACTCATGTATTTATTATTTATCATTCATGTTTATACAATATCTTCAATATCTCATGTGGCACGGTTATTTTGGCACCAATTTCTATTTCCTTCATTGCTGTTCTTGAATTCTCATCCTGGTCTCTTAAGTTCTTATCTCATTAACAAATAAACTTGACTTGAAAAAACAAAGGATTAGGCACTTGAATGCCTAAGCAACAGTCTGCACAGATAGGCCTGTAACCTGCTTGCTGTGCTGCCACCAGATAGCCCTGCAGCTTTGGAATGTCATGCTCATGATGTGCACTGCACAACCAAAGCCCTGGTTTACAGGGGTGCACCACCATCGACACAGGGATATGACATTCAGCTCCAAGAAAAAAACTGTTGATGCGAACTTGGTGTGTGTACGCATCTGTGTACATGCATCTTGTGCACGCGTGTGTGTGGGTATGTGTCTGAGTGTCTCCACGTGTGTATGGACATGCATGTGTGTTTGCGCTCCCAGGAGGTGATTGAGCAGGTGGTGAGCGTGACGCGCGACACGACGGACGCGGTGTGGCTGTCCCAGCAGCAGGAGGTGAGTCGCCTCGAAAGCCTAGAGCTGCGGCTGCCCTTCCTGGTGCCCGGGGATGGCTACGCCTGCGAGGGCCTCGCCGCCATCCCTGCCGGCCTGCACCAATTCCTGCAGCCCCTGCTCCTCGCCGGTAAGTACGCACACATGCACACAGAACCAGTCCTGGGTCTCCCCTCGGTTGATTCGGCTCAAATGAGTATCTGGTGCGATGGGTAAATATGGCCACTTGAGAGACAAAGGCGGCCGAGTACCGTGCTGGTCACTAACCCCGTCATGTGCCATGCTGTCTTTAATAGGTGCTCGCTAACAGCACTTGCCCTAAAAGTCTTAAAGGCTATACGGGTGATCTTTATCTTAGCGTGTGGTTGGGTGTGAGGAGGAGTACCTCTAGCTGTGACGCTGTGACGCAGGGCTGTGCAAACTGCTCCCACAACCGTGGACGGGGACCTGGACCGTCTTCTTCTCCGGCGACTTGGATCGCCGCTCCGCTGCAAACTCGCTGTCCGAGGTGACACGCGCAGTTCACACGCGTTTATTCGCGTGAATGTCCATGCTCGTACGTGCACAGATTTGCAGTTCATGTTCCCACCCATAACAACATCTGTGACACATGCGAAACATGTGAGGGCCAGATTGACTCTGCCCTCCAATAAAAACAGCTGCTAGGGCTTGCAGGATAGCGCAGTCGTAATGCTCTTGCCTCACAGCAAGAAGGCCCTGGGTTCGATTGTTAACTCGGTTACCTTTCTGTGTGGAGTTTGTTCTGCCCTTTTTCTGCATGGATTTCAACCAGGTTCTCTGGTTTCCTCTCATAAATTAAAAAAACCGCACAGTGTAACAGTTATTGGCCAAACATCCCAGTACTGAAAATTCACTGGCGAAATTGGGATTACACGCAGCAGCAACATCATTCCTACTGTGAAAACTTGGCATGACCCTCCTCAAAAAGGGTGTTAAGACTCGGTGAGGCTTTCCTGGGTAAAGAAGCATAACATTAATTAATTAACATCCGTTAATCAGCAGAGAGACTGGCCTTCTACAGGTGGGTGCTGTGTTTGACGTCGTGTTTCATTTTGACTTAAAACTTTCGTGACTACTCCTTGGTTCTTTCAGTAAAGTCACGTAGAAAGAAAATAAATTAAATATAAATTAAACTTTCGTGACTGCAGGAATTCATAAAACAAATAAAATAAAATAAACACTAATGTAGACTGTAGCTTGGTTTTTAATCGGAGTGAGTGTACTGACAGTCTATAATGTAAATGAGCGTACTGGCAGTCTATAATATAGACTGTAGCCTGGTTCTTAACCTCGGTGAGTGTACTGGCAGTCTATAATGTAAACTGTAGCCTGGTTTTTAAGCTAGCGAGCGTATTGCCAGTGTATATAATGTAGACTGTAGCAATGGTTATTAAGCTTGGTTCTTTTGGTAAAATAAAATAAATAATAAACACACGACGTTTCGATCGCAGCACAAGCAGTCGTCATCAGGAAAAGCAGGGTTAGCCTCTAAAGACAAACTGTTTATAAAGCTTTGGAGATGGGCGTAGCCCAAGTGTGTTAGCAGCGTGGGCGGGGCAGCAAATGATAATGTCGGAGAATTCAACGACACCTGCGACGGGTCTCCACCAATCAAAGGGCCGCCAGGCAATCATTGCACCTCGCTCCATACACCCACCTGCTGACGGTGGAGGTTGACAATATACACAAATCAAGTCATGACCCAAAGTGGTTGATGACATTTCCAATGATTGCTGAGTTTATAACCATCCTCTCGGTTGAAATTGTGTCTGTCTGTATATATGGATGGCTTCATGCCTGGATGGAATCTGTCTCAAATTTTTCCATGAAAATATTGGCTACAACCGGAGAAAAGGGAGAACCCATTGGGGTGCCTTCAGTTTGTTTGTAGAATGTTCCATTCCAGGTGAAGTATGGATTGGTGAGGCAGTGTCTCACCAGGGCCGGTACATGAGCATTCAATCCTTGTTGGACCAAATCTTCAATGATTTCAATGGTAGCGGGCACAAGAACTTTGATGAACAAGGAAACTAGATCGAAACTCTTCTTTGGTTCTTTCGGTAAAGTCACGTAGAATGAGAATAAAATAATAAATTAATAAAATAAAATAAGACAATAAAATTCTCACGACGTTTCGGCCACAACACAATTAATAAAATAAATATTGTGTTATTGTATTTTATTAATTTATTATTTTATTCTCATTCTATGTGACTTTACCGAAAGAACCAAAGAAGATGAATCCTTGCAGTCACGAAAGCTTTAAATCGAAATTACATCGAAACTAACGAGCAAATCACCTGGGGACAGTGAGATGTCCTTAATTGACGATACCAGGTGAGCTGAGTTAAGTACAGAAGAGGCGGTCTTACCAGTGAATGGCTGCAAGGTCTCAGACAGATATCGGGCCAGTTTGTAGGTGGGTGAGCCAATGGTGGAGACGAAGGGGTGTATCTTCTTTATGGATTTTTGGTAAGCCATATAATAAGGAAAACTGTTTGGTCTGTTCAATTAATGAAGCTGAATCAGTGATGATGCTGTTCGTTTTTGTAACGAGGCTGTTGGTGGGATCTCTTTTAATTTTTTGTGTAGCTGCCATCATTAAGTAGGTCCTGAATTTTGTTATTGTACACGATTTTATCCATGATGACCATGGCATTGCCCTTGTCGGCTGAGAGGATGACGATATCATCCCTCTTTTTCAATTGAGATAACTCAAAACGCTCATCCTTACTAATGTTGCTGACTGGTATCTTAGCGCTTTTGAGGGTTGCAGCAATTTCAGATCTTGTCACGTCTGCAGCGGTGTCCCAAACCCTTAAGAGCTACATCGACTTGAGCAATAATGTCATCCACTGGTATGTGTTTGGGGGTGACTGCGAAATTCATCCCTTTAGCCAAAACCGACTGTAGACCATTGGAAATAGTGCTATTACTCAGATTAATAACAACCTTGTCAACGTCTAACTTTTTAATGTGTGGATCTGGTTTCTTCTTAGAAAGGAGGTTGAACCTGGAAATCAGGTTATCTTTACATTTAGCTGACATTGTAGCAACTGATGAAGCAGTCATGTTATCTACATGTTCCCAATCAGATGTAGACATTTTTTCTGTCAATGTTAAGTGTGATTTCAAGAGTGTCTTGTCTACTTGATTCAATTCAGTACGGAGCAGTCTAATTCTCTCTGAGATCAGGACCAAACTAGCCCTGAACAAAATTCGTTTAGCATTGGAAGATGTGACGGCAGTAGAAGTCAGTGTAAATGAGATCGGTATTAGCTTAGAGTTGCAGCATCTTTTCAGAAATGTGAGGGACTCGATCAGATGAGCTTTCTTGTCTCGGAGTTTGTTAAAAGATCTTATGGTTATGTGGAAACCCTCCCCGTAGAGGCGGTAAAATTTTGAGTTAAAACTTTCGTGACTGCAGGAATTCATATTCTTGGTTCTTTCGGTAAAGTCACGTAGATAGAAAAATTCTAATAAAAATAAAGTTCATTAAAAAAACACCAATGTAGACTGTAGCTTGGTTCTTAATAGGAGTGAGTGTACTGGCAATCTATAATGTAGACTGTAGCATGGTTATTAATGATAAATGTGGCTTGTTTTGCAACAGGTCTCCGTCATGATGGGGGAACCGGAAATTGTGCAGATAAACCTGCAGAAGCGACAGGGCCTCGGCTTCAGCATCGTCGCTGCTAAGGTTGACCCTTCACCGGACATGTCCACACACAAAGCTAACTTTAACTCTGAACGCGGCCCGTTGAACCGTGCCTGTGTTTCCAGGGACCCAGGCAGGCCAACATTGGGATTTACATCAAGTCAATCATCAAAGGTGGCGCCGCTGACCTGGTAAGCGCCGTGTTCGCCGATGCAAACCAGCGACTGCACACGCACTGTCACATGCGGTGCTTCCGGCGCACGCCGTCACCGTCAAGAGAATCGCTCTCATGGCATGCAGACGCCAACGTGGCCGTACATTCCAATACATAACCAGGCATTGCTCACCCTCAACATGCCGTGCTACCTTCTTCAGTAAGGTTTGTGTTTAAAAGTGGAAATAAAACACAAAATGTGACAGGTATCAGCCAAACATTTAAATCCTGCAAAATTTCATGTAAATTACTCAACTGGGATTGCACACAGCACCAACATCGCCCCCGACTGCAAATACTTGGCAGGACCGTCCTGAATATAGTCTGGAGACTCGGTGAGGCTTTCTTGGGTAACAAGCACAATAATAACTCAGTAATAATACAATTCTGTCGGTCCATGTGATATTAAAATTCCACGTGGGGTGTTGACAGGTACTTGTGGTCCCTGTCAGGAGCCACCAACTGGGCCCCAGGCTGTGGTTCAGATATTGTTATCATTATTACTCAAATGTCCATAACCGCTGTGCTCATTATTCAGGAGCTCCAATTCGGAGCCCTCTTCACTCACAGGTTTTTACTGACGGTTAAATCCACACATGACGTGGTGCTGCATTGCACTGCATTCACCATATACAGGCACTGAGAAAGTGTTTATAATGTTATCTGCACATCTTAGGAATGCGCTTAAGAGCAACTTGGCAGATGGGAGATGCCTGTATAAAGTCCTCAAGTGCTGTCCTAATAGCCTGCATCCTATCCTTGTGTAGTGACATAAATTGGTCACTACGTGGCACAGCGTTGGCTGCTGGCAGGGAAGGGGATCTGCAGAGTGAAGCAGCCCTGCTTGAGAGCAGGCCACGTGACAGACCAAAGAGGGATCTAGAGTAAAGGTTACGGAGGGGACGCGTCGAGAGCCCGCTCGTAGATTCCAGAAGGGGGGCGTGGCTGGGGCGGAGCGAGGCCACGCTAACAGGATAAAAGGGGACCCGAGCGAAGGCTCGAGGCCGTCGTTGGAGTGGGATCCCCTCGTCATCGTCGTTGCTGTAACCTTGGCTGCTGTCGTCATCCACTTGATAATTATGCTGATAGCAGTAGTTGGCTGTCTTAGTTCAGTGCCATCAGTGTCAGATGGCTAGCGTTGTGTTGTAGGGTAGCAACCAGTATAGAGTTGCGTTTAAGTGAGAGCGTTGTTTAACAGTGCAGAGCATGTAACAGTGTGCTCAGTGTTAATTAAAGAATTGCCTCCAAGAGTGACATCTCAAAGTCAGTCACTACACTTGTATTAAGGACACATCAGCATCCTTCACTTTGGAGAGAGTTCAGGCTTTAAATATGGATGTGTGCATCGTTAGAAGGGGCAGTTGTTGGGTGGTGGGAGGTTGGTCAGATGGATGTGGCGTGGAGCCGATTGTGTGTCTCGTGTGCGTGCCAGGATGGGAGAATTGCCAGGGGTGACCAGCTGCTCTCCATCAATGGAACAAGTTTGATAGGAATTTCAGAAAAACGGTAATGAACTTAAATCCACCTGAATGTGAAAGCTGTCCACGACACATTGCACTATGTTTCGATTACCACGGTTGGCTATGTATGGTCCAAATAAGTTCAGCATAAGTAAAGGGTCCAGCAGTGGTAACGGTCATGCCTCACAGCAAGAGGCGCCTGGGTTTGATGCCTGATTCAGACACCTTTCTGAGTGGAGTCTTTTCTTGCCCTGTACTGCAAGGTATTCCTCCAGGTTTTCCAGTTTCCTCACACAGCTGAAACAAAGCATATAATGTAACTATTATTGGCCAAAACATTCCAATGCTGAAACATTATCTGCAAGTTATTTAATTGGGATTACACACAGCAGCATCACATTCTGCTATGAAAACTTTGCAGGATCCTGCCGAAAATGAGTCTTGAGGCTTCCCTAGATAAGTAATAATAATACTCTTTGGTTCTATTCGGTAAAGTCACATAGGTAAAAAATAAAACAACAAAAATCACGACGTTTCGGCCACAAGACAAGTGGCCTTCATCAGGTGAAGGGACCGTGCTGTCACGAAGGTCCTTTGCAAACCCACAGGTTATCATCAGAGATTTGTCCATGAGGCAATTCAGATTTACAAACATAGACACAATTTCAACCGAGTGGTTTCAAATTAAGAAATCATTGGAAAGATGTGCCAAATCATACCAAACATTAAACTAATTTTCAATGGTACAGTATATTTATCCAAGTAGTGATATACCAAACTTTCACGGCAGCTTATTTCCCTTCAAAACAACGTTTGCATTGTCAAATTCCCCTCCCCCCCGTGTTAAGTGTTCTATCAGCACTTTAAGTGTTCTATCAGCACTTTATGCTAATTCCTTTGTCAAAGCGTTTGGTTTCCTCCCACACGACCTGGCTTGACTTTCTTAATTCCATCGCTGTCTTCGTGACAACACGGTCCCTTCACCTGATGAAGGCCACTTGTGTTGTGGCTGAAACGTCGTGATTTTTGTTGTTTTATTTTTTACCTACGTGACTTTACCGAATAGAACCAAAGAGTATGGATCCTTGCAGTCACGAAAGCTTCAAATCTAGAAATAATAATGATACTGTATACCACACGGCTTTGAAATGTGCACTAATGCCTCCTCGTCCAGGTCAGTATTCTGTGAAAATGACCACCAAAGTCCCAGAGGTCATGTGGCCACATTCACAGCCATTCTCTTGCTCAGGCTTTTCCGTGTGAATCCCCCTGCCAGGGTTTGTCTGCACTCGTTCTTTGTAAAATGAGACAGTACTTAACATCCGTGTGAGAAAAACATTCCATTGGAGTTGGAAGTGTCACCTCGGTGGCTCCCACCGAGTGAGCCTGCTGCACTCAACGCACAGTCCCACGTGACTCCCTCCTAGCCGGCCGTGGCTGTCCACCTCCCACGCAAACCGCCCTTGGGCTGCCCAGCATCCTGCCCATCTGTCGCCTTCGAGCACGTGCCCCACTCTGCAGACGTCCTGCTGTGTGTGGCCTGCAGGGCAGTGGAGATTATGATGAAGACCGGATCCGTGGTGGCACTGGACATCGCTAAAAATGCCGCCCTCTTTCACAACTTGGCAGATACGCTCAGCCATCCGACGCCCCTCAACAACCGCGGTAAGCTGTTGCACATCGCCCAGCGTCTGCAGGGTGCGCGGTCCACGCGTCGTTGCGCGGCACGCAGCCTGCGTCGGTGACGCACGGAAATCGGCGAACGCTGTTGTACATTCGGAACGCTGTGCGTGCGTGGGTGCGAGCGTCCCTCAGTGGTGCGGCGGACGTCCCGCGCAGCGCGTCCCAAGAGCGAGAGCTTCACGACGCAGGCGTGGCAAGAGAGGGACCACGCTCAGGGCAGTGCTGCCCATAGCCAGGTGGGTGCACGTCCAGCCCCTTGCTGTCTGCATGAAACGCACAATTTAGATTTATATATAAAGATATACCCACGTAATTGGTAAGGCATGTGCAATTGCTGGGTATTTCCAGTTTGAAATTAACGATGCGTTTTGGCCAAACCCTCTGATCACTTTGCCTGATTGTCTACAGAGTAAGTCCCTAATAGCAATTCAACTTCATAAAAACATATTGTTCCTTTCGGATAATCTTTACAAGAGTTATCATGACCCCCCATTGTAGAAACAGATGGTGAAACAAACAGATAAAGCTAATGCATGACTGCTTTAAACCACAGTTGTAAAACGTTAAAAAGGAAGGCCTTGAGCAGGGGCAGGGAATGGGTGGAGGAGATAGCAGAAAAGTGGCAGAGCTGTCCTGGTGGTGGTGGTGCTGCTGCTGCTATTAACTGTGTCGTGGGCAGGCAGGCCTAGCTCTGGCTCCTCTCGGATTGAGTGGCCAAGAGAACCGCCGTGTGGGGGCCCACATTTTACTGTCATTCACCTCTAGCAAGAGTGGACTTTGATCGTGCGAAAGGGGCAGTTGGTGGTGCAAGCTCTACCCCAGCACCCCGCAAGTGCCGGCACTGTGGCCGGTGTAATCCCGTGTCGCAGCGCACAGTTTGCTGTAATATTCCGTGATGCGTGGCTGTGACTGTCGTGCAGGTCGACGTGTTGAGACTGCTGGAGGTTGAAATCAATCGGCTGAACTGCCGGCACCGCTCTCCTCTGGAGGAGGAGCAGCTGCAGAACCTGTGGATTGAGTACCAGTCGCAGCTGGGTAGCCAGCACGGGGCGGTGTCCCAGGTACCACTGCTTCATCACCCCCTTCCCGGGACGGCCGCACCCAGGGTAACGCTCCCTCCGGCAGCGCGTCCGCCTGAACCAGGCCCAAACTATAGAAGCAGGGCACCCCTGGCGTGCGAGGCTGTAAGGTGGCAATGGCTGTGGAGTGGGTTTATATATGGGTGGCTGGGTGGTGCGTCTTTCCTTGGTGCAAGAAGAGTCTGGGTTCGATTCCCAACTTGGATACCTTTTTGTGTGGAGTTTGTATGTTCTCCCCTTGTTTTGCATCGGTTTCCCTCCATAGCTACATCGGTATGACGAACCATTACACCACGATGGTAGCATTCATGATCATCAGACACCATCACCCACAGTAAAGAGCTCTGATGCGGCACTCACAAGGACTTGGGTCTCTATGTAAACAGTAAATCAGTTGGTTTGTAGGTTACTCTGTGTAAGTCTACGCGTCTCTATGCAAGTCTGTTTTAAGTTTGTCATTCTCAATGTAAGTCTGTGAAAAACCGTAGATATCTCTGTGGGTCTATGCAAGTCTGTATACGTCTATTGGTCTCTTTGCATGTCTGCAAGTCAGATGCATGAGGACACTGGGACATTGTTATTTTTTTATTTTTTTTATTTTACCACTGCCTTATTTATGTAGGCATGATTGCATGTAAGCGGGCAGCTCTGGCTTGTGTATTCGAGCCAAAGACACAATCTTATTGGCTGAGCACACTGCCTGATGTTTTATGTTGCAGTCTTCAGCGTTCAGGCCGGCGACATCCATGCTGGAGCTCTCTTCAGACACCCTGGTGACACAGGGCCAGTACTCGCACCCAGCGCTCCAAGCCCGGCTCGGACAAGCGCTGCCGGCCTGGTCTGACCACAGCCTGGGCCCCTGGGAGCAGCATAGACATTCTCCGGAGCCAAACCAAATGGAAGCGGTTCATCTGGGCACGAGCCAGACACGTCACAAATTACTTTTACACCCAAACTCAAAACAGCGGCAACCTCAGTCAAGTCCACTTTCGTTTGTGACCTCAGCTGGAGCACCAGTTGGCGGCAGAGAAAGAACGACTCATCTGTCACCTACTGGAGAACCAAAACCTCCATTTCAATCCACAATACCTGGCATTAATGTCAACATGAGAAGTGACGGTGAACGGCATAACTCCTTATTCTCAGTCAGTCAGCACACAGTGCCAGAATTGAAAGCCCTGCAGTTACCCACTTATCCCCCTCAGTCAGGGCCGCACTCAGGTGGTTTTAATGCAAGTGTGAAACACAGGAGAGATTCTCAGCAGTCACTCGTGGAGTCTCAGGTAGAGATGGAGGCACCGATGGGATTGGTCTCCTACACAGAGCCTCCTGCTGGCCCTCACTGTGCCCAGTCCCCAAGTGGTCTCTCCCCAGACCTAGACCCCGATTTAGCGGCAGGGGGTTTCCGCCCACTGTTATTCCGGGCACCTGTTCCCCAGGAGGCCGAACGAAGCTCCCCGGTTCCCGCCTCGAGGTTTTCTACAGGATTCTCTTCAACCTCCGATGGGAATCTCAATCAGCTCCTGCAGAGAGGCTTCTTCGAGCCCATCCGAAACTTCTCAAAGAATATGGACCAGACTCTCAATGCTGTGCACCAGGGTTTACCCACAACACAAACACACCCAGATGACTTTAACGCAAATCCATATGACTTACAAAGTACCGTTCACTTTGTGGAAAATGGCAGTGAAAATCAATGTGTACCGATCCTTAGTCACCTGTTATCACGACACAAACAAACTGCAAATCCACACGAGACAGGAGAATTGCACAATGAATTATCTTGTGATTGTGATCGTTTAGTGGGAGAGAGCGGAGTGGAGGACCCTCCCTGCAGGCCCCGGCAGCAGCAGCAGCCCCACGAGCCCACAGGCGCAAGACGCCACGCGCCTGGGTTCACTGGAGCGAGCATCGGCGAATCAAAAGGCACAAGGCGAACCACTTGTAGAGTCATCCCTGATGTACTTTCTTCCATCTCTGAGGAGATGTGGCCTGGAAATGCCCAACAATCCACAGCAACTGAGCTAAATTTCTCAACACACATCAGAAACCCCAAGAGAAATGCCTTGGGTGTTATGGATGCAATACAAAAACCCACACATGACAAAATTATTGCATTGGAACAGACTAGACAGCTTGCTAGAAACGTTCAGGTATCCCATGATGATGTAGAGGTATTGCCCATCATTAAAAATAAACGGGACCAGCATGTAAACACGTCTGCTGCTAAAGAGAGTGAATGTATCGATCAGTCGCCAAGTTCTACAATGCACAAGTTTGCAGCAGATGGAATAAAACCCCAGTTTGTAGAAAAGGTGGACATGAAGGTTCAAGTACCAGGAGGCAACGAAGATCCCAGTCACCTCTCCCTGTACTGGAATGAAACAAAAGCTTCAACAGGACCGGAGCCATCACTCACAACTGAAGGGAAATTGCCCATTTTTAGATCGCATGGAACAAATTCTGCTGGCCCCATAACTCCTCAACACACCACAACAGACATTGCCGACGAAATTAAGTCTGAAGTCGCCTCAGATGCAGGTACGTCGCAGCGAAGTGATGAACACAGGAAGTCGCGCTCCCGTGGGCTTCCACGCGTAACGACCGAGACGCTCACCCTAGCTCTGCGGGAGACAGAGGAGTCCTGGGAAGCACAGGCCACAGGCCCCATCGTCTCACAGCTGCCTAGTGCCGCCGCGCCCTTTGCACCGCAAACCTATCAGTTTGCGGCTCCCACTGAACACTTGCAACATAGCCAACTCCGCGTGAGCCCTGAACCTCCATCGACAGAACCTAAGGTTGGTGAATTTAGCCAAGGAAATTTGGAAATATCTTCTTCAATGGATAACTCACACTTCGAAGCAGACACGAAGGCCAAAGGTTTGACCAATTTCAGTTCTGGTCCTTCCAATAAATTTACAAGATATACATCAAGTTTTATGGGACATTTTATACAGGAAAATATTCAAATGACAAGTGACCAGCTTGAGTCAAAGCAAAGTCCTCCAAAAGTTGAACTAACTCAGTCAAGTGAAGATGCTGACTCTCAGTGGCATGTCGCTTTGATGCAAAATAATAGATCACCTTTAGATTATTACTTGGATGAAACTCATAGAGATGTAGAGGTTATGTTTTGCAATAACATTCAACAAGCTCCTGAATACTCTCAACACTTGAAACAAGTTGCATTCTACCCTTCCATTGAGGCTATGGACCCTCGCGGAGCATCAGAGAGAGGCATGGCCGAAGAGCTTAGTCGGCATCCTGAGGGGCTCGAGCTCCCCGGGGAGGTGGTGCACAGCCAGGATGCAAGGCAGAATGAACCAAACAAAAACAACAGTTCTCATCCTCCACTGAGATCTCAGCTATCTTCACAAATCCCCTTTGTTCTACCAGGAAGACAATTGTGTAGTGATATTAAAACACAGGCAGATATCGCTTTTCTTGAAGAAACAAATCATGGAGCTTCACCACAGCAGGGCGATCATAAACCTCATGATGTGCCCAAAGGTGAAATTTCCAACGCTTATGCTAATAAACCGGAGCAAACTGCCGATGACAGGGTTCTAAATAATTTTCAATTGAGCCCAGTCGATCAAACTATTGATACTCATTGGGAAAACTTAATCCACAGTCAGCTTGATAGATATCTAGAGAGTCCACTTTTAGATACCACTTCCTCGAGTTCTAGTGAAATACCAGCAGTGCATTCCTTGGAGGTCCCACTATTACCTCCATCATTGCCCCTGCCTTTAGAAGCTGAGATGTTCACAGAGTCGGCCTTCCCACCCCCGCCTTCACCATCTACCCTGCTGGTTGATGATTCACCCTGGGTAGAAAGGACAACTGAGGTGGGATCGGCTAATGAATGCGTTCCCTGTAATGGGGGACACTCCCATGAGCATCCAGATGACGTCCAATTTTCTAGAGTAACAGCCCATGCTCTGAGGACCTATAGCTCTGCTCCTCAGGACCCAGGGGAGGTGTCCTGGGCTTTGGGACGAGCATCCCTGAGAGACGGTCGACCGATGAGAGTGGTGGACGTGAGGGAGGGCACTGCTCGAACAGACTTGCAGGTCCTGGACAAGAGAGACTCTTTTCGAGCACAAAAAGTCTCAGGGCTGAGGCTGAACCCAAGTAAAGGCTCAGGGCAGCATGAGCCTCGTCCACCAGTGGCTGTAAAACCCAAAAGCCTGACATCTATGCCTCAACCAGTAGTTCAGCAATCCGGCAAGTTCATGAGATCTGGCGTTTACAAGCCACACATACTACGGCAACAGCATTCAAAGCCTGAAGGTTCTGCAGACAAACTGTCCTCGGTAGGGCTGAGAGAGATCAGGATGGGAGATGAACACCAATATTCCAGAGACTCTCCTCACCGTCAGCACCCCCCCTCCCCCAGGTGAGCAATGCAGATGATACGTTAAAGACCAACTCATCCGACAGTATTTAAACAGTTTGACATTGTTCTGTGAAAGAGTCTTAAAATTAAACGTAAAAAATATATGTAATGGTTCCTTTTTAAAAATGTGTACTTTATAGTGAGGTTTAAGTTGTTTGGTCAAGTTAAAACAAATGATAGGAAAGCGATAATTCCCTTTTAATAATAATTGGCCCTTCACGCAGAGGCCAGAGAGGAATAAGCTATAGTGAGGGAAAAAAGTATTTGATCCCCTGCTGATTTTGTACGTTTGCCCACTGACAAAAGAAATGATCAGTCTGTAATTTTAATGGTAGGTTTATTTGAACAGTGTGAGACAGAATAACAACAACAAAATCCAGAAAAACGAATGTCAAATATGTTATGAAATGATTTGCATTTTAATGACGGAAATAAGTATTTGACCCCTCTGCAAAACATGACTTAGTACTCGGTGGCAAAACCCTTGTTGGCAATCACAGAGGTCAGACGTTTCTTGTAGTTGGCCACCAGGTTTGCACACATCTCAGGAGGGATTTTGTCCCACTCCTCTTTGCAGATCTTCTCCAAGTTATTAAGGTTTCGAGGCTGACGTTTGGCAACTCGAACCTTCAGCTCCCTCCACAGATTTTCTATGGGATTAAGGTCTGGAGACTGGCTAGGCCACTCCAGGACCTTAATGTGCTTCTTCTTGAGCCACTCCTTTGTTGCCTTGACCGTGTGCTTTGGGTCATTGTCATGCTGGAATACCCATCCACGACCCATTTTCAATGCCCTGGCTGAGGGAAGGAGGTTCTCACCCAAGATTTGACGGTACATGGCCCCGTCCATCGTCCCTTTCATGCGGTGAAGTTGTCCTGTCCCCTTAGCAGAAAAACACCCCCAAAGCATGTTTCCACCTCCATGTTTGACGGTGGGGATGGTGTTCTTGGGGTCATAGGCAGCATTCCTCCTCCTCCAAACACGGAGAGTTGAGTTGATGCCAAAGAGCTACATTTTAGTCTCATCTGACCACAACACTTTCACCCAGTTGTCCTCTGAATCATTCAGATGTTCATTGGCAAACTTCAGACGGGCATGTATACGTGCTTTCTTGAGCAGGGGGACCTTGCGGGCGCTGCAGGATTTCAGTCCTTCACGTTGTAGTGTGTTACCAATTGTTTTCTTGGTGACTATGGTCCCAGCTGCCTTGAGATCATTGATAAGATGCTCCCGTGTAGTTCTGGGCTGATTCCTCACCGTTCTCATGATCATTGCAACTCCGCGAGGTGAGATCTTGCATGGAGCCCCAGGCCGAGGGAGATTGGCAGTTCTTTTGTGTTTCTTCCATTTGCGAATAATAATAATCGCACCAACTGTATGTCACCTTCTCACCAAGCTGCTTGGCAATGGTCTTGTAGCCCATTCCAGCCTTGTGTAGGTCTACAATCTTGTCCCTGACATCCTTGGAGAGCTCTTTGGTCTTTGCCATGGTGGAGAGTTTGGAATCTGATTGATTGATTGCATCTGTGGACAGGTGTCTTTTATACAGGTAACAAGCTGAGATGAGCACTCCCTCTAAGAGTGTGCTCCTAATCTCAGCTCGTTACATGTATAAAAGACACCTGGGAGCCAGAAATCTTTTATGATTGAGAGGGGGTCAAATACTTATTTCCTCCAAATAAACCTACCTTTAAAATTATAGACTGATCATTTCTTTGTCAGTGGGCAAACGTACAAAATCAGCAGGGGATCAAATACTTTTTTCCCTCACTGTATGTCATGTAAAGGGCCATTGGCTGAAACGTCACCTATTAGACTTTTGAAGCCAATGTTATTGAAGAATGTCTTGACTTAACGCTTTCGTGACTGCAGGAATTCATATTCCTTGGGTCTTTCGGTAAAGTAAAAAAAATATATATATTTTTGAACCTATCTACGTGACTTGACCAAAAGACCCAAATAATATTGAAGAATGTGTTGAGGTTTTTAGTTGCTCGTGTTTGTGCACCACTGCCAACGCAGTATCACGAAATAATTTGTTTCGATGACAACTGGGTATATTGCATTACATGCATATGTGATTTAGGAAATATGAAAATGGGCAATAATTGGAGTACAACGTATACAAAAGTTTGAAAGTTTGTGCGAGAGTGAACACTCATCAGCATTTTCTCAGTCGCAGCTTGGCTCTGGCTCAGCCTCACGCTCAACTGAGCGAGGCTGGGCCCACAGAAATCCTGAGTGTGGCTGGGACTATGCTCAGAGCCAGCTCAAGTTGGACATCTGTGAAAAAGAGCTTTATAGCTAATCGGATTCCTCCAGTATATATATAAATATTCACGATTCTGAAGTTAAGTGTGGCTTTAAGCCGACTCACTGGATCTAGACCCGAGCCTGATTCAAGCCATGCCTAAGAACGGAGACCTGCCTCTAGCACGGCCGCATGTGTGGGGTGGTCGCATTGCGCGCGCGCTGACGACCACGCGCTGCCTGCTGCTCTGTGCACCGCGCAGTGAGGCCGAGCAGGACGCGGCTCCCGGGGTGGAGACGCTTCCCTTTAACGAGCGCCTCCGCCTCTTCCGCCAACGCGAGAGTCAACGCAAGCACACGTGACCCTGCTCTCCTCTGACATTGGAAAGTGGCGAAGGCTGACGAACCACGCACGGTATTAGTCTCAAATGCTTTGCCTCGCTCGTACGTCGGACACAGGTAACGAAAAGCAGATCACTGGACGCATCCATTGTTGCTGGTGGTAAACATCACGCTGCAGAGTTCGTGCAAACACAGCCAGAACTGCTGTGGTTGCACGCATGCCTTGCACTGATTTCAGCCGTATTACGAGTGGTGTCAGGCTCTAGGCCATAGCTCAAGTACAAGTGCCTTGCCCTAAAAATAGCTGCAGAATTTCCAACCTGTGCATAATATGGCTATATGAGGGTGGGTCATGGTTGAGTACCTAACTTTAAGTAATTTAAGAAAAACTATACAAATGTAAAGCTCAATAGCAAATATAATCACTGTGCAAAATACCACGTACAATTTATGAAAGCAATGGAAAGTCAGCAGACAGGGCAGGATTTCACAGAATGACGATGCACAAGGAGAGAGGGGGCAGCACGTTCAGGCTGGATTTTAAAAGAGGCATCAAGCACTGAAACTGGTTGACCACGGGTCAAACTCTTTTTCCTTCACTCTTCACGTTGGTCGCTGACCTGTGGGTGCCGCCTCCATTGCTTGTCCTCGGTAACCATTTCCACATTGCGACCCTCGGCCTGTCTCTTGGTCGGTTCCCTCCTCCTGTGGTGTCCCCGTTCATCAAACCTTGCACTCGGAGAATGTGTCCACTTCAGCTCTTCTCTCTCCTGATGACTTCCATGAACTTATTTTGCACCGTACGTAACCAATCGTGCTCATGCCGTTAAAGATTTTCCACCAAGACATAGCATCCTGCACATGTGCCAATTTTCAAAGGTCACAAGTTTATTTAAAATTAAGTTTGACTACTCTTCTAAATGTTTTTTTATGATTTCAATGCCTGCGGATTTACTTTTCACAACACCCTATTTTATGCACATTACTACCTAAATACATAGTCTGCCACTACCTCCACTTTTTAACTGATAGAGGTGAAGGAAGGGGAGCATCCATAATCAATGCCATGCACTTTTAAGTAAGCTCATGTTCGGTCCAGTGTCCAGTTTTGGTGCCTAAATCTACCAAAATTTGCAATGCCTTCTTCACGAACAAACCTGCATCATCCACACTGCAAGTCTCTTTGCTACAAGTGATCCATTGTGATGCTTGTTTTCTAGCACTTATTAATGGTCCTCAGCCATCGAACAACCACCGTTTACTTTCCATAATTAGGTAGTCATTTAGTGCTCAATTTACTGACCCGAGACGGGCGATGGGCTAAATCAAACTTGATCATGATTCACAACCTCACACTTATGAGCTCATTGCCCTATCGGCGTGAGTTATATTGGTGATGAATGTGTAAATATAACGTTATAAACGTATACTCTATATCAACGCTTACTATCGACCAGAGGTTAATTGAGAAATTGGTCGTGTGGAATGAGGACGATGAGGCCAAGGTGATTTTGTTTCGCTTGAGAGTTGACACTCGAACCTACATCACTAATTACAGCTTCTGGCAACCATCCTGGTTAAACTGGCTGGGTGTGATCTTATGGAAGCAAATACGTATACTGTATTGTATATATTTCCTTTACAGTTTCATGCAATGAAATGTATAATTTTATACGTAGGCTTTTACAACCATTATGAATCAATTATTTGTGTGTACATAGTAAGGTATCAAGGCTAGATATTACGCATGCTCTAAATGACAGACAATTAATTTTAACATTGATATCATCACCCTGTAAACTAGCATGTTTTCTGGTTGGTTAATTTTGGATTTTATTGATGTACACTAATAAAAAAAATCGTGCATATTTATGAAGTTTCACCTTCATTTAGAAAATGTGTGACCTAAGACAAGTGGGCCAATATGCAGCTCTTCAGGAAATGCTGATGTTTTTTGGCTAATACCTAAAGGTTGTTCACCTTTTACATGCTTTCTGTATTTTGTGAAACTCGCGGTTTTCCAACCCGCACTACAATATCATGTATGTTATAATATTTTATTCTCGTCATGTACAGATTTCACCCTCAACATTTATTGTGGTTTTGTTAACCATTCCCTTCACTCTCAACATTTATCGTGATTTTGTTAACTGTTCCCCTTTATTTCAATGCACAACCCATTACTATGTTAGTTTTGACATAAATTAAGGTGGCAGCATCTATGTAACACTCATTAATTAGATGAAAACACCTTCGTATATATCTTGACTTAAAGCTTTCGTGAATGCAGGAATTAATTCTTTGGGTCTTTCGGTAAAGCCACATAGAAAAAGAATAAAAAATATCACGACGTTTAGATCGCAACACAAGCAATCGTCATCAGGTGAAAAAATATAGTGGGAGAGCTACTGAGGCAGGAAAAAATATAGCGGCAGGATGTTATAAAGGTTTGAGATGGGTGTAGCCCAAGCACCATAAGTGAAGTAGGCGGGGCTAGAGATGAAATTTGCATGTAAATGTAAGATCGGAGAGCTGAGCTACCTCCACGACGACGAAGCTGTAGAGGTGGCCAATGTATTGTGAGAGATTAGCATGTCAATATCAGAAAAACGAGAGCCACCGCCATATCGAGGAAAACGAGCAATGGTGGCTGTGTTAGTGAGATATTTAGCCTGTTAATGTAAAGACATTTAATCGAACCAACCAAGCGGCTTTCCTTAAAACCCTCTGCTGTCAGTTTCGATGTGGTATCTTTGTTTACCAAAGTTCCTGTGCCTGATACCATTGCAATAATTGAAGATTTGGTCCAACAAGGACTGAATGCTGATGTACCAGCCCTGGTTAGACACTGCCTCACCAACACTTACTTCACCTGGAATGGAACATTCTACAAACAAGTTGAAGGTACCCCAATGGGTTCTCTCTTATCTCCAGTTGTAGCCAATGTTTTCACGGAGAAATTTGAGACAGATTCTATCCAGGCATCCATCCTACATCCTTCCTTGTGGAAGAGATACGTAGATGATACATTTGTCATCTGGCCACATGGCCTACCAGCTCTGGACCAATTCTTCAACCACATCAATTCCATACACCCAGCCATCAAATTCACCACGGAGGTGGAAAAGGATGGCAAGTTACTATTCTTGGATTTTTTATCGAAAAGAGACCTGATGGCTCAATGGGACACTGTATACAGGAAATCCACCCATACGGATGCCTACCTAAAACCTGACTCCCATCACCATCCATCCCAGAAGAATTCCCTCATCAAAACTCTACACCATAGAGCTAGATGTATTTCCGACCATCACCACCTAGCCAGTGAACTGGAGCACGTACACCAAGCCCTCAAGAAGAATGGATATTCAGACTACACAATCCGTGAAGCTATCACCCCAACTGTTGGGAAAGAACCATCTGAGGACCCAATAAAAACCATCACCTTGCCATACATAGCAGGAGTCACCAAAAAGATTTCCAAAATCATGAGCAAACACAAGATCCAGGTACGATTCCACACAGTACATAAAATTCGTGATTTGATCCCATCTGTGAAGGATGTGATCCCTGACATGCAATACCCCGGTGTCTACAAACTAAGCTGTGTCTGCGGCAGCAGTTACATTGGGGAAACTAAGCGATATGTCTCGGATCAGGTTCGTGAACATAAGGCAGATCTGAAACACGGTAGGACCAATACCTCAGCCATGGCAGATCATTATTTTAATGCTGTGGGCACACGAAATTGATTTTACCAAGACGAAGGTACTCTGCAAACCCACTGGCTATCAGCAAAGATTTGTTCATGAAGCCATCCAGATATACAAACACAGACACAATTTCAACCGAGAAGATGGGTACAAACTAAGCAATCATTGGAAGGACGTTATTAACCAGTTTAGGTCATAACTGGCTGTGTTGTTCCCTTCCTACCTACCTATGCTAGCAGTTATTTTCGACTGTCTGAGTTACATTCACTCACACAGCCACCATTAGCTGTGTTAGTAAATGGCGGCTTGCCATCCTTTTCCACCTCCATGTGGCAATGGCTCTTTCCGAGCTGTCTCCGAGCTTACATTTACAAGAAAATTTCTTACATTGTCATCCTAATCTCTCACAATACAATGGCCACCCCCACAGCTTCGTTTGTTAAGATTATCCGATCTTACATTTACATGCAAATTTCATCTCTAGCCCCGCCCACTGACCCTTGGGCTACACCCATCTCAAACCTTTATAACTCCCTGCCTTAGCAGCGCTCCCGCCATATATGTTTTTCCGCCTCAGCAGCTCTCCCGCTATATTTTTCACCTGATGACGATTGCTTGTGTTGCGATCGAAACGTCGTGATATTGTTATTATTTTTCTATCTACGTGGCTTTACCTAAAGACCCAGGGAATATAATATAAAGACATTTAACCTGGTAATGTAACTCAGAGAGTCGAAAATAACTGCATAAGCAAAGTGGGCGGAGCTAGAGATGAAATTTGCATATAAATGTAAGATCGGAGAGCTGAGCTACCTCCACGACGACAAACTGTATGGGTCTACTATATGGTACATATAGTTGGGGCTGCATGGCCAAAATTGCACTATTATGGCTTCTGGCTCTGTATATGGGTCTATTTGTATCTCTGAGTCTCTTTGTATCTCTGAGTCTCTGTGGGTCTATGCGTCTCTTTGTATCTCTGAGTCTCTGTGGGTCTATGAGTCTCTTTGTATCTCTGAGTCTCTGTGGGTCTATGTGTCTCTTTGTATCTCTGAGTCTCTGTGGGTCTATGCGTCTCTTTGTATCTCTGAGTCTCTGTGGGTCAATGCGTCTCTCCGTATCTCTGAGTCTCTGTGGGTCTATGAGTCTCTTTGTATCTCTGAGTCTCTGTGGGTCTATGCGTCTCGTATCTCTGAGTCTCTGTGGGTCTATGCGTCTCTTTGTATCTCTGAGTATCTGTGAGTCTATGCGTCTCGTTGTATCTCTGAGTCTCTGTGGGTCTATGCGTCTCTTTGTATCTCTGAGTCTCTGTGGGTCTATGAGTCTCTTTGTATCTCTGAGTATCTGTGGGTCTCTGTGTCTCTGGATATCTCTGAGTCTCTGTGAGTCTATGCATCTCTTTGTATCTCTGAGTCTCTGTGGGTCTGAGTCTCTTTGTATCTCTGAGTCTCTGTGGGTCTATGCGTCTCGTTGTATCTCTGAGTCTCTGTGGGTCTATGCGTCTCTTTCTATCTCTGAGTCTCTGTGAGTCTATGAGTCTCTTTGTATCTGAGTCTCTGTGGGTCTATGAGTCTCTTTGTATCTCCAAGTCTCTGTGGGTCTCTGTGTCTCTGGATATCTCTGAGTCTCTGTGAGTCTATGCGTCTCGTTGTATCTCTGAGTCTCTGTGGGTCTATGCGTCTCTTTGTATCTCTGAGTATCTGTGGGTCTATGAGTCTCTTTGTATCTCTGAGTCTCTGTGGGTCTATGCGTCTCGTTGTATCTCTGAGTCTCTGTGGGTCTATGCGTCTCTTTGTATCTCTGAGTCTCTGTGAGTCTATGCGTCTCTTCGTATCTCTGAGTCTCTGTTGGTCTATGAGTCTCTTTGTATCTCTGAGTCTCTGTGGGTCTATGCGTCTCGTATCTCTGAGTCTCTGTGGGTCTATGCGTCTCGTATCTCTGAGTCTCTGTGGGTGTATGCGTCTCTTTGTATCTCTGAGTATCTGTGAGTCTATGCGTCTCTTTGTATCTCTGAGTCTCTGTGGGTCTATGCGTCTCTTTGTATCTCTGAGTCTCTGTGGGTCTATGAGTCTCTTTGTATCTCTGAGTATCTGTGGGTCTCTGTGTCTCTGGATATCTCTGATTCTCTGTGAGTCTATGCATCTCTTTGTATTTCTGAGTCTCTGTGGGTCTGAGTCTCTTTGTATCTCTGATTCTCTGTGGGTCTATGCGTCTCGTTGTATCTCTGAGTCTCTGTGGGTCTATGCGTCTCTTTCTATCTCTGAGTCTCTGTGAGTCTATGAGTCTCTTTGTATCTGAGTCTCTGTGGGTCTATGAGTCTCTTTGTATCTCCGAGTCTCTGTGGGTCTCTGTGTCTCTGGATATCTCTGAGTCTCTGTGAGTCTATGCGTCTCGTATCTCTGAGTCTCTGTGGGTCTATGCGTCTCTTTGTATCTCTGAGTATCTGTGGGTCTATGAGTCTCTTTGTATCTCTGAGTCTCTGTGGGTCTATGCGTCTCGTTGTATCTCTGAGTCTCTGTGGGTCTATGCGTCTCTTTCTATCTCTGAGTCTCTGTGAGTCTATGAGTCTCTTTGTATCTGAGTCTCTGTGGGTCTATGAGTCTCTTTGTATCTCCGAGTCTCTGTGGGTCTCTGTGTCTCTGGATATCTCTGAGTCTCTGTGAGTCTATGCGTCTCTTTGTATCTCTGAGTCTCTGTGGGTCTATGAGTCTCTTTGTATCTCTGAGTATCTGTGGGTCTATGCGTCTCGTATCTCTGAGTCTCTGTGGGTCTGTGCGTCTCTTTGTATCTCTGAGTCTCTGTGGATCTGTGCGTCTCTTTGTATCTCTGAGTATCTGTGGGTCTATGCGTCTCTTTGTATCTCTGAGTCTCTGTGGGTCTATGAGTCTCTTTGTATCTCTGAGTCTCTGTGGGTCTATGTGTCTCTGGATATCTCTGAGTCTCTGTGGGACTATGCGTCTCGTTGTATCTCCGAGTCTCTGTGGGTCTATGCGTCTCTTTGTATCTCTGAGTCTCTGTGGGTCTATGCGTCTCTGTGGGTCTATGAGTCTCTTTGTATCTCTGAGTCTCTGTGGGTCTATGCGTCTCTGGATATCTCTGAGTCTCTGTGGGTCTATGCGTCTCTTTGTATCTCTGAGTCTCTGTGGGTCTATGAGTCTCTTTGTATCTCTGAGTCTCTGTGGGTCTATGTGTCTCTTTGTATCTCTGAGTATCTGTGGGTCTATGTGTTTCGTTGTATCTCTTGAGTCTCTGTGGGTCTATGCGTCTCTTTGTATCTCTGAGTCTCTGTGGGTCTATGAGTCTCTTTGTATCTCTGAGTCTCTGTGGGTCTATGTGTCTCTGGATATCTCGGAGTCTCTGTGGGACTATGCGTCTCTTTGTGTCTCTGAGTCTCTGTGGGTCTATGCGTCTCGTTGTATCTCTGAGTCTCTGTGGGTCTATGCGTCTCTTTGTATCTCTGAGTCTCTGTGGGTCTATGAGTCTCTTTGTATCTCTGAGTCTCTGTGGGTCTATGTGTCTCTTTGTATCTCTGAGTCTCTGTGGGTCTATGCGTCTCGTATCTCTGAGTCTCTGTGGGTCTATGCGTCTCTTTGTATCTCTGAGTCTCTGTGGGACTATGCATCTCTTTGTATCTCTGAGTCTCTGTGGGTCTATGCGTCTCTTTGTATCTCTGAGTCTCTGTGGGTCTATGAGTCTCTTTGTATCTCTGAGTATCTGTGGGTATCTGTGTCTTCGGATATCTCTGAGTCTCTGTGAGTCTATGCGTCTCGTTGTATCTCTGAGTCTATGTGGGTCTATGCGTCTCTTTGTATCTCTGAGTCTCTGTGGGTCTATGCGTCTCTTTGTATCTCTGAGTCTCTGTGGGTCTATGCGTCTCTTTGTATCTCTGAGTCTCTGTGGGTCTATGAGTCTCTTTGTATCTGTGAGTCGTGGGTCTATTGAGTCTCTTTGTATCTCTGAGTCTCTGTGGGTCTATGCGTCTCTTTGTATCTGAGTCTCTGTGGGTCTATGCGTCTCTTTGTATCTCGGTGTTTCTGTGGGTCGATGCGTCTCTGGATATCTGAGTATTTACTTTTCCATAATTTGGGCCACATGGCCACAGTTACCCTATGACGTCACCGCTCGAATTATTTACATCGACGCTATGGACGTCACTGCGCCAAGTCGTAATTGGGTCACGTGGTGGCGCGGCGGCGTGACGTCGCCACCGAGCGGTTGGTCGCGCGATAGTGACGTCGCGTCCGTGTGTTTTCCCGCGCGCCGCTTTTCCTCACGGGTTACGTGGCCCGCGTCACGTGTTGCACGCCGACCAATGGGAGCCGAGCGCGGGCCGTCCGGACGCGGTGGAGACGATGGAGTCGCGGATCCCGCTCTGCTCCCGCAGCGCCGCGGAAGTCGCGGCGCGCCGCGTCGCTGCCGCCATCGATGAGCTGCTGGCGCGCAGTCTGTCCGATGAGCGGCGTGCCATCGCCTCAGAGCTCATCGTAGCGGTGAGCGGCCATGCGAGTCTTGTGAACGAGGCAGGGCCTAACCGAAAACCCGTGCTAACCCTGCTTTGCGCACCCTGGCCTGTCCTCCCTCCCTGTCCTGCCTTGCCCTCCTGCCCTGTCCTCCCTCCCTGTCCTGCCTTGCCCTCCTGGCCTGTCCTCCCTCCCTGTCCTGCCTTGCCCTCCTGGCCTGCCCTCCCTGTCCTGCCTTGTCCTCCTGCCCTGTCCTCCCTCCCTGTCCTGCCTTGCCCTCCTGCCCTGTCCTCCCTGTCCTGCCTTGCCCTCCTGGCCTGTCCTCCCTCCCTGTCCTGCCTTGCCCTCCTGGCCTGTCCTCCCTCCCTGTCCTGCCTTGCCCTCCTGCCCTGTCCTCCCTCCCTGTCCTGCCTTGCCTTCCTGCCCTGTCCTCCCTCCCTGTCCTGCCTTGCCCTCCTGGCCTGTCCTCCCTCCCCGTCCTGCCTTGTTCTCCTGGCCTGTCCTCCCTCCCTGTCCTGCCTTGCCCCCCTGGCCTGTCCTCCCTCCCTGTCCTGCCTTGCCCTCCTGTCCTGTCCTCCCTGTCCTGCCTTGCCCTCCTGGCCTGTCCTCCCTCCCTGTCCTGCCTTGCCCTCCTGGCCTGTCCTCCCTTCCTGTCCTGCCTTGCCCTCCTGGCCTGCCCTCCCTGTCCTGCCTTGCCCTCCTGGCCTGTCCTCCCTCCCTGTCCTGCCTTGCCCTCCTGGCCTGTCCTCCCTCCCTGTCCTGCCTTGCCCTCCTGGCCTGTCCTCCCTCCCTGTCCTGCCTTGCCCTCCTGGCCTGTCCTCCCTCCCTGTCCTGCCTTGCCCTCCTGGCCTGTCCTCCCTCCCTGTCCTGCCTTGCCCTCCTGGCCTGTCCTCCCTCCCTGTCCTGCCTTGCCCTCCTGGCCTGCCCTCCCTGTCCTGCCTTGCCCTCCTGGCCTGTCCTCCCTCCCTGTCCTGCCTTGCCCTCCTGGCCTGCCCTCCCTGTCCTGCCTTGCCCTCCTGGCCTGTCCTCCCTCCCTGTCCTGCCTTGCCCTCCTGGCCTGTCCTCCCTCCCTGTCCTGCCTTGCCCTCCTGGCCTGTCCTCCCTCCCTGTCCTGCCTTGCCCTCCTGGCCTGTCCTCCCTCCCTGTCCTGCCTTGCCCTCCTGGCCTGCCCTCCCTCCCTGTCCTGCCTTGCCCTCCTGGCCTGCCCTCCCTCCCTGTCCTGCCTTGCCCTCCTGGTCTGTCCTCCCTCCCTGTCCTGCCTTGCCCTCCTGCCCTGTCCTCCCTGTCCTGCCTTGCCCTCCTGGCCTGTCCTCCCTCCCTGTCCTGCCTTGTCCCCCTGGCCTGTCCTCCCTCCCTGTCCTGCCTTGCCCTCCTGGCCTGTCCTCCCTCCCTGTCCTGCCTTGCCCTCCTGGCCTGTCCTCCCTCCCTGTCCTGCCTTGTCCCCCTGGCCTGTCCTCCCTCCCTGTCCTGCCTTGCCCTCCTGGCCTGTCCTCCCTCCCTGTCCTGCCTTGCCCTCCTGGCCTGTCCTTCCTCCCTGTCCTGCCTTGCCCTCCTGGCCTGTCCTCCTTCCCTGTCCTGCCTTGCCCTCCTGCACTGTCCTCCCTCCCTGTCCTGCCTTGCCCTCCTGGCCTGTCCTCCCTCCCTGTCCTGCCTTGCCCTCCTGGCCTCTCCTCCCTCCCTGTCCTGCCTTGCCCTCCTGGCCTGCCCTCCCTCCCTGTCCTGCCTTGCCCTCCTGGCCTGTCCTCCCTCCCTGTCCTGCCTTGCCCTCCTGCCCTGTCCTCCCTGTCCTGCCTTGCCCTCCTGGCCTGTCCTCCCTCCCTGTCCTGCCTTGTCCCCCTGGCCTGTCCTCCCTCCCTGTCCTGCCTTGCCCTCCTGGCCTGTCCTCCCTCCCTGTCCTGCCTTGCCCTCCTGGCCTGTCCTCCCTCCCTGTCCTGCCTTGTCCCCCTGGCCTGTCCTCCCTCCCTGTCCTGCCTTGCCCTCCTGGCCTGTCCTGCCTTGCCCTCCTGGCCTGTCCTTCCTCCCTGTCCTGCCTTGCCCTCCTGGCCTGTCCTCCTTCCCTGTCCTGCCTTGCCCTCCTGCACTGTCCTCCCTCCCTGTCCTGCCTTGCCCTCCTGGCCTGTCCTCCCTCCCTGTCCTGCCTTTCCCTCCTGGCCTCTCCTCCCTCCCTGTCCTGCCTTGCCCCCCTGACCTGTCCTCCCTCCCTGTCCTGCCTTGTCCTCCCTGCCGTTCCCTGCACTCCCCACCCCCCTTTCCTCCCTCCCTGTCCTTTGCCCTTCACCCTGTAATTCCCTGCTCTGCTTCCGACCAGCACTGCACTGCCCACACCGACTGTCCCAGCAGGGCACATCATGCATGTTGACAAATGCACACACGCATTACTTGTGTTGGTTAGCGTTAGTCATGGGCATTGCGGCCATATGAACCTCATGGCGGGACCCCGGGGTCCCGAATAAAAGTCAAAATCGTGATTAATTTATTTTTGGCGACTCTGTCCCACTGCGCACATAAACGCCGCGACCCACCTGGCGCGGATTGTTTTGTTGTCGTCCAAGCACAGCAGCTACGACGAATGCGCACAAGAGCTGAACAAGCGAATGCACTCCATGCTCGGGTATGGGCAGGATCATAATAAGTCTTACCCAAAGCTGCCCAAACTGCCTACACGACTTAAGTCATTTGTCATAACGGTATGTATAATACAGTGCAACTGCTCTCTTATCTTCATTATTATTTGTGACCTACCAATGTCTGCAGCCAGGATCAATCGATGACAATTCTATTACCTGCAGATATTTAACATATGAGATGCGTTGCACCGTTAATTCCTCCTGTTTGATAATACTTCTCTCTTCCGTATGCATCTGTGCAGATAGGTTTTTTTTCCGGTTAAGCCATAGTCCCCACATACCGCTCGTATCAATGCGGATAAGAGGAGCGGCGACCCACTACTCTTTAGAGTAACATTGGTATAAACGTTTGTTACAATTTGAACAACGCATTGAAAACGCGTACTATTTACCTACTGTTTACAAAGTGTGTTCACAAATCCACACTGAGAAACACGATGATTGACAGAGGGGTGTAAATTATTTTTCGATAGTATATTTAAATAGAGGTACTGCAGGTAAATAGTTTTCAGTTTTAAAGCCTTAGTTTGACAAGACAACACTTGCCACCATCTTTCAACCCATTGGTGAAAAAGAGCAAAGTTTTTGTTTACATTATAATATAATGTTTATATTATATATAATATAATGTTTACATTATAATATGTTTACATTATAATATAATGTTTATGCGAGAGCCGGGGGCTTATGGGACCCCGGGGTTCCGCCATGAGGTTCATATGTAAAATTTTATATTCGTGACAAGACATACGCAAGATTCTTACAGGACGGTATATCCCGCATCGATATCGCTAATACACATCAGAGGTATTGAGTTTGGCTGGTTCTGAGTGATGTCAATATTTTATTGTTCAGAATGATCTTTTTTAAACCACTTTACATTCACTATGAGTGCTGTGAAATTCATAATCCTGTTTAATTTAGCTCAGGTGATATCTCCCTGAGGTTGCGTTTCTCAGATGTTGGGATTCGGACTGCCACTCACATTCACTATCCTTCATTCGTGAATGTCATCAGTGTATCTACCTTACAGCAAAGTCCAATTGTTTTCGACACTGAAAAAAAGCTTGACATGGGTAGTATGCAAGCCTGAGTTGGGTGATGCATTGCGTTGCCTTTCAGACCTCATCTTCGGTAATATTGAGGTCTGTTAATCGCAACATTCACATCAAACACTGTCTGCTTCACCCTTAGAGACGCGGTTATGTCTCAGTGGGATTGTTTACAGTGGAGCTGTGATGCTTCTGTGCTTGCAGACCATAGTGAGAGGTCTGCAGGAAAATGTGACGATAAACGGCAAGCTGTGGCATGAAATTCCTGAAGTGGAAGATCCCCTGCAAGGTATGCAATTGTAAGATGCTGTAAACTACATTCTTCAGCCAAACGAATGTCACCTCGTGTTAGAAACGATCTATAGAACAGGAAGCTACAGAATTACTGGGGTCACGTTCTTGGCGTTATCTCAACACTAGATGGCACTCGGGTTTTGTAAATCACTTCACTGCTTCTTCGCCTGTTATACAGCATGAATAATTATTGGTTTCAGCCCTCACAGTTAAACTGATGATGACGAATGAGCAATTTGTGTTTTTTACACAGATGCTTATACCAGCAACTTGCTGGACATGAAAAAAAAAATAATTGGGGGTGGCTGAAATTTGAATAAATTGTCTGAGTTGGTTCTGCCTCAATTCTGTTGACACATGAATCCTCCACTTGAGCCACTGATGTGAAAGTTAGAGTAGGTTATGAAGCCCACGAGATGAGATTTATGATACTTTGTTAATGAGCCATGATGGATATATTGCTGTCGGGTCCATGGTTGGTTAATCAATTCCAGAGCTACTCTCTGGGAAAAATTATATATTCTTTTAAAGCATGGGACATGCTTATTTTCCTTGGATTTTAAAATTATTCAGTTAATGGTGCACACATTATTCAGGTTTATGAAACCCGGGGATAGGTACCTCAGGTTGTCTATTGTGAGGAGATATTAGGTTGGGTTCAGAGAGGCAATAGAGGGGTAACAAGAATTGGTAACTGCTTTTATAATAAGTCCACAATATGGTAGACAGAAAATGTATAGAGGTAGTGAAGGATGGTGGGTATGTGATGATGTTTGAAACTGAAGGTGTGGAAATTGGAAGGCAAGAGAATTGTAGAGGCAAGGTTGGGTACAGAGGCACAACAGTTGTATGTCATGAGGCAAGGATACATTTTTATGACATATACCCATGTATGTGTAGTGACATAGCACTGACTGTTGTACTGCAACTGCAGGAGGGCACTTAGCGCACACGCCGTTGAGCATCTACACGGGTATGCCGGCAGGGCAGAGGCACTGGGGCAAGGGTCACGATAGACCTTGTGGGGGAGCCCCTGGACCCCTCTGGTGAGTTCAAGAAGGGAGGCGCGGCTAGGGCGGAGCCAAGACGCGCCGAGGGGAATAAAAGCAGCGAAGAGCGAGAGCTCCAGGCTGCCAGTTCTGGGATTGGACTCGTCTCGTCATCGCTGTCGTCATCGCCTTCGCCCGATCATTGCGCGGCCTGACATTAGTTGGCTGTCCCGGTCGACGCCGTCGGTGGAACAGGGTCGTGTCTGGGATGGGTCGTGAGCAGTGTGGTCGAGAGAGAGAGAGAGGGGGCCCGAGTGGTGACATAAACTCAACAACAATAAAAGGGGAGGACGGTGCCTCCTGCGATTACCTCGTCTCCGACTGAGTGTGTGCGACGCACGCCACCCGCATGCACACACAACTCTCGAGCAAGAAGGAAGAAGAGACCTACGACACTACATATGTAAACATGCAGAGTGACGGAAAATAGTTAATATCAAACTTGATCTTGCAACCTACATAATAGTAATATAAGAATACGGAAACCAAGCAAAGCGTTCAGCTAAAACTAAGAATTTGAATTACCGCAATTAAAGCTTGTTTTTGCCAATTTCAGGTTTTTCCTTTATCTGCGATCTTTATTTCTGCAATCAGATATGGACATGGCAAGCTTGGATAAGACTCGGAACAATTACATTACGACCGTGGCCGGCAAGCGACGGCGCTACCCCAAGCGGATCCTCAACCACTTTGTCCGGGAGCTGAAGGCTGAGCGAGAGTGTCTGGTACGAAAGCAGGCCTTTTCACATCTGATCCCAGCTTGATGAGAACCATGGGCCATAGACACATCATGAACCATACACTATATATACACCTGATGCTGTATAATCTGTATGCATAAGAGATTTAGTATCCATTTCTAGATTGTTGGGAGTGGGTGAGTTATGTTTATTATAGTTCAGTCTTGTATTTTCTACAGAACTGGTGATAGATGGCTGAAGAATTCAGCGGCACCAAGTTTCAGGTTAATGGTCTGCTGATAGTGAAGCTATGAGGCCCACATCTGTAATAAACGCTTGCAGCTGCAGTACTCATAGAAGCAGTCTTCACATACCAGGCCCCCACTCCCACTGAAGTCCACCTACACCTTGCTTGACTCAAGGCCCTTTAGGTAGACACTTAAGGTGATTATTTCACACTTTTTATTTAAATAACTTCATTTTATTGAATGCTAGTGAGGACCATTTACCACTACATTTGAATCTGTAGGTTGGATGAAATGAGCTGTGGCATTGGTTGGGCCTGCGGGCCATAGTTTTTATATATCTGCATTAAATCTTATCTACCTGTTCAACAATGATAATTTACTTCCTCTAGGAAATGTGTGTGCATACCATGATTGCCTGTTTGTCATTACAGAGGTTTTCCCATTGAGCCATACAGCCTTATTATAAACAGTCCATGTGCTTTCTGTGTTATTCCTATGAAAACTGATACCTCCTGGTTTCTGAACAACCATGGAACATCTAAGTTTAAATTGTAAATGTTTGATAAAGGGTTGTTTTTTGTTGATAATTTATATTTATCTTGTTCCAGAAATTGTACCATCCTTATCTTCCAAAAAGCCTGAAGAAGGAATGCAACACAGGTGCTTTGTGGAGTCTGTTAAAGTGCAGTTTAACGTTGTTTACACGTTATCACATGTACAAGTTAGCCCAAGTATGTATATTGAACTTATTTTGCACCTTACGTCGTCAATCTTGCTAATTGGAGGTGCATTACATTGATTGTGTTGGCATATATTGGTGAGTGTAATATTCCCCTTTGTCCTGTCCCGCTGACAGTTGTGTGCGGCGAGTCTGTAGACGATGCTAAGCACAAAGAGCTGAGTGAGCGGGTGACGTGCCTCGCTACGGAAACATCAGCAGTCATGAAGGTATACGCATGCCTTGTTTATACAGCCCATAATCATGTTGTGGCTCTGGATGTGTTGTGTTTTTATGTGATTTCGTGCATAGCTGCTTGAGATGATTGCATGACAAAAGTTGGGGGTCCCCTTTTTAAATGTAAAAAGGGGATCCCCAACTTAACCTCTCCTTCTTGTACTTATACGATAATTTCTGATGTGACTTAAATTTATCGCTATGCTTGAGTAATCACAGCTCGTCACTACTTTCACCCTTTCTCTTACCCCCACTATGACTAAAGATGGAGATGTGTGGAGCAGCGTGCTGTTCTCAACATCCTGTATTTTTCATGCCATTGTCTCTGCTGGTTGCTCAAATTCTCTGCAATTGGCACCTCTGCCATCATCTCTTTTATGGAGTCCTCTCCTAACCCTGCATCTACCAGAAATATGTCCCATGCCTGCCTACTCGCTCTTCTGTGTTGCCTTAACTCTGGTACCATGGTGGACCTCCTCATTGCAAAAGGATTGGATTTTTTTAGAAATTGCAAATTAAAATCAAGTGCAGCTAAACCTGTCTTAACCCATCTAGCACCAGAGCCCTAAATCCTCATTAGAACTGCAACTTGATCCAAATCCGCCCATAAGCAGCGTGGCCTTATGACACCGCAGTGCATTAGCAGACGCAGCAGCAGCACGGGGCAGCAGCAGTAGCCTCCACAGTCGGAGGCGACGCACCATGGAGCAGCTCGTTATACAGATGTCTCGTGCAAATATAATTGTGTCTGTGGAATTTGAAGTATATGACCGGTGTAACTTTAACTCCAATTATAGAAATTTACATTTTTCAATCTGACTGCTTTTTCTTCCAAGTTGTTGCCCTCCATGCTGACAAAAGTGGACAATCTCTGCAAGGCTGTGGAGTCGACGAACGGCATGGCCACGGGCGGCACCAACGCGATCGTGCACTCGCCCAGCGTCGAGGTGACCCCCGTGGGAGAGGCTCACGCAGGGTTGCAGCTCCCCGGCACACCCCTCAAGGTGTCGGCAGAGCGGCACAGCCTGCTCCGCCCACGGGCGCAGCCCGATGAGCAGCGGCGTGTGACACTGCGCCGCAGGCTAGCAGTGGATATGTCTCCTGAGTAGCCCACGGTGGATTTTGTTTGAAGAGCCCACTTGTTTTTTTCTTATGTTTTAGCTTTCTGTCATTGTAAAATAAATACACCATTTAAACAAACCTGCATGTTCACAGCTGGGTAATGTTGTTTTGTACCCATAAAGCAGAATCACTTGTATAGTTTTCCATTTTCTCTTTATATATGCTAAAATATAATTGAACAATCTTGCTAGGGAATGCTGGGGTTATCTTAGACCAGTTTCCCAAAACGGAGGTCAAAGTAGGTTCAGATTAAGTGATTAATCAATCGGAACACGTTTGTGGGACTACTGGAGCTGCTTGCAGTGATGACTCCTCTGACCCTGGCCGGAAGAGTCAGTGCTTTGCATATGCAACATGACTGGTATGCCTGCAGAGAAAATCTCATCAATGTATAAAATGTGGGGACTGTCACCTGAAGTTTAAGAGACCCTGGATTAAATTCGTGTTCTTGGAAACATGCCAATGCTGCTTTGCAGTTGACTTAAAACGTTTGATTTATATTTTTTAGCCTGTGGCTGTCAATTGTGATCAGTCCAGCTGAATTGTTAGAGTGCACGTTAATCTTGGTGGTACAACACCGAGGTTTGTGTTTAATTCTAGATTTAAAGCTTTCGTGACTGCTAGGATCCATACTCTTTGGTTCTATTGGGTAAAGTCACGTAGGTGAATTAACTGAAGCAACTTTAAAGCAACTTTGTCCAGAAAAAAAAACTATCGATGTCTTCCAATGATTGAGATGATTGGTCTAATTTACTTTCTTGCAGTTCCAGGCATTTGCCAACTTCAATTTAAATCACACACATTTCCAATGTGGGGAATCTTTTCTGCACCTCCTTTTTATCACCTTATATGTATCTCGGTAGATAAATCAAACCTCGTATAAACAAAACACATTGTTGCCATCACAGAATGAAATTGTTTTTGGAGTGTGCCATTCAAAATAAATATATTGGCACAATAAGTATTGTAACTTCTGTGATGCGAATAACATTAAGGGTAATCTAATCTTCTTTGGTTCTTTCGGTAAAGTCACGTAGAATGAGAATAAAATAATAAAATAAAACAATAAAATTTTCACGACGTTTCGGCCACAACACAAGTGGCCTTCAGGTGAAAGGAACAAACCTGTCGGGACGACAGAGCTCTGTCGTTCTGTCCTTTCACCTGAAGAAGGCCACTTGTGTTGTGGCCGAAACGTCGTGAGAATTTTATTGTTTTATTTTATTCTCATTCTACGTGACTTTACTGAAAGAACCAAAGAAGATGAATCCTTGCAGTCACGAAAGCTTTAAATGGTAATCTAATCGCTTACTTGATAACTATTTTCGAATTTCACAATACATATCTTAGCAATTGGGTGAAATTGTGCAAAAATTCTAATTGTGTTATAAATTTTGGCACAGGTAAATCCCATTTGGCAATGAATGCACATTTTGTATGGGGACCTGGTTACACGATTACACCTGGTTACAGCAGAAAAAGCCATGAAGAAAACAATGCCACAAACAACTACATGGTCAAGTTCCAACTGACAAGGTCGTGCATCAACTCGGTACAACAACACAAGACGAGTAGAATGTATCACATACAAACTTGTGGAGTATTATGAGCTGTAATTCTACTTGAGCAGCCTAAGGACAACCTGAAATATTGTTTCCGAGTAACCATTACTTTTGAATGGGCCTCGTGGTTTTGGTGGATGGCTCTTGCTGGTAAAAACTCGCAGCATTTATTTCACATGTTTAACTGCTGTTGACATTTGGTAAGTTGAGATTTGGCTTAAACATTTATTGAAAACACTCATCCAAAGGGCCTGCAGGCTGAGGTACTAAAGTGAACATTTCATGAAAAGGCAAACTTGTCTGAGCAGTTAGGATCTGGTTAATAGTCCATTAAATATATCAGAATCTGAATATTTATATTGGATGAATCCGATTAGCTATTAAGCTCTTAGCACAGACGTCCAGTAGGTGCGGGTCAATGCCACAACAACAAATCACGATTTGAAGCTTTCGTGACTGCAAGGATTCATCTTCTTTGGTTCTTTCGGTAAAGTCACGTAGAATGAGAATAAAATAATAAATTGATAAAATAACACTAATATTCTCACGACGTTTCGGCCACAACACAAGCGGCCTTCATCAGGTGAAGGGACGAGACTGTCCAGCGCTGTCCTACCAGAGAGTCTCGTCCCTTCACCTGATGAAGGCCGCTTGTGTTGTGGCCGAAACGTCGTGAGAATATTGTGTTATTTTATCAATTTATTATTTTATTCTCATTCTACGTGACTTTACCGAAAGAACCAAAGAAGGTAAACAAATCACTTTAAAATATAGTTCGTGAACAATTTGGTTTTTGGCATGTATTCTCCAGTGTCCTGTTCCTCTTCCTGCCCTTCAACGTAATTTAAAGAATGCACCTCCATTATTTGCACAGTTCTTAACATGTCTATGTCATTGTTTATGCTTCTGATCCATATAACGTAGATACTCTGATTAAACACGGTTTTTTACAATAATTGATGTACAGTATGGCTTTTTATCATTAAGTCAGTCCATACCGATTACATCTGGCGGTTCACTAGCATTGATTCAAGAAAGCATGGTGCTGCTGATGGGACACAGTTGAATCCGTCCATAGTTTGCTTGTACGGAATGTGCTGCCGACATTACACTCCGAGAAGGCCTTGGGATTGTGTAAAAAATAAAAACATTTTACTTTGTGGAGCGAAGTTGACGTTCAGATTGAGGAGGGTGGAGAAGCGACGTTCACAACGGGTGGATAAAACCTCGCAAGGTGATATAGTAGGAAGCACAGGCGATGCATCAGCCAACCATTAGTCTGTTCCGCAACCTGTCAGCAATGAACACCACCACGCGATGGCATTTGTGCACCTCTGTGTGTGAGTGTGTGAGCGGTAGTGTAGCGGTCAGCGCGCTTTGCTGTGAACCCGGCAACTCAAGTTCGATTCCTGCTCACGGCCAAATCCAGTGACTTTTAATCAGTCCCGTGCCTCCCCTAGGTCGACTCAGCCTAAAACATGTAGCTGATGCGGCGTGTAAATATTTCTACTCATGAGACAGGCGGCTGGGCGTGGTGCTGGTCACCCACCCTCTCAAATGTCTCAATTTGGATTACAACAGCAACATCGCCCCCTACCGCGAAGACTTCACAGGACCCTCCTGAAACATTTGAGACTCAGGCGTTCATGGTAGACAAGCGCAAATAAAATTAATATCAATGTTTATACCTTGAATAAACTTTGTTATTTCTGATGTATTTTGCCAAGAATTTCTTTCAAAAATGTTAATACAATTTGCGATGATCACAATACATTTGATATGTAGAAATACGGACTCTTACGATTATCGTGGAAACCATATATCTTACAATATGAGGAAGCTATTGGAGCTATGCACTCTTAAGTCTACATCGAAAACTCATTTATTTTTGTTTCGTGTGTTCAACATCCGTGTACACATCGTCAAGAAAAGCCCCGGCACGATAATCGTGGATGCCGTGCGGTGCGCGAACATCGCCGCCCTCGCTCAATGCGCGATCCCCCCCTGGGTTTCCGCGCTCCGCCTATGGCGCGGGGAGGCGCAGGGAGGAGGAGCGCGCGGATCCTCACTCGGAGCCTCGCGGCGATGGAGCCTGGAGGGGAGCCTGGAGGGGACACGGAATGCGAGATGGGCTCGGCGAGGGGGGGCTCAGCGAGGGGGGGCTCGGCGAGGGGGGGCTCGGCTCGAGGGGGGTCCTGTGCGCTGGGGGCTGCGCTGTGCACGGCGTTCATCATCATCTTCGGAATCCTCGGTAAGAGACTCGGCGGGTGATGATGATGTGAGGTGATGGTGGGAGACGAGGATTTGGGGTGATGGTGAGGTTGATGGTGAGATAATGGCGAGGCGATGGTGAGCTGTCTTTGCTACTGCTTGTTTACGAGCCAACCCCGCGCGGCTTAGCGCAAAATAATTGAAGATGGAAAAGTTCAAATTAATGAATCGACCTCCTCGACGAGGATGGCTGCGAGTTACAGCGGCGAGAGAACTTAATGTCTCGAGCGTCGCGTGAATGTCCGAGTCGATCGCTCACCTTACCCGTGTCGTCACCTCACCGTGCTACAATCGCGTGCTCTTACATCCAGTCGATTTCAAAAGTTTAGTTTTTCCGATAAATAGCACGAAGTCTAACGGCGCCGCAGTGAGTGTAGGTGAGTGAGTGGGGGAGTAGTGTCACTCATGAGAATTGCCGCGTTCCCTGCCCGAGCAGCGCTCCTGGGGGCCAGTGTCTCTGTGCCCCGTGTCCCTCTGCCCCGGTGTCTCCGTGTCCCCGTGTAGTGCATTTACTCCACGTGTAATGTAAATGTCATTGACGAAATCAACCATGAACGCGCCCGATCTCATGAGACCAGCGGTTTGAGGTTGGACCGCGCGTGAATGGGCGATCACCGAGCGTGGCGGCTATTAGAGGCTGCGGGGCGACGTCGCTGGTAGACAGAGAGAGCAGTGGAGTATTTGTACCGCACGATGCTCCCTACCTTCACAAACCAGCACAGACCAGCGTGGTGAAGTATGCTCAAAAGATCCCACGATGTGCCTGTCGTGCGAAAGCCCTCACCCAGCAGTGGACTTACAAAGGGCTGTACGTATATGCATGTCGTGTTGGTGATTTGCCTTCACCGTGGCTGCTGTTTGTGTGGACGGATTTGCCAGTCTATGGATTCCTCCCACACGAAATCCACGATGGATTTTGTGAGTTGATTTGACATCCATTTTTTCCCGTGGCATTCCAGTGTTTAAAGTGAGAGTTTGTTTCGAGAGCAAGAGAAGTGTGCGTGGTTGCGGGACTGATCAAGTTTTCGCATAACTCAGGGAAGCAAGCACAGGCGTGGCCGCATTTAATAATCGTGTGAGCTCAAAACAAAGCATTTGACAAAACCCAATGGAAAAAAGAACGTACAAAAAAGGAAATGAAACAGAGTTACAAACACGAAGACTAAATAAAATAAGCACAGAAAAATTCAACCTACACGCAAGTAATGGTGCCAGGATGATCCTCGCAAGAACCATTCAACATAGCCTTGGCAGCTGGCACATCCAAATGATGCGTTCAAAGAAGATAGCGACATTGGCCCTCACCAAGTCCCATCTCGTTTTGTCAAACGTTCGAATTAATACGCGGCATCTCGCCTTCACAGAATAGCCACATAAACCAGGGGACCCGTGCGCTGGGCACCCCTGCCTGGTCTGACTCGCCCCATGCTCCCCGCTCCATTCGCTGCACGATTCAAGGCTGTTGTTTCACCTCTGGGCTTGCGTGGACATTAAACGGCTCGAGCAATGAATGACGCAACAATCACTATTCTCTAAAAAACTGACTTTACACATTACAGGGCCATTCACCTCTCATCACACGAATCAATATAGTTCACACAGATCGCTGGGGAAGAGAATAACAGAAGCCATCATGGTGCACGAAAGGTTCCCCTACCACACACCACCACCAACCCTCAACAACACTTATTCAGCACTAGACAGGTTGTCAAATGGTGAACTGTGCTGAGATATAGTCGCTTACACTCGTCATTAACCGACCAGAGTCACGACAAAAGTCGCATTTTATGAACACAAATAAACCGAAGCATTCATACAGAAACAAAATAAAGTGAGACCGGCATGAAATCCCCCTTGGGGTTGAGTCTGGCATCAGCCAGCGAAACAGGAAGCCATCGTTCACTCCGCTGGTCCCTAGCGGATCGGCATCGCGGGCGATGCACGGAGACGCATTCCGGAACGACCCCGAGGATAAATCACACGGGGCCCGGCGACTCCCGCAAGAGCACCGGAACGGGCAGGAGCTGCGCGGGCAGCACACACGTGGTGACCTCCTGGCTGTGCGCGCCGTGTCCCCGTGCGGAAGGTCATTCGTTTGCTCTCTGTGCGGTTCGGAGCGACATGGGTGAACGTTGCGGGCGTTTGACTGCGCAGTCCGCTTCGTGGGTGGGTACTCTATGAGTCGTTTCTCCACATGTTCTGCTACAGACAAGAAGACCACGATCTGTACTGTGAATAGAGAGTGTTGTGGTTCATAAATACACATTTTCATCACGGTTCAGGGTTGTAGTAAAGCAATTCTAGATTTGAAGCTTTCGTGACTGCAAGGATCCATACTCTTTGGTTCTATTCGATAAAGTCAGTACGGTCCCTTCACCTGATGAAGGCCACTTGTGTTGTGGCCAAAACGTCGTGATTTTTGTTGTTTTATTTTGTACCTACGTGACTTTACCGAATAGAACCAAAGAGTATAGTTTGTAGTAAAGCAACCAAATATTGAGATCACACCGCAATTTAAATACAGAATATGCACACACGTTTAACATGGGTTTCCTACGGGTTCTCCGATTTCCTCTAATATCTAAAAATCAAACACACAATGTAGGTATTGGACAAACATCCCAATGCTGAATATTTACCTGAAAATGTCTTCATTGAGATGACACAGCAACAGCAGCAACATCGCCTCCAACTGCAAAAGCCTGGCAGGACCCTCCTGAAAAAAGCGTTGAGACTCAGGCTTGCCTTGGTAAACAAGCGAAGGTTTAATAATAGTTTAGAACAGTAATCAAGCAGCACTGAATAATGGATAATACGGAATCATATTCGTTGAATGCATGTAGTATTTTCGCCATCCTTATAGTGCAAGGCAATCAAAGAGACGCGGTACTTCACACATACAGTCTGCCGTATTATCATCGTCGGGGCGATATTGCTGTGCGCGATTCCGATTGAGTAACTCAGTGAACACAACTCGAGGTGAATCCAGGAAGCGATAAACCACAGACATGTCAGCCGACAACTTCCACCGCGCACAATCTGCAGAGATTATTCACACGGCAATACCGAACTCAGCTTGTAAAGTGACACCGCATGTACATCCTGGGCAATGTCACCGTTGAGCCTTAATATGGCATTCGACTTAAGTTGATATTTCACCTAATATTTTGCCGTATATTGTTTTCCAGACTATGTTTCCCCTCACATACGCCAAGAGCAGAAGAAGAGCATCTGTTTTAATAATAAGCTCACACACGCGTGAACTTGGAAATGCAGATTCCATAATTTCCCAAAACAATTATCACAAAGTGCGAGCAAACAATACACGCCCCGAGCTCTCCCATGCAACACACACGCGCAAGGCTCTCCATCCCCCAAGCGCACATTCACCTCGGTGCGCAAGGCGGCATGGGATCCTATGACGATAGGCAGCAGAAACCCGCAAGCACTCCTCACTTCTCCCCCTGTACCACCGTGCCCCTGTGGATCTCTTTAAGCCCCCGACAGAAATTATCCTTCCATTGGCAACAGCCTCTGAAGGGGTGGAAACCCCTCTTGCCTTCCAGAAAAAAAACATATCTGCGTGCGAAGCAGCGCTACTTTCCTCCCGGGGGTGGGGTTCTGTCGCATTGCTGCCTCCCTTCTGTGGCAGAGCGAGAAGTTAAGTGCGGAGAATCTGCGGAGAGCAGTTTAAGCCGTGGCGTTGCTAAATCAGTCATCCAACTCTCCCCTGTCCCTGCCACATGAATTGCTGCGTCCGTGGTGGAAACATGAGTCCTGCAAATGTTGCCTCGTCCGGTCCATCGGTGTCAGCTCCGGGTTTGGAGGTTGCTCTTTAATATGTCGGTATATTTATACTCGGCAGAAGCTCTCACGGTGTTCAACGTGCTGCGCTGGGTCCGACCCTTGATGTCATCCCACCATCACCACAAGCACGTTCGCCTTTGTCTTCCTTTTGCCCTTCAGAGAAGGCGCGACGGCAGAAAGGCTCCCTGAGAGTCTCGCGCCTCACGTGCGCAGTGCGCGCCACCTTCCGCTGCCGAAGTCTCGCGCCAATCTCGGCCGTCCCATGATTTGTTAAACTTCTTTGTTCATACATTTCTTGTCCATCCTATCCTCAACATGCTCCTACAATTTAAAATCTAAAGCGCTTCTTTCCTCCGGATGAATTGTCTTTTGTCGGGGACCAAGGCTCACATCCCGTTCAGTCCCATCGAGCACACGCAGCCTGGAAAGAGCGGAGTGGTGTTCGCGCTCAGACCTCGATGGCCATCAGCCAAGGGTCCTGCTTCTCTTGAATGCCTCTTGATTGCTCGCGGGCCCTGGAGACCACGCTGAGGCCAGTGATATTCCACACATTAAAAAAAACTAAAACTATATCCCATCTTGTTAACGTAACATACTCTACGTGCAATGTGAATATAAACAATGTGAATGCTATACAGTGAACGGCACCCGCGGCAGCATAATAGCGATGTCGCGTCCCTCCCCCCTCCTCCTCCCCCCAGTATTGGTCACGGCAGCCTCTGTGTTTTATTCCCCCGATGTTTCACTCAGACCCGTATTTTAAAGAGAGGGGTCTCTCCTGATACATCTGTCGTTTGAGTGAAAATATACATTACAATAAAGTTCATGTATTAAATAATATTTATTTTAAATGAACGCATGCGCATTACAGCGCACGCATGAATGGTAAACTGCTGGTGATATTTCACAAGAAACCCAAAGTCGATTTTAAACTCATGGGTCGACTCAAGACGCGCACGACGCCAGCCTGCACGTGCGTTTGGTCGCCGCGTGCAGCTCACGCCGAAGTGGCTCCCACGGGCACCCGCAACCACTCCTGACGGTCGTTCATCATTGAGTGCAGCAGTTATGCAATTACCACAGCAATGCATTTAACAATTACAACCACGTGTCTACCCAAACTATCATCACGATCGGCGGCGGTGTCTCAAGCCAATTTTTAAGAAGACAATATGCGCAAAAAAAGTTATCAGCAGTGTTCATGAGTTGCTTGGTCAACTGTTTTTCCATGGCTCGCATAAACCCTTGCCTATGGGAACAGCACGAGTGAAATTTGCCAATTGGCTTGGCTGTAGAGAAATGTTTTTTAACTATTCTGGTTTGTTTAAAATGTCAGGAGATGTCAAGGACAGGCAATCTGTTATTATAACAAACACAGAACATGAAGTCCGACTCATCATCCAGAGTACCGACTCAGTGGAGCGGTTCCATTCCGTTCAGCTCTCACATCCATGCCGGGCGGAAGGCCGTCTACTGCCCATGCATTCATCCTGCACCGCGCTTGACCTCTTGTGGGCCTCACGAGCCACGTTTCCGGAGTTCTAATGCAATGACCTAGTATTGCAGTAACGCAGGCTATGTAAGACAGAGCAAAAGAGAAACTATCTTCAAACATAAAACATGTTCAAAGTGGGTACACAGGAGGTCATGTGGACAGTTGTGGCAAGAGGTAATTTCACAATTGTGACTCCCAGTTGCCCTACAAGAGACGACGGAACACTGCCGATGCGATTGTGCAAACATTGTCATGCTACACATGTTTCCATGGTCAGGCAATTTTTATGAGTCTGGCTGGATTTCAACTGTTCAAAATTTCATGATCAGCCATAATTTATCCAATGCTAGATGAAGGCCTCCCCATCTCGTCGCCATATGTTACAGTCTCACAGTTCCACAATCGTGAGAGTTCATTCATATCAGCTGATTTCTGCACTTCGCCTCTGCAGTGGATCTAGTCGTGGGCGTCTTCTCTCCTTTAGCTGCCACTCTCGTCAGCCCTGACCTAATATTGGCGTCTAAATCTGGTCTTTTTGTGTCCCTGGATGTTCTCGAAGCAGATGAAGGTAATAATGACATAATTATATTTATTTCCGCGGGGAAATCCTCACCAAATCTCACGACTTGTATGAGAGTTCAGCATTGGGGCCTTTGGGCAAATTTTAATCGTCACGGATTGGCATTTGGAATTGAAACCAGAGTCGTTGGAGAAAGCCCACACATCCAACAGCAGATAGCACCTGGTATTCCCAGGCAGTCTTTCATCCAGGCACTTGACTGACTCAACCCGGGCGTGTGTACGGGGCTCTGGGGGGGATCGGTGTGGGGGTTGTGGAGAGTTGGTGTGGGGGTTGAGGAGGGGTGGTCTGCAGGGCGGGTGTGGGTCTGCTGTAGAACATAGTGAACCGGCCATGCATCATCTCCCTGTACGTTTCACTCTGGGAAAAACACCCTCACTCTCCCCCCCACACCCACCCCGGGGAGTCACGACGGCTCTGATCCTTTCCAATATTTTTTTCGAATCAAATCATGCAACGATTTTCGCTGGATATTGTGTTATTTTGTAACCGCACAACTTCTCCCTTCGCCACAATAACATACTGACTATTTACTGTCCTTATCTTCCAAAACGCATGCGTTTGCGATTAAGGCTGTGTTCTTTTAATGGTCTAAACGCCTTGTGGATGTAATTGTGTATTCCCTTGTTCTGGAATCACAACGCGGCTGTGTTTTCCCTGATTTCCTCTCAACAACAACTGCATAAAAATAGGAAAAGTTTAAGAATGCGCGCAGAGGGCAGTGTAAACAACAGCCCTGATAGCGTGGGGAGGAACTTCATCCAGATTCCTTAAAAGGCACTGCGAGTAATTTTACTCTTCTCGTTGTTGTTGTTGTTTTACGTGCTATCCCATCAAGAAGGCCCTGTGTTCATTGTCAGCAGCATTCGGCACAATCATCACGAATCGGGAATAAACTTCAGGGTTTTCTGTATCGGCGCGGGGCTCAGAGCACACGGGAGGCGCTTACCTCGGCGTGCACGGCGCTCACCTTTGGGTGTAACGGCACTCTTGTTCGTGTGCAGCTGTCGTCAACAGGTTAATCGTGATCGCGCCTGCAGACGTGTGCACCACGGCAGAGTGCGTGGAGGCAGGTACGTGCCGGGGGAGCCTGCGGCAGCGTGAAGGGAGTGCGGGGTGAGTGGCGGGCAGGGCGTGCACCCTGCCGAGAGACGTCCGGGCCTAAGACGGTGCCGCGATGCTGCGTGGTGCGCGCGGCGTGGCGCGAGCCCTGTTCAGATGTTTCGGGGACGAGTCCGGCTGCAGCTCCTCGAAGATGTAACGGTGGGGGCGGGTAGAGATATTGTGTTGGCGGGGGGGGGGGTAGAGATATTGTGTTGGCGGGGGGGGGGTAGAGATATTGTGGTTGGCGGGGGGGGGGTAGAGATATTGTGTTGGGGGGGGGGGTAGAAATATTGTGTTGGCGGGGGGGGGGGGGGGGTAGAGATATTGTGTTGGGGGTAGAGATATTGTGTTGGCGGGGGGGGGGGGGGTAGAGATATTGTGTTGGCGGGGGTGGGGGGTAGAGATATTGTGTTGGGGGTAGAGATATTGTGTTGGCGGGGGGGGGGTAGAGATATTGTGTTGGGGGGGGGCGGGTAGAGATATTGTGTTGGCGGGGGGGGGTAGAGATATTGTGGTTGGCGGGGGGGGGTAGAGATATTGTATTGGGGGGTAGATATATTGTGTTGGCGGGGGGGGGGTAGAGATATTGTGTTGGGGGTAGAGATATTGTGTTGGCGGGGGGGGGGGGTAGAGATATTGTGTTGGCGGGGGGGGTAGAGATATTGTGTTGGGGGGGTAGATATATTGTGTTGGCGGGGGGGGGGGGGGTAGAGATATTGTGTTGGGGGTAGAGATATTGTGTTGGCGGGGGGGGGGTAGAGATATTGTGTTGGCGGGGGGCGGGTAGAGATATTGTGTTGGCGGGGGGGGGGTAGAGATATTGTGTTGGGGGGGGTAGATATATTGTGTTGGGGGGGTAGAGATATTGTGTTGGGGGGGGGTAGAGATATTGTGGTTGGCGGGGGGGGGTAGAGATATTGTGTTGGGGGGGTAGAGATATTGTGTTGGCGGGGGGGGGTAGAGATATTGTGTTGGCGGGGGGGGGGGGTAGAGATATTGTGTTGGCGGGGGGGGGGTAGAGATATTGTGTGGGGGGGGTAGAGATATTGTGTTGGGGGGGGGTAGATATATTGTGTTGGGGGGGTAGAGATATTGTGTTGGGGGGGGTAGAGATATTGTGGTTGGCGGGGGGGGTAGAGATATTGTGTTGGGGGGGGTTAGATATATTGTGTTGGCGGGGGGGGGGGTAGAGATATTGTGTTGGCGGGGGGGGGTAGAGATATTGTGTTGGCGGGGGGGGGTAGAGATATTGTATTGGCGGGGGGGGTAGAGATATTGTGTTGGCGGGGGGGGGGGGTAGAGATATTGTGTTGGCGGGGGGGGTAGAGATATTGTGTTGGCGGGGGGGGGTAGAGATATTGTGTTGGGGGGGTAGAGATATTGTGTTGGGGGGGGTAGAGATATTGTGTTGGCGGGGGGGGGTAGAGACATTCTGTTGGGGGTAGAGATATTGTGTTGGCGGGGGGGTGGGTAGAGATATTGTGTTGGCGGGGGGGGGTAGAGATATTGTGTTGGCGGGGGGGGGGTAGAGATATTGTGTTGGGGGGGTAGAGATATTGTGTTGGGGGGGTGTAGATATATTGTGTTGGGGGGGGTAGAGATATTGTGTTGGGGGGGGTAGAGATATTGTGTTGGCGGGGTGGGGGGTAGAGACATTGTGTTGGCGGGGGGAGGGGTAGAGATATTGTGTTGGCGGGGGGAGGGGTAGAGATATTGTGTTGGCGGGGGGGGGGGGTAGAGAAATTGTGTTGGGGGGGGGGTAGAGATAGTGTTGGCGGGGGGGTAGAGATATTGTGTTGGCGGGGGGGGTAGAGATATTGTGTTGGCGGGGGGGGGTAGAGATATTGTGGTTGGCGGGGGGGGGGTAGAGATATTGTGTTGGCGGGGTAGAGATATTGTGTTGGGGGGATGTAGATATATTGTGTGGGGGGGGTAGAGATATTGTGTTGGGGGGGGTAGAGATATTGTGTTGGCGGGGTGGGGGGTAGAGATATTGTGTTGGCGGGGGGGGGGGGTAGAGATATTGTGTTGGCGGGGGGGGGTAGAGATATTGTGTTGGCGGGGGGGGTAGAGATATTGTGTTGGCGGGGGGGTAGAAATATTGTGTTGGCGGGGGGGGGGGGTAGAGATATTGTGTTGGCGGGGGGGGTAGAGATATTGTGTTGGGGGGGTAGAGATATTGTGTTGGGGGGGGTAGATATATTGTGTTGGGGGGGTAGAGATATTGTGTTGGGGGGGGTAGAGATATTGTGGTTGGCGGGGGGGGGTAGAGATATTGTGTTGGGGGGGTAGAGATATTGTGTTGGCGGGGGGGGGTAGAGATATTGTGTTGCGGGGGGGGGGTAGAGATATTGTGTTGGCGGGGGGGGGGTAGAGATATTGTGTTGGCGGGGGGGGGGTAGAGATATTGTGTTGGGGGGGGTAGATATATTGTGTTGGGGGGGTAGAGATATTGTGTTGGGGGGGTAGAGATATTGTGGTTGGCGGGGGGGGGGTAGAGATATTGTGTTGGGGGGGGGGGGTAGAGATATTGTGTTGGCGGGGGGGGGTAGAGATATTGTGTTGGCGGGGGGGGGGGTAGAGATATTGTGTTGGCGGGGGGGGGTAGAGATATTGTGTTGGCGGGGGGGGGTAGAGATATTGTGTTGGCGGGGGGGGTAGAGATATTGTGTTGGCGGGGGGGGGTAGAGATATTGTGTTGGCGGGGGGGGGGGGTAGAGATATTGTGTTGGCGGGGGGGGGTAGAGATATTGTGTTGGCGGGGGGTAGAGATATTGTGTTGGGGGGGTAGAGATATTGTGTTGGGGGGGGGTAGAGATATTGTGTTGGCGGGGGGGGGTAGAGACATTGTGTTGGGGGTAGAGATATTGTGTTGGCGGGGGGGGGGGGGAGAGATATTGTGTTGGCGGGGGGGGTAGAGATATTGTGTTGGGGGGGTAGAGATATTGTGTTGGCGGGGGGGTGGGTAGAGATATTGTGTTGGCGGGGGGGGGTAGAGGTAGTGTTGGCGGGGGGTAGAGATATTGTGTTGGCGGGGGGGGTAGAGATATTGTGTTGGCGGGGGGGGGTAGAGATATTGTGTTGGTGGGGGGGGGTAGAGATATTGTGTTGGCGGGGGGGGGTAGAGATATTGTGTTGGGGGGGTAGAGATATTGTGTTGGGGGGGTGTAGATATATTGTGTTGGGGGGGGTAGAGATATTGTGTTGGGGGGGGTAGAGATATTGTGTTGGCGGGGTGGGGGGTAGAGACATTGTGTTGGGGGTAGAGATATTGTGTTGGCGGGGGGAGGGGTAGAGATATTGTGTTGGCGGGGGGGGGGGGTAGAGAAATTGTGTTGGGGGGGTAGAGATATTGTGTTGGGGGGGGTGTAGATATATTGTGTTGGGGGGGTAGAGATATTGTGTTGGGGGGGGTAGAGATATTGTGTTGGCGGGGGGGGTAGAGACATTGTGTTGGGGGTAGAGATATTGTGTTGGCGGGGGGAGGGGTAGAGATATTGTGTTGGCGGGGGGGTAGAGATATTGTGTTGGCGGGGGGGTAGGGTAGAGATATTGTGTTGGCGGGGGGGGGTAGAGATATTGTGTTGGGGGGGGGGGGGTACAGCAGTGTTTGACTGCTAGGGGGGAGTGAACTTTGGTGGTGCCAAGGAAACATTTGGGTCAACTCCAGGACCTCCACGAACGCTGCTCATATCGAGATTGCCTATAGCCATGATCCCTACAAGACCCAAATTCCCGTGCTGTATCCACGTAGAGCAGATCTCGTGGGGGGCTTGGCTGATGAGATGCCCTCCCGTCTCGGCGCATAGCGGCCGCGGTGATGCAGAAGCTGGACTGGAGCACGGATCCGTGCGACAACTTCTTCCGCTTCTCGTGCGCGGGCTGGGTGCGCGCCAACCCCATCCCCGAGGACGCCTCCACCTACGGAACCTACTCGCACGTGCGCAAGCAGGTGGACCTGAAGCTCAAGGGTGAGGCGACCGCTCGCCCGTCTCCTGTACAACCGCAGCCATTGGCGGCGGTGGGGCGGCGGCGCAGTGGTGACGCTCGTGTCTGCAGCAAGAAGCACCTGGGTTCGATCCCCGAATCGGGCGCCTTTTGTGATGGAGTTTGCATGTTCTCCCCCTGTTCTAAATGAGTTTGCTCCGGGTTCATAGATACAACCATAAATGGAACTGTTTTGGCTAAAACATCCGAATGCGGAAAACTTACCTGCAAATTACTCAATTGGGATCACACGTAGCAGCAGCATCGCCCCGGATTGCGAAAACTTGGCAGGTCCCTCCTGAAAAAGTTGAGGCTCGGTGATGATTTCCTGGATAAAAGCGAGTAAATAAAACATCAAAAGGCGTCCTGTTCTCGCCCAGTGATTATTCGTGTCGCTTACACCATCAAGGCTGATGGAATCAGAATTGCCGGTGATCAGTGTGTTCCTTGAGTGAACACGCGTAACAATACAATACACACGAAGGCGGAAATTCTCTGTACGTAGTTCGTACTCGTGGCTGTCTAACTTGTCTGCTTGTAGAACTTCTGGAGAGGGATAGCGACGAGCACACTGAGCTGGAGGCCATCAGACGGGCAAAGGTTATGTACCGGTCCTGCATGAACGAGTGTGAGTTGACCAGCAGCACGTGCACGCATGAATGAGTGTGAGTTGACCAGCAGCACGTGCACCCATGAACGAGTGTGAGTTGACCAGCAGCACGTGCACCCATGAACGAGTGTGAGTTGACCAACAGCACGTGCACCCATGAACGAGTGTGAGTTGACCAACAGCACGTGCATGCATGGACGAGTGTGAGTTGACCAGCAGCACGTGCACCCATGAACGAGTATGAGTTGACCAGCAGCACGTGCACCCATGAACGAGTGTGAGTTGACCAGCAGCACGTGCACCCATGAACGAGTGTGAGTTGACCAACAGCACGTGCACCCATGCACGAGTGTGAGTTGACCAACAGCACGTGCACCCATGAACGAGTGTGAGTTGACCAGCAGCACGTGCACCCATGAACGAGTGTGAGTTGACCAGCAGCACGTGCACCCATGAACGAGTGTGAGTTGACCAGCAGCACGTGCACCCATGAACGAGTGTGAGTTGACCAGCAGCACGTGCACCCATGAACGAGTGTGAGTTGACGAGCAGCACGTGTACCCATGAACGAGTGTGAGTTGACCAGCAGCACGTGCACTCATGAACGAGTGTGAGTTGACCAGCAGCACGTGCACCCATGAACGAGTGTGAGTTGACCAACAGCACGTGCACGCATGAACGAGTGTGAGTTGAGCACCAGCACGTGCACCCATGAACGAGTGTGAGTTGACCAACAGCACGTGCACCCATGAGCGAGTGTGAGTTGAGCAGCAGCACGTGTACCCATGAACGAGTGTGAGTTGACCAGCAGCACGTGCACGCATGAACGAGTGTGAGTTGACCAACAGCACGTGCACCCATGAACGAGTGTGAGTTGACCAACAGCACGTGCACCCATGAACGAGTGTGAGTTGACCAGCAGCACGTGCACCCAAGATGTCGGATTCCTCGTGTGATAGTGTTTCTTTGTTGGTTCTGATTTCCATATAATTGCCGTACTTTGTTTTGCTTCCGTCGTTCTGATGACCCAGGTCACTCTAGGACATGTGACTCTATCGTGGTCTCTGGTTGAGTTCCCACCACCCGGGCTAGAATCCCTTCCCCGCCAAGTTCTTGCCCATAAGAAAACCCTCTGTCTCTAGAGCTAGCCCCTTGCCTGTTAATGAATCCAGCATCCAGTCACTGGTTTCGACCTTCTGGGTCTCATCAGCAAAGTCAGGCTTGCTAAATAACAGTGCGTGACACCTAGCGTGTGTCTCTATAGTCCACACGCTGTTGTCACTGCAGACCACGTGTCCCCCCCGTAGCCCGTATCCTGGAGTCCCACTGCACCATGCGGGTCTCTGCAGTCCCCAGGTCGGTGTCGCGTTGCAGGCTGCACCTGGCGGCTGCACCGCGTGGGCATTCACCCCGATTTGGGCGGCAGGGACGTGGCCCAGTGGCAGCACTCACAGCAAAGGCGTTCCTCGGGTTCCATTCCTCACTCAGGTTCCTTTCTGTGAGGTCTTTGTCTGTTAAACAGAAACACATTCAGTGTAAGTGGTCTTGGTCCGGCATCCCCATGCTGGTTTCACCGACCCCGAGCACACGTGAACGTGCCGCCGTCACTGAAGTCGACACCCACACGGCCATCAGAGTGGAGTGCATCTGTACATTGCAGCCCTCATCGAGGATCTGGACACTGCACCGCTACTGCAGCTGTTGTCCCACCCAATGCTCCGCTGGCCGGTCCTGAGCTCTACCGTCGGATGTCGCGACTCAAGCGAGGGACTCGCTGCCTGCCCCCATCGAGAGCCCTCCTCAGAGGCCGAGCCGTGGGACGCGGGCGCCTTCGATCTGAGGGAGACGCTGGCCGTGTTGAGCAGAAACTTCAGCCACTCCATTCTCATGTCCCTGCACCTGGGCACCGACGACAAGAGCTCGGCGCACTACATCCTGAAGGTGAGGCTCGTGTACTCCTGATGATGCACCACTCTCTTTGTAACAGTATTTCACCTGCACCAAACTGAGACTGTTTTTTTCGGCCACCTTTGCTGCTGATGTTGCAACGAGAGTCGGAGTACGACTCACGGGGGGGGGGGGGGGGGTGGTGGAACGCGTCTTTCCTTTCTCCCGGAGGAAAGCGATCGAACGTTGCCGCTGCTCGTGTCCATCGCTCGTCACATCCCAGATTGTTCTCTGTCCGCAGTTTGACCAGGCATCACTGATCCTTCCAGCCAGAGAGGACTACACCACCAACAGCACGCAGGCAGTCACTGTGAGTCTCGTAGCGGTGGTGCGGGGGGCTGCGTGTCCACGTCTTGTCTGATGTTCAGTTCCCTCGTGTTCGCTGTTGCCTGCTTGTTCACCAGGCACTGGAGGAGAGCAGTGATGTCCAGAAATGGCGCAGGAGCCACATTGATGAAGGTGGCTCCCTCGGTGGGCTCTGAGATATCCTCTGTTCCGATTGCTCTTCTTATTGTCGGGGTCAGGCTCTCTTGTGTCAATTCAACTCTCATGCTGACCCACAAGGGAACACTGTGAATCGCGTTAACCCAGTCAGAGTGAAGCCATAGTCGATGCGACTGCGTGCATGCTTTGTGTGCGTTAGGTGTGAGCCCCTACCCCCAGCGCTCCAATTCTCACCCGCTAACCATGCCAATACGCAGCAACATTCAATAAATGTATACGTATAATTAAAATAAAATTAAATGAATATGTATATACATATTCATTTTGAAAGTATGTCGTTGCTTACATTATACAGATACTTTACACACCTAAGCATTGGTATTAGTCTGCCGTGTGGTAAGTCCCGTCACGATTGCTTTAGGGTGTAGGGGTTTGTAGTGCCCCCCTTGTGGGCAGGACGCACACGAGGGGGTCGCAGCCCTTGCCGCTACTGCCAGCCTGTTGTCGCGTGTGCGCCGTGCAGCACCGACAGGCGCTGCTCCGCCTCCTGGTCGACATCGCCCTGATGCTGGGAGCAGAGTCGCGCACTGCGCATGAGGACATGGGCGCCATCCTCAACTTCGAAGTGCAGTTAGCAAACGTAGGTGGCCAGCCGGCTCGCGTAGCGCCCTGCTCCCACGCACCCTGCTCCCACGCACCCTGCTCCCACGCACCCTGCTCCCACGCACCCTGCTCCACCCACCCTGCTCCAACGCACCCTGCTCCACGCACCCTGCTTCACGCACCCTACTCCACGCACCCTACTCCACCCACCCTGCTCCCACGCACCCTGCTCCCACGCACCCTGCTCCCACGCACCCTGCTTCCATGCACCCTACTCCCACGCACCCTGCTCCCATGCACCCTACTCCCATGCACCCTGCTCCCACGCACCCTGCTCCACGCACCCTACTCCACGCACCCTACTCCACCCACCCTGGTCTATGCACCCTGCTCCCACGCACCCTGCTCCCACGCACCCTACTCCCATGCACCCTACTCCCACGCACTCTGCTCCCACGCACTCTGCTCCCACGCACCCTGCTCCACGCACCCTGCTCCCACGCACCCTGCTCCACGCACCCTGCTCCACCCACCCTGCTACACGTTCCCTACTCCCACCCACTCTGCTCCCACGCACCCTGCTCTATGCACCCTGCTCCACGCACCCTGCTCCCACGCACCCTGCTCCCACACACCCTGCTCCACGCACCCTAATCCCACGCACTCTGCCCTCCGCGCGTTGTTGCCGTGTCGAGCCAGGCAACTGCCTCGGTGCCGTTTGATTTTTCAGATTTTGGTCCCGCGGGAGAATCGCACGAGCGAGGCGCTCTACAACCGCTACACGGTGGCCGAATTGCAGGACCTGATCCCGCAGGTACCTGCCCTACCCCCACACCCTCCCGCGGTTTGCGAACTGCCGCACACAAACGTGTGACCAGGGTACGTAAATCAATCCGATTTGATTTTAATAAAACGGGAAAAAAATTGTGCAAACGCACACACACTCCCTTCGGCTTGGTGAACCCGTGTCAACACAAGACATTGGTCAAACACCCCTCTACATCCTCCTCCTGTCATGGCCTTCATCACCAGCTCGACTCACAGGGCAGCCAGCATCTCAGGTGGGCACCCCATGTGCTGCAGTGTTCTTATGCGCAGTCTGCGGGGTGCTGCATGCAGTTCGATTGGCTGCGCTTCATGAAGGCTGCGATAGACACGCAGGAGAGGTACCCGGAGCTCAACGCCCTCAACTCCTCCGAGCCAGTCATCGTCTGCGTGCCGACCTACTTCCAGAGCCTCTTTGAGCTGCTGGGACACACAGACAAGCGGTGCTGAGCCAGCACATCTCAATCCACCACACAACACACATCACCACAGCATACCCTACCAACCCACCACCCCAACACACATCACCACAGCATACCCCTACCAACCCACCACCCCAACACACATCACCACAGCATACCCCTACCAACCCACCACCCAATACACATCACCACAGCATACCCCTACCAACCCACCACACAACACACATCACCACAGCATACCCTACCAACCCACCACCCCAACACACATCACCACAGCATACCCCTACCAACCCACCACCCCAAAACACAACACCACAGCATACCCCTACCAACCCACCACCCCAACACACATCACCACAGCATACCCCTACCAACCCACCACCCAATACACATCACCACAGCATACCCCTACCAACCCACCACACAACACACATCACCACAGCATACCCCTACCAACCCACCACACATCACCACAGCATACCCCTACCAACTCACCACCCTAACACACATCACCACAGCATACCCCTACCAACCCACCACACAACACACATCACCACAGCATACCCCTACCAACTCACCACCCCAACACACATCATCACAGCATACCCCTACCAACCCACCACACAACACACATCACCACAACATACCCCCACCAACCCACCACACAACACACATCACCACAGCATACCCCTACCAACTCACCACACAACACACATCACCACAGCATACCCCTACCAACTCACCACCCCAACACACATCACCACAGCATACCCCTACCAACCCACCACACAACACACATCACCACAGCATACCCCTACCAACTCACCACCCCAACACACATCACCACAGCATACCCCTACCAACCCACCACACAACACACATCACCACAACATACCCCTACCAACCGACCACCCCAACACATCACCACAGCATACCCCTACCAACCCACCACCCAACACACATCACCACAGCATACCCCTACCAACCCACCACACAACACACATCAACACAGCATACCCCTACCAACTCACCACCCAACACACATCACCACAGCATACCCCTACCAACCCACCAAACAACACACATCAACACAGCATACCCCTACCAACCCACCACACAACACACATCACCACAGCACACAAAAATCCATATGGCCAAAACAGACGTGGATTTTCAGTGATAAAATAAGTAATTTCAACGGAATATCCAATATGACGAAGCGTGTGATCCTTGTGCCGTCAGTGTTGTTGCGAATTACGTGGTAGGACGGCTCGTGATGAACAGGGTGCGGAGTCTGAGCCAGAGGTTTCTGCAGAGACACCTGCAGTTCCACCAGGTGAGCCTCACTCCAGCTGCTGCAGAGTCCAGCAAGCGCCATATTCACTCAGCTGCCGTGTTTCATTCCGGCGTCGCGTCGCTATTCCTATTCACTTCACGGTGCAGCTTCCAACGCAACATCGGCTGTGTGCACTCTGAAATAATAATAATTATTGTTAAGCTTGTTCACCCAAGAAATCCTCACTGCATCCCGAGACTGTCTTTAGGAGGGTCGTGCCAAGTATTTTTAGGTGGTCATTTACGTCGCAAACTTTTCAGCACTGTGATGTTTGGCCAATACCAGTTAAATTGTGTGTTGTTATAACTAATCGAGGAAACCGGGGAACTCAGATGAAACTCATGAAGAATAGGGAGAGAACATACAAACTCCACGCTGAAAGGCAACCGAGATGGGAATTAATCCCAGACCCTTCTTGCTGTGAAGCAGGAGTGTTATCATTACAGCAGCTGCCACATCGAGTAATTCAAACGCAGATGTATCATTACAAATGAGTGGCGCTTGTAAATAAAGATAAGCCATACATATTTCAGCATTTTCACATCGAACCTTTATACCCGAATGCAGAATATTATTGTTGAACTAGTTTACATATAGTCGTGTTCCGAACACCTTCGTTCATAAATATATGAGAATAATTAAACTTACAGCAATGTCCCCACGGTGTTAAGATGCTCAGTAGTCATGCACACTCAAGGAGTCAGGCCATGGCCAGGTTCTAAAAACACTTCCACTCCGCCTGTTGTACAAGAGGCGCTGCTGCGGCGAAGGCATCGTGATTCTGCACGAAACCAGCAGAACGGTGACTGCATTCTGCCCTTGTCAAGTAAAATACGCCTGGGTGGAGCAGCGCTACAGGGGGGTTAGCTCACTGCGATATGAACCCAGCGACTCGAGTGTGATACCCGGCCGCGACTCACATCAGTAACGAGAGGACTCAAAACCGGTTCTCACCTGCCTGATGAAGTATGGTCAATCAACCCCATGACTTCTATGGTGTGAGGATTATTTTATCTAACAGTGGCTCAGCAAAGAGCAGCACAATTTTACTTGCTCAACACCATCCACGAAAGCAAGGACTTCCACAAGCTGCTTCTCAGTTATGTGGCTATACAAAGGCAGGATAATCGGTTATTTTCGTGCACAAATCTTAGCGTAGAACACCTGCCCCTACTGACACCCAGCCACACGACATGCTCCCATCGTCCTTGCGACCCTCGCGGTGGTGATGGGAGTTGCGGCACGACCGATGTCCTCCCCGCGTCCGCAGGTGGTGATGGGTACGCGCTCGGTGCAGGCGCGCTGGGACTTGTGCGTGAACCTGGTGGAGGCCATGATGCCCAGCGTCATGGGACGGCTCTTTGTGGATGCCCATTTCCAAGAGGAGAAGAAGGAGCTGGTAGCCATGCAGCTCACACTGCCGTTGTTAAATTATTCTTTTTCAAATCAAAATTTGCTACAATGTAGTCGGTGGAATATGTTTGTGTGTCTGTCTTACGCTTGTCCCCAGATGGAGAAGCTGGTCGATGGGATTCGCTGGGCATTTGTGGATATGCTGGAGACCGAGAACACCTGGATGGATGTGCCCACCAAGCAGAAGGCAACTGAAAAGGTGCTGCACGTGAAGCCACTGCCAGTGCGTGTAGAGGAGACAGAGAAAAGGAGATAGAGAGGGTGGAGAGTAGAGAGTGTGGAGAGGAGACAGAGAATGTAGAAGATGGAACAGATGCTGCAGACCCATGAATAGAAGCCACATTGAGTGATTAGGAGGAGGGCAGTGCACCTATTATTATTCTACATCTGTATTCAACTTTACTTTAATTCCTAGATAATCAAAATTCATAAATGAGTTGTATAATAATATGCTTATTGTATCCTGTCGTGTTGCTGTGCAAACGTCAACACGAGACACGTGTGCTTTGTGCTGCAATGTGTGTCCCGTTGCATTTTCTGTGCCTACATGGCAATTGGGGTTCTCTTTGTAACGTGCCATGTGGTGTGCCCGGTGAGGTGGGTAACCTGTAATGTGTGGAACACAGTCAACCACGTGAAACGCGTGAGCCTCACCCGAGTACTTTTTGGCCTTGAGTTGCACTGGCTGTGTGTGTGTCTGTGCATGCAGGCTGATGCGGTGTTGGCCAGGATGGGCTATCCAGACTATATCAAGAATAATACGTACATCAATGAAGAAGTCAAAATGGTAATGCGGTCTCTGATTCTGTTGTTTTAATTTTATGGTACGGTGATCGTAAGGTCCCGGTTATCCAGGACAAATATGGTTTAAAGCATCTCTTCGATGTCCTGTATGTTGTAAAAACATCCATAGGGGTCATGTAGCCTGAACCACAGGCCTCAGTGACCTGCAACTCTGATTCCATCAGCCATGATGGTGGCAGGGTAGAGGTGGGAGCGATACAAGGAATAACTGGGCGAGGACAGGACGCCTTTTGCTGTGTTACTTTACGCGCGTTTACCCAGAAGTCTCACGACTTTTTCAGGAGGTTCCTGCCAAGTTTTCGCAGTAGGGGGCAATGTTGAAACGTGTGATGCCCATTTAATTATTTGCAGGTAATTTCAGCATTGGGATATTTAGAACTTTTTTCACACCGTACGTAGCCAACCGTGCTAATCGAAGGTGGCAGGAAACTGCAGCACCCAGAGAAAAGCTCATGAAGGGCAAGGAAAGAACATACACACTGCTCACAGGAAGGCACCCGTAATCGAACCCAGGGCCTTCTTGCTGTGAGACATGAGGGTTAGCACTACGCCACCCTGCCGCCCAAATAATGGTGTGTGCAGGTGAGTATAATGGCGTGTGCAGGTGAGTATTTGTAATGGCGTGTGCAGGTTATTATAAAGCCATGTGCAGGTGAGTGTAATGGCGTGTGCAGGTGAGTATTTGTAATGGCGTGTGCAGGTGATTATAAAGCCATGTGCAGGTGAGTGTAATGGCGTGTGCAGGTGAGTATTTGTAATGACTTGTGTTTCCTCAGCTGCGCTTGAGGGAGGATGATTACTTTGGGAACGTGCTCCAGCTGCTGCAGAACATGGCGCAGCACGACTTCCACTGGCTGCGCAGACGCGTCTCCAAGACAGAGTGAGCAGCGCACATTTCTCACCGCACACCTCTCACCACATACCCCTCACCGCCCTCACCATGAAGCCCTCGCGGCACACCCCTCACCGTCCTGCAGAGACGCAGACGGCTCGTCGCCGCGTGGCTCCGTCGCTGCATCGCTGGTGTTGCAGCTGTTCGCCTGCATGGGAGTGCGGTGTCCTGTCCCGTCACAGGGAGGCCAGACAATAGCAAGGACGTAGAGGCACCAACACTGAGCGGTCCACATCGGGCCGCCCCGTTCCATTCTCCTGGCCATAGGCTGTCGATTCCAGGAATCTGATTCCCTACCTCTGGGCTCCCTGGATCAACTCTCGCTGCTATGCGTGCCCCTTAGAATGAGGAAATAATTTGTGGCTACAAACCCAGCCATAATCAAATCTCTCATTCGTACGATGACTCTTGGCCTGAGCCAAGCACGTGACTGTGGCGCAGCAATCGGTCGCCACGCTCGATGTTTCTCAGCCACGCGCGGCACCGCCGACTGCACCACAGTCAGGAGTCTGCAAGAGGTGGGGCACTCATCATACACTTCCACACCTCCGATTAAAACGGTTGGCTACGTACGGTGCGAAAGAAGTTCGACATACTTACATACACACTTCACTCTTAGGGGGGCAGGGGCACAATTCCTGGGAACCCCGTGACGTCTGTGACAAAGAGGTTATTTACATGCTTTGGATATCTCTGCTTGACAATCGCATGTTCTCCTGTCTCTTCAGCTGGCCTGTGGACTGCAGTGTAAGGCGTCACATTATCTCTACACTATTAAACAACAGCGCCTTGTCCAAATCCACCCTCATGTTGTCATTGCTTTCTCCCTCCTTGTGCTGGCTGTGCCATAAGCGCCATCATGCACTGCTGCTGCCTGAACTCTCTGATCACGTGGGCTGTGTGTGCTGTATTTAAAGGGCACATAAATCACCTCGTGTCCAGATTTGAAGAAAAAATAAGAGGCATTCAGGTTCTCCGGTTTTCCCCCGTAGACAAAAATCATACAATGTAACTGGCATTAGCCCACCAATAATTATAAAATACCTGAAGATTACTCAATTGGTATTACACACAACGGCAGCAACATCGCCCTCATTTTCAAAAACTTGGCAGGACCCTCCTGAGAATGCGTTTTGGGACTCAGTGAGGCTTTCCTGTGTAGATGAGCGTTATCATGCGAAAACGAATGCGAGTGGGGTTAGCGTGGAGGTAAGTATGGATTTTTAAAGCGGTTGTTGTATTTCAAAGCGTGGTGTTGTTTTTTTTTGCCAGGTGGTATACCAACCCCACGACTGTGAACGCCTTCTACAGCGCCACGACCAACCAGATCCGTGAGCCTCGCAGGAGCACATACGGCAGCACACGTGGCAGCACACCGATCACCGTTGATATAGCTAACAAAGCTCGTGCACAGCAGCAGCGTTCACACAGCGTCCCCACCTTTGACAAGAGTCCAATTCGCATGGCAAACCGCGCACACGCGCGCCCCCGGTGTCAAGGAATACACGATGAGCTGAGAGGAAATACTTTGCTCCTGGTAAAATACGATTTGCTCCTTGTCCCTCAGCCGACAAACCTTCTGGGCAAATGTTTCCCAGGAGCAATGAAGCGTGTGATCCCTGTCCTAGTTCCAACTGCCCCTGTTTGATGTGTGATCTAGCAGAGAGCACTAAGTTGTGCGATATTCGAGCAAAGACCACTCGATGAGAGCTGTGGAAGTCACTTTTTGCTGTGCACATGGCATTCCGTATAGATCTGTCCATTTGTTTGCGTTGAATGGATCACACAATTTGTGGAGTAAACATCGGGCAACCCAGCAGCAGTTGACCGGCCTGACTCTGCTGATGAGAGCCTGAAGGTCAAAACCAGTCCACATTTTACCTGCTTAAAATTATCTTGCTGGGAAAAAATACTTTTGATTTAATGAAAAAAGACAATGGTACACTGCTGCCACCAACAAGAAGAGTGTCAGCAGCTCACAGGTGATGCGGACGCTGCTACTGCAGCCTACAATCCAACATTGTCAGAGTGACCGCGTGTTTGGAGCTGGGAACACGGCGGTTGTATGGCATCGTGTGTGGTGGTGGTTTTGGTTTGTCGTTTTATGTGTCCGCGTAGTGTTTCCAGCAGGAGAATTGCAGAAGCCCTTTTTCTGGGGAGACAAATACCCAATGTGAGTATCAGTAATGGAGCAAGGTGTACATCACACACGCATAAATTCGACAGCGGCCCTGTTCGCTCAGAGCCCATAGAGGGCCCAGGAGAAACTGCGACTGTTTTATCTCTATCACGTAACCAGGTGCCATTCGCGGCAGCAACCACGGGAGACTGAGAAACAAGGAAGCAGGAAGGCATGAGATTACCAGCATAGATGATCAAGGAACTGGGATAAATATCAAGGAGAGATTTGATTGATGCACGCACGAATATTTTTGCACCATGAGAATGGAGTGCAGGCTTCACGACATGCTTCGTGATCCCTCTAGAATGGAAGGCACGTGATGTGGTGTGTCTACGGAGTGCTAAGCAAACTGATTCATTCCACATGTTTAAAAATATCATATGCATGATTCTGGCTCAGAGAACTGAGGCAGAAGCTTCAGAAGTGGGTGCAGAATGAGAGGAACCTTTTGGTGGTGAGTGTAACCAGTGATAACACTTTTGAGAGTGTGATCGATGATTGTAGAAAATGGGAATAGACTGGAGAGACGGCAGCTGGTCAAGTCATTGCATACGGGGCAGCCAGCAGTGGCCAGAGTTGCAGGTGGAGAGTAAGAAGGTGTAGCGGGAAGAGGAGTGCGACAGGGATGCTCCCCGTCCCTATCACCATTTAATAGACGTGAGGAGGCAATGGTGAGGAACGAAGGAGTGAAAGTTGTGGCTGACTTCTAAAACGTTTCGGTTCGAGGTGTGAAATGAGGTTGAGGCGCTGAATGTAAACAATAATCGGGACAGAAATAAAGAGTATTGAAGAAACGCTAAAATTGGGGAACGGGAGGAGAAGTCTGATTTGATCAATTCAAGAAGACAAAACATTTGGACTGGGCATGCAGCTGGGTATGTGAGGGCCTTCGGAAGGAAACTCTCGAAAGAAGGACCATCGTAACAAAATTCACGAGGTAGAAAAGGGATAGCGGTGCTTGGCAGCATAGAGAATAGAGGATAGAAACACGAGCATCGGGGCACGCGAGTGTCGGCACGGGGGGTTGGAGCGTGCAGTGAGCGTACGCACTCGTGCTGCTGTGGCTGCTGGGCTGGCAGGTCCCTGAACTACGGTGCCATCGGAGTCATCGTGGGACACGAATTCACTCACGGCTTCGACAACAATGGTGAGACGAGGTTTCCACGCTCACGGTGACGGCGCCACACGAATCGCCATCAGCACCATCGTCTCGTAGTGGCTGCTTTCACTCAACACTAAAAGCATGGCAGTAACAGATTTGTAAAAGCATTTATCGTCGCTTTTTGTTTTGTGGCGGCAGGGAGGGGCCACAGTAGTGACACTCGTACTTCACAGCGAGACTGGTCTGGGTTCAATTCCCGACTCTCATGGCTTTCTGTGTGGAGTTCTCCTCCTGTTCTGCATGTGTTTCTTCTAGGTTCACCCCTGTTACCTCCCATAGCTAAAACACCAAAGTGTCACTGGTATTGGCCATACATCCCTTTGCTGAAAATGTTCCTGCAAATCACTCAAGTGGGATCACATATAACAGCAACATTGCCACCGACTGAAACAATCTGGCAGTATCCTCCTGAAAAAGAGTTCTGAGAATCAGTGAGGCATTGCTGAGTAAACAAGCCCAATAATGATGTTCACCAAATTATGCCTGAGGTCAATGTTGGAGGGAGCTGTGGAGGTAATCTGACAGGAGAGTTCTAAGCGAGAGTGGGGTTGCACCAGGCACCAGCGTGGAGTCCACTGCTGTTTGTGACCTTGTTGGTTGTTTTGGGTGAAGCCAAGAGAGGAGCTGTTGTGAGGGCCAGCGGTCCAGAATTGTTCGGTGATGAAGGGAAGCCTCTCTCTGGCCCTGGGGAAGCTTCACTCTCTCAATGAACTAGATTTGCCACACCGTTTCATTGCAGGAAGGAAATACGACAAACATGGCAACCTGCACCAATGGTGGAGCAACACATCGATTGCACGCTTCTCTGAGAAGGCGCAGTGCATGATCGAGCAGTACAACAACTACTACTGGAAGGAAGCGCAGCTGCCTGTGAGCAACCACAGACCAGCCGCCATAGGCAACGCATTGTTTGCCTCGCCACAACATGCCTGCCTCGTCATCATCATCTACTGCTGGACGAAGGTCCCCAGTGGTCACTTCATGTGTGCGGTCGAGTCCTGGCTGTCAGCGCCGGCGTTTGGGGAAACCTCTCGCCGATTCTAAAAGTGTTGTCGGCCCATGACCTGCCGGTCACGGCACCGCAGACCACCTGTAGTCAGTGGGGAGGAACTTTCACGTACCCAATTCCCCAGCGTGTGTCTGCAGCTGACGCAGAGAGCGCTCGGTGCGATGCGCTGTTGTCGCCGGCGCCCTGTGAGGACACGCGGTTAATCGGCTCTGTCCTCGGCGTGCAGCTCAAGGGCAAGAGGACACTGGGAGAGAACATCGCCGACAGTGGGGGGGTTCGAGAGGCCTTCAGGGTAAGGACCCACGACCCGGGGAGACAAACACATCCGTGAGTCTCGCTATGGCACAGCGATCCCCGGTACAGGCACGGTGCGCAAGGGCAGCAGCCAGATTCGTACAGAACAGGGAGGGCGCTCGCACACAAGTCACGTGATGCTGACTGCAGGATTATCACTTCGCTCATGTGCGGTCACGTTTTCACTCTTGCTCATGACTGTTTTTGTTATTATTATGCTTGCTAACCCTGGAAAGCCTCAACGATTGACTATACTCTTTTTCAGGAGAGTCCTACGAAGTTTTCACAAGGTCATGTTCCTATGCGTAATCCCAACTAAGTAAATTTGCAGGTATTTTTTCAACATTGGGATGTATGGCCAGTTACATTGTTTAACTATGGGAGGAAACCAGAAAATCCATAGAAAACCCTTGCAGAACGATGGGAGAACATACAAACTCGTCCCAGAAAGGCACTCGAAGTCGGTAATAAAACCTTGACCCTTCTTGATGTGAGGTACAAGAGTTACCAAGTGTCACCCTGCAATCCTATTATATGCCCTCAAGAATTTAAACACATACATGCTAACAGCGACACTTAAGATCAGTCCAACATCCGCAAACCCACGTGGGTCCTCAAAGCTCTAGGAGTTGAAGGAAAGGGTGCCCTCTGCAAGACGTTGTGCCTGGGAGAATGTGGATGGCACACATTGATACCAGTACGCATAGGTGTTCCTATACTGACGGGATTTAGAGAGGGCTGATGTTTAATATTAGTGCGTACGATCCCCTCGTGCACTATTCCAGCCTTGCCAAGCAGCTCCCATCCCTCCACCCTAGGAGCTAAGGAGCGGTGATTGTGTGTCTCAGTGTGTCTCAGTGTCTTGTGGTTGCGTGCTTGCATCTGCGTAGGCATATAGGAAATGGATCAAGGACAGCCGGGGCGGGCAGGAGGAGCCTCTGCTACCTGGACTCAACCTGACCCACAACCAGCTGTTCTTCATCAGTTACGCACATGTATGGGCACATACACATGCACGCACCATCTTCATGAGATTACTTCCCTCTTGTTAGTGGAATTCTAATTACGTAGTGATGGCGATGCGCCATGCCAGCCTTTATAGTATGTGTGTTACGTGGTATGTGGTACATGGTGTTCAGTATGTGGTACATATATGCGGTGCGTAGTATGTGGCATGCTATTTGATGCATGCCGTGTGTGTTGCGTGGCGGTAACTGACGTGTGGTGGTGGGTTTGGTGTTTTCAGGTGCGGTGCCAAGCACACCGGCCTGGGGAAGCCAGGCAGATGGTGCTAGTCGGGGCTCACAGCCCTCCGGAGTTCAGGTAACGACGACATCAGCCACGCTGTTCACACTTGTGCCCGTGCCATAGGCATCTCCTGCGTGAATTGTCCTCGACATGGAGTCTGAACGCTGGCTCAGCGCATTGTTTTAGGGGTGGACTGCCGCGAAAATCTCACAATTTCTGCAGTTGTGGTAACTTTAAATTGACTTTGAGGCCAAGTTACACCCGTGAGAAATAATAGTTCTATTGTCTTTGTAATAGTGGCCCAATATTATGATGGCTGAGATGATGTGGAAACCGTTTGATCACAAGAACACCTTCATGTTAAACTAGAATTGAGATGACTATACCATCAACACCACGGTGGGCTTTGCCTTGCTACATGACTGATGTCCGATTGTGAGCATAGTGACTTTGTGGGGGTGTATGGAATAGTGGTGCAACAAGCACTGTACTTTAAACCTGGCAAACTAGATTCAATTACAGATCACGGCAAACATCCGTGATATATGAACTGGTTATTGCGCTCCTCTAGGACGACTCAGCCTAAAACGACTACCTGATGTGGTGTGTAAATATCAGCACTGGAGAGACAAGACGGCCGGGCGTGATTCTGACAATACCACCCGCTCAGTGTGCCATGCCAGACTTAATAGGTGCTCGTTAACAGTACTTTAATATGTGGGCTTCACGGTGGATCTCTGTCTCTAAGTTTGTGTGTGTGTGTGGCGTGCTGGTGCTGTTTGTTTCTCCAGAGTCCTGGGATCGATGAGTAACTTTCCGGAGTTTGCTCGCGCGTTCCAGTGTGCGGAAGGCACCACGATGAACCGTGGCAAGCAGGCGTGCCGCGTCTGGTGAAGCGCATGACCGGTCCCCCATCCCCGCGGGACTGCACGGACATTCCAGCCGATGTATGCAGACTTGTTTAGGGGAACCATACTCAATGACAAACCTCCCAAATTAAAAGATCAATGAGAAATTAGGATTTATCTTGTGCAGAGTGCGAAAAGAAAGCTGAAGTGTTTTTTTTTGCACATTTCCAACACGTCACTATATTGCACTGTTTAAATGTTCGGCAACATCCCACATGAAACACCGCAGCTCCATTGCATCTGTTTGGCTGGGCAGAGACTGAGATGATCTGAGACCTGACCCCTGCCCTCCTCGCTTGCCTGGATAACCCAGCCCCGCTTGCTCAACTAATTCCAGCAAAGATCTAGGAAAGAAATGTTTGGCCTATAAAAAAAAAAACATTTTAGATAAAAAAATACATTTAATGCACATGTAAAATAAGTAAGAAAAATGTGTCGCTTGTCTTCATGAAGACAGATTGATACATTTTTACAATTAAACATCTCATTACCGTCTTAAATCAAATGAATTGCACCTTGCTAAATTCTATTCTCTCATTGCCATGACAACTACCCACGTGAGTTGGGGCCAAGTTGAGCAGAGCCCTGGGAGCCCAGTTCTGCACCGGCTTCACTCCACACAATGCACAATTAGTTTAACATTTCAGAACTATCACTATATTAGTCGTGTTTTACATCTATAATTCATGTATTAAAAGGAAAAATGTATTTACTAAACGTAGATGATTACAAATTGACTGTGATTGCATATCCCTTCGAGGGAAGCACTCAAATATGTTGTGCTGTATGCAATAATAGGGGTTTTCTCCTTTTTTCTGGCAACAAAATTGAAACCTTCTTACAAGGATTCATGTCTGCATTAGCCACAATACCCGCAGTCAAAATGCAAACAAAAAACATTCTATGATAATATATGCATTGTCCTTGAAACTGATTGGTCCACACCAAGGGACGGCTTTCTTTTGAGCCTCGACCCAATTGGTGCTCAAACAGATGACGCCAAAAGGCGTACAGCTCAAAGACAATCCACTAGCAAAGTAATGAGGGCTCGGGGTGAGCATCTACATCATTAGACCTCCTTTGCCAGTACCAAAATGTACATTTTTGCAAAGGAGTACCAAATTGTACATTTTGTACATTTTTACCAAAATGTACATTTTTCAAAGGAGTACCAAAATGTACCAAAATGTACCAAAATATACATTTTGGTACTGGCAAAGGAGGTCTAATGATGTAGATGCTCACCCCGAGCCCTCATTACTTTGATAGTGCATTGTCTTTGAGCTATACGTCTTTTGGCGTCCTCTGGTCGAGCACCAATTGGGTCGAGGCTCAAAAGAAAGCCATCCTCTGGTGTGGACCAATCAGTTTCAAGGACAATGCATATATTATCATAGTATGTTTTTGTTTGCATTTTGGCTGCAGGTATTGTGGTTAATGCAGACATGAATCCTTGTAAGAAGGTTTCAGTTTTGTTGCCAGAAAAAAAGGGGAAAACCCTATTATTACATTTTGGTACTGGCAAAGGAGGTCTAATGATGTTGTGCTGTGTTAAGAGTGAGGACGTGTGTGTGTGTTTAAAAAAAAAGACATTTACAAACATGTTTTGTATACATATATGGCCTAAAGAACCACAGGCAGCATATTGCTCAAGGTCGACTTGTGGCTTTTGCTCCACATCACTGTCAGCTGTTAATTATTTGAATAGTGAGCTCAAGCTCTTGGGCAGGCAGCGAGTGATATCGCGCATGACGTGTGAGAGCTTGGAGGTCTTGTCCAAATCACCGATGGCTGCGCTAAACACCACCTTCACCACCTCCAGCTCCTGTTTACACCGGAGTCGGTGACCGTGTGCAGGCGTACGGTGAGAGCAGGTGGAGAGTGTGGTTCTATTCTCTTCTCACGTGTGATGGGAGCAGCAATGTGTTTAGGAGCTCGATGCCAATGTCGAGGTCTGCTAGCCACGATGAGAGGGCTTTAGGAGAGAGGGTTTGTGTAGTTTTGCTATTCCTAGATTGAAAGAGCACAGACCACAGTTTTACCATATGGTCCATAGTTTGGGTTGCATGGTCACAATAGCACTACTGTTGGTTGTCTTTAATTTTTCATTTCTGAAAGAGATGTGTGCATCGGCGTGTTTATGTTCTGATTATGTGGGTGATAGTTACGTCAGTGTCTTCGAGGAATGTCAAAGCCAGGAGGGTACAATGTGTCTGAGATGAGGTGTTTATTCTGCAAGTCCTCATTGTTCCACTGTTCCTCTTTATCTTGGCTATATTCTAGGATGGTGCCAGCGTGATCTCAGAAGGGGGATCGGTAGGTGGTCGGTGCGGTACATTGTTGAGGTCTTGATTGATGAGTAGGTTGTCCGCGGCAAGATAACGTGTAAGCTCCCGTGAGGTTTGCAGAATGTTTGTCACAACATTGAGCCAGGGGGTTGGTGTAGATTTCGGTGTTTCGATTATTTGTGTATCTACACGCAGTATTGGCGTGAGGTCCGATCGCAGTGGCTGCAGCCCAGGGGGCCGGACCCGCAGGGCTAATGTGCGGTGTCGACACGTGACAGTCGGGCAGCTCCACGGGCTGGCATTGTCGTGGGAATCGTATCACGTGATAAACGCACCCATGATGTAACCTGGTCTTGGATAAATATCCCAATGCTGAAAATGTACCCGCAAATTTACTCCATTAGGGTTACACTCAGCAGCAACATCGCCCTCGATTTGGAAAACTTGGCAAGACCCTCTTGAAAGAAAAAAAGAGGTCTTCAAACTTGGAGAAGCTATTCTGGGTAAACACGCTGCATAATGTATGTGCATGGGTGGTGATGCCTTCAAACAGGTGACTTAGCAAGCATTTCGTATTCTGACAGGGCAGCTGTACTATGTTGTCGAGGGATACGCGCTGAATATACACAAAGGTAGTCGAAGGGTTATGGAATATCATGTGAAAAGCTAATGTACAATCCAAACTGGGTTTTAAAGAAAATGCATTAAAGTTTATAAACATCACTGCTCCGCGCCCCATTGGCAGAAGGAACGCATGAATGTTGTCCCACGCGGAGGGCAACGGAACGAGTGAAACACTCCGCAGGGAGAGCCTCGATGGCTGGCGGGGCTCGTGGTGATCCCGCGGGGGAGCCCGGGCAGAGGTCGAGGGACAGCGCCACGCGCCACACTCTGGAGACTAAATAGAGCTCCGGGGATTTAGTGGATCTGTGCTTTCACATTTATACCGCTCGATGATAAGTAATCGTGGGTGTAAATTCACACGTATACTTTCAAATCCATTTGCGGTTATGTTTTATACCTTTTCGCACAAGTTTATTACGAATGAAGTAAATGCTTAAGTTACAGTTTTATCCAAATACTGTAATGTGATACATGTGAACAGTTACCGTGTGCTTTATATCTTTTTTTGCGATATTAAACGTTGGAAAAATGATTTTTATTTTTTAGTCAACAGTAAATTATTGATCAATGCAAGAGTACAAGATTTAGCAGAACATTACACCTACAATATACTTCTATTGGAATGCTATTGTGTTAATACTCGTGTAAAGCATTTGAGAAGAAATCACATTTAACCAAGGTTAAATCAATTAATTAACAATGAGATACCCCTTTCAGATGTTGTAAATGGGCAACTGCACAACGTGGATACATTTCACAGTTGAGCGATGTGGGTAATCGGTGGTCGAGGTGTGAAATGGCTCCTTGTTCGAGCAAGCACATCAACCCATTAGGATTGTAATTCAGATAGAATCGTATTTGTCCACCTCTCCTGCGGTGTCGTGCGTACGCACAAGGCCTGGAAGTTACATCCACGCTGGGATGGCGGTTGTGCATTTAGTTTCGTGTCAAATCATTGGCATCTTGCATTAAAAAGCCACGTTTCCCAAAATCTAGATAACACCTTCAAATGACACTCCACATATATTGGGATAGCTCTGAAAATCTTGACTAAGGCCCTAAGACGTGGAACTGCGCCATTGTAACCGATATAAGTGAAATATATTTGCTATTCATTACCAAGGAGGCTGCATCCAGGTTGTTGACAGTTGTGATGATGTTGTTGGTTTTAACTCGTGTCAGGGACCAAGAGGAGTAGAACACCGATTGGGCTGCAGTGCCCTCTGACGAGCACAGTGTGGCCATGCTGGCAACTGCTCAGCACGATGCTCACTCGCCAATCACTCCCTGCTTTTGACTAAGCTCTGACGAGATCGGGCACAAGCGTGACACAATTGTGTCAATAATGAATCGTTATTAATTATAATGGATACATAATAATGCACTTTATTCGTTGAGTTTTAATAGTGACAGTAAACATGGGCGATGCCGAGGACCGTGGTGCTGATCGCGGTGCGAGTGAGCCGCCTGTGCGCACATCGAGTCGCCGTCGTGTGGAGTCACCGCGCCACTGCGATGCAGGTTCCGGGGCCCCTGGCTGGCGGCTGGTCCCTGCGACTCAAGAGACTCGGGGAGACACAGACAGACGGAGACTCGGGGAGACACACGGAGACTCAGGGAGACACACGGAGACTCGGGGAGGGGAGGCGCATCGCGGCATGATCCGCTTCGTGCTGCTGGTGAACGCGCAGGGCCGCGTGCGCCTCTCGCGCCACTACGAGCGCCTGGGCGCGGCGCGGAGGAGGCTCGTGGAGGCCGCGGCGGCGCGGGCCGGGCTGAGGGCCGGAGACGGCGACCAGGTGCGGGGCAGTAGGGCCAAGAGCACGGGCAGCAGTAGGGTCAGAGACACGGGCAGCAGAAGGGCGAAGGGCACGGGCAGCTGTAGGACCAGGGGCACGGGCAGCAGAAGGGCGAAGGGCACGGGCAGCTGTAGGGTCAGGGACACGGGCAGCAGAAGGGCGAAGGGCACGGGCAGCTGTAGGGCCAAGAGCACGGGCAGCAGTAGGACCAGGGGCACGGGCAGCAGTAGGGTCAGGGACACGGGCAACAGTAGGGTCAGGGACACGGGCAGCAGAAGGGCGAAGGGCACGGGCAGCTGTAGGGCCAAGAGCACGGGCAGCAGTAGGACCAGGGGCACGGGCAGCAGTAGGGTCAGGGACACGGGCAACAGTAGGGTCAGGGACACGGGCAGCAGAAGGGCGAAGGGCACGGGCAGCTGTAGGACCAGGGGCACGGGCAGCAGTAGGGTCAGGGACACGGGCAACAGTAGGGTCAGGGACACGGGCAACAGTAGGGTCAGGGACACGGGCAGCAGAAGGGCGAAGGGCACGGGCAGCTGTAGGACCAGGGGCACGGGCAGCAGTAGGGTCAGGGACACGGGCAACAGTAGGGTCAGGGACACGGGCAACAGTAGGGTCAGGGGCACGGGCAGCAGAAGGGCGAAGGGCACGGGCAGCTGTAGGGCCAAGAGCACGGGCAGCAGTAGGACCAGGGGCACGGGCAGCAGTAGGGTCAGGGACACGGGCAGCAGTAGGGACACGGGCAGCAGTAGGGGCACGGGCAGCAGTAGGGCCAAGGCCAGGGGCAGCAGTAGGGTCAGGGGCACGGGGCAGGGCCAGCGAGACTCCACGCGGCTGTGAAGGGGCCACCAAGGGTCCGGACAGTCGCGGTGGTGACACTTCTGGTGGCTCGCAGCGAGAAGGGGCCTGGGTTCGCTACCCAGGCTTGGGCGCCTTTTGTGTGGATTCTGTTCTCCGGTGTCTGCTCATGACTAAATACATTGAATAAATACACTAAATACATGCACACAGTGTAGCCTGAGTGCTGTACGAGTAGCGGATTGGCATGCTCTATTTACGTGACAAACCTTACTAATCCTCTGTGTTGGGTGCTGGCGGGTTTAACGACACATTTATATTTACGCGATTTTAATCGAAACATTCCTATATTATGAGGGAATTGGCCAAATATACATCCGAATGCTGAAAATACATTACATGTACAGTACCTGCAAATCACACGCACAGTAGCAACATCAGTAGCAACATCGCCATCTCCTGGCGACAAACGTCGTGGCAGGACCCTCTTGAAAACGGTTTTAAAACTCGGCGAGGCTTCATAATAAAATAACTTAGGTAAAAAACTAGTTTTTCAATGCATACACTTTTATTTGCACTTACAAGTAGAAAGTGCATTATTTTGACCCCGGAATTAATCGAATTTGATGTGCTGAATAGAAGCGGGTGGTTTCCTTTCGATATGTTTAATTTTCTTTACGCAACTGCTTTTTTTAACCAAACTGTTTTCATGTTATTTTTGTAAAAGCAATGTGTATATTACATATTTATTCCAAGATCTCAATCCAGACAATAACAATAGTTAAATATTGTCCGGATAATGGTAATATGTTTGATCTACTGCAATAAAAAATCTAAGTAAAAAACACGAAGAGGCCCAGGATCGGCGGGACTTGGACCGGTTCTTTGAATGAAATCTTGAATTGTCAAGAAATTTCAGCTCGTCAGGCTTCGTAGATCCGAAAATATTAAGCGTCAAATATTTGAAAGAATATAAACAGGCAACAGCACAAGTTAAATAAAAGTGTGTAAAAACATCTGCTGCCGAGATGGGTGCCCAAGCACCTCAGCACACTCTCAATCAAACCTCCAGTATATAAACAACTCGCCTATTTCCCGTCCAAGGACGGGTATATTGCAGTAAATGTGAAACTTGCAAGCGAAAAGCAGACCGCGACGTGATATTCATTGCATTAATGCGTGTGCAATTTGTAAGGGCGCGGTGACACAGACCTATTTCATTTTAAGGTTAGTCCCTTTTTCATCATGACGTCCTTTTTACTTTGATGTTTCAACAGCGTGACGGAGATCACGTGACGTGAGGGTTCTGCCTTTGTCATGAGGGTTGGAAGTGACGCCGAGGAATGGGGAGTGAAGTCAGCCGCTAATTATTATGAATGAGGAGGGGTGGTCGATGTTGAGTGGCGTCACGAGCGTTACGGACAGACATTCCAGGGTGATTATAGTAGGTATGCTCGTATATGGATAATGCACGTACATGCATATTGTCTGAGTGTCTCCCTCGCAGTGAACCTGTCAAGAGAACCACAACTGAGATTACACCCTCAGACAAAAGCGGCCACGCGCATTCACCTGAAATATTTATACGGTAGATTTTAAAGGGTAATGAGAACAGTTCAGAGAGCAATGGTCAGGACCAGGGTAAACAAACAAATCTGGTTTTCACAGTCATGGCAACAGTGAGAATTACCAGGGAGTACCAGTCGGACAACCCCTGTTTAAGAGTTTCCTGTCCCAGTAACTCTCGGTATCCGAGTTTGCCAGTGAGGGGGCCCAGGGCAACCTAGCAATGAGAAGTTGTCAGAAATTCGAGTCAACGACACAGTTCCACTCATTCTTTTAGCTGGAAGACGCCGCAGTCTTGCTAATTTTTGTTTCTGACAGGCAGGGGTTTTCCTATCTATCAACCTACCGCCCAAAGGCCCACAGAAGATGCCTCCACGAGGTTACAAAAAGTCCACCAGAAGATTATTTTGCCATGGGAGGTATTGCCTCAATAGGCAGCCTGAACTTAGAGGAGGGAAGGCAGGTTGTCAAGATGCCAGGGGAAATTTCTGGAATATGGGAGATACGGGGAAACGTGTGGGGATGATTGCTTGTGATTCATTCCGGCTGCGATCCAGCGCAATCGATTGCACTGACATTGCTCGGAGTGTGCGGGCCTCCGCGGTGGGTGATGATGCGCAGGGTTGTGCCCGTGGCTGTTGCAGTGCTCATTCGTGGACTACAAGGACTATCGCCTGGTGTCACGCCGCTACGCCGCGCTCTACTGCATCGTGGGCATCGATTCGGAAGAGGTGAGCAACTTCCCACTGAGTGTTCCTCATGCAAATCTTGTTGTGCCCACCGCCGCCCATGGGCTCTCCCTCGCACCAAACACTACCCCGGTGCTGCAGCCTGTGTCCTCACTGCTGGTTTGCTTCTGCTTTTATCCAGGATTTATAACCCAGGATGTGCATCATTGGTGAGGTGGCAGGATAGTGCTAGAATTTAAAAGCAAAATGCAATCATTTTATGGCATTCATTTCACACATCCTTAAGCTGTCTAACTCTGCGGTGATATATTGGCAGCAGGGGATGTGAATAATGCCCTGATGGGTAGGCGTTCGCTTTAATGACGCGTGGCTGCCATGGTGCGTGTGGCTTGTAAAAAGCAGTCTGCCATCTCGTGTGTGGCCAGAGGAGGTGTTAACTGAACGGTGCCCGGTGTTGCCTCTAAAGAGGATGGAGTGAGTGTCCGAGTTCCGATGGATGTCACTCACCAACACATCGCTGTGTCTATATGAGGCACCCACACTAAAGATATTTTCTTTAGTGTATCTACATAACTTTACCGAAAGATGCAAAGAATATAAAGATAGGCTTCCAACAGTTTTGCATATGGGTTGAAAATATTAATAGGACACTTGCATTATCCTGGCTTATTTTTTTATATTTTTCAAATCACCAGAAACTTCACGAAGAGGCATTTCAGCGCCAAGTATCTACTAATCATCTGTATTGGGTATCGGAGTGCGCAGCGGTATCGGCAGTGACATTGCGCTGCGTCTCTGTTGATGCTGCATGGCTGTGTTGTTTCAGAATGAGCTGGAGATCTACGAACTAATTCACAACTTCATAGAGACACTGGACAAGTACTTCAATCGCGTGGTGAGTGTCTCACTCAGCCACGTGGTGAGCGTCTCACTCAGCCACGTTGTGAGCGTCTCACTCAGCCACGTGGTGAGCGTCTCACTCAGCCACGTGGTGAGTGTCTCACTCGGCCACGCGGCAGCAGCAGCAACAGCAGAGAAAGAGCAACCTCCTATTGAAGGGAGGTTGGTTGAGTGTTTATCCTGAAAGCCTTTATGCCTGGTACAGGGAACACGTGAAGAGGACCAGAGCGAAAACACTGAGGGCAATCTTATAGTTGGTGTGCAAATGGATTGGGAACCAGTGGAGAGTTTTAAGGGTTGGTCTGATCTAGTCTTATTTATGAGTGCAAGTGGCAGCAGCATTTTTGATTTTTTGGAGTGTGGAAGTGAGGAGTTTGAGAGGCTATAATGGAGAGAGATGCAATTGTCAAGCCAAGCGGTGATGAAGACAATCATTAGAAAACCAAAAATGTAGCATATGACCATGGCGATCTCACAGTATATATTACCGCTGCTTGAAACTGGTCTTTGATCCATCAATTTAAATTAATTATCATGCTCATGATATAGACATAGAATAGTGTAAGAATACTGAATGTAGAATTGAAATGTTGTGTGACTGGGTCACATGAGCCCTGCAGCCATTTTAGTATCCACATGCTTGATAATGATATATATGTTTTAACTATTTGAGTTGGACAGTTCAACATTGCACTTCTAATGCTGTTGTCTCATCCTTTCAGTGTGAACTTGCCGTATCCTTTGAAGCTCACGATGCTTTACGAGCAGTAAGTTCTAGCTGGTATCGGAAGCACTCCTATTTCGGTTGTGTGCTGATTTTGTTCGTATAACCGATTATGTGGCATGCTCAAGCACAAACTTAGTAAAGCCTCTAGGGTTGTCAGTCTGTTCGTGTTGTGGGAGTTTCCACTGCAGCATGTGAATAACGCAACGTGTGCATACACGGATGCGAGTGGGTGTAGGCACGCCCGAAGAAGCAGCCCGGTCATAGTCCCAGGAGCTGTGCGTGTTTGTTTACACACGTGTACATCAATGACTGGTAACGTGGTCGTGTTTTTGTTACTCAGGAAACACTCAGCTATTTGGATGTTCACGCTTTTATGTATAATGTCCCAGATAACCTGATAGCTGACGTAACTCTACAGGAATGTTTTAAAAGCAACTTTCGATCATGTACTTGGGAAAAGCTAAAGTGGTGGTGAGGGTGGAGGGAGAGTATGGCCTGAAGGCTGTCTGTGAAGTGCCTAGGTGAATCCTTGACACGGCGACGCCAGATCATGTTTAATCTGGAGAAGGTGCACATGGTGTTGGACGAGATGGTGGTGAATGGGCGCGTGGCTGAGACGAGCCAGACTCGCATCCTGGCTCCCATCTACTTGATGGAGCGTGCCGACCAGAGCCAGTAAAGGCCGCGGGGACGCGAGGTGCGGGGGATACGGCACATGACCGGCTGTTGCCGTCCTGTGTGGAGGAAGCGGCGCTGCGAGCCGACCGGAGAGGCTTCTGCAGGAACAGGCGGCTCCTGCCCAGTGGGGTCAGCGTGACCGCTTGGCGCGCGGGGAGGGAAGCGCCACCACCTCTTACAGCATGCAACAACCAGCATGGCTTGATTTCTTTTCAAGTGGATCTCAAATCCAATTCGCACCATCATGAGGAAAGTGCGAGTGTAGTATGATTTATTTTGCACACCCCCATTCTCTGAACTGAGCACAAAATGTTGACAATTTTACTTGTCTGACTTGAACATTACTTCAAAGTGACCTGATTCAAAACCTTGTACTGCAATTCATACTCGGCTGCGAGCCGCTGGTGCGGTGAGACGTGAGTCCGTGCCGAGCGTGCCGTGCGCATAGCCGCAATCTGCTTGGCTGCCATCCTTGCTGCCCAGCCGAGCGCACCGCCTGGCGTCATTTCCCACGATGCGCGTGAGGGTTTGCCACCTGCTGCTGGCCCTCGCCATTTCTCTCAATCTGCTCTTCATGTATTACTTCATGAGAGAGAGCGGTCGAACAAAGTCGGCGCTGGAAGGCAGGGGCGGCGGACGGGCCGGGGCGAGGTCGACCGCCAGCAGAGGCCCCCCCGTACAAGGGACCTCGGACACACCGAGGGACGGGACGGCTCGCCAGCACGGCGAGCGCAGCGAGCGCCGCGAGGCAGGCGGGCCCGAGGGAGCCTGCTGGCCCGGGGGGGTGTGCGGGCCCGGGGGGGCTTGCGGCCCGCCGAGGCGCCCGGGCGTGGTGGCGCTGCTGCGGGAGTTCGAGGAGTTTGAGAACAGCGTGGGGGAAACGGCGCGGGGTCTCCTGGCCGATGGAGGCTCCGAGCGGGAGGTGCTGGTGCTGTCAGACCGCGACCCTTACCCGCCCCTCGCTCTGCCGCCAGGTGCCACCGCGGGCCCCTCCTTGCACGGGGAGGGTTGTGGTTTAAGGCTGTGTTCATACCGGTCGTATAGACTCACACAGCAAATTCCTGCCTTCTGTTTGAAAATGGAGTTGGATTGTATTTGTGAATAGATCTCAATTTTACCATTTGTACAAGCCCTTGCAGTGTGCTACAGTATATTTTCACCCTCTACAATGCACTCATCTTCCAAAGCTATTGCCATAAACGTCCTAATGTTTCTCTCCAGCACTCTTCATACAAAGGGTGAAGAAATGAATGTGTTAAGTCACGTTTCTGCCTAGGCTATGAAAAGCTGGGCCTGCATTTCAAGAAATAAGATTTTTATGTTTCAAAACTAAAAACCAGTGTTTGAGTGCGAGTACCCAAAAATGTGAATATTCAGTCAGGGTGTACCATATAGCACTTGTCCTATTCAGCCGATTGCTGATTCCCTTCTCTTGGTAGACCTATGAAACCACATGTAAAGCCGAATAGATTGCAGCAATGTATTTTTCCATAAACTATCTCCGTCTCCTCGTAATTGTATGTCCTCTGTATTGTTTTGTTGCTCTGTTCTCTGCCTCCGTCGGCCTACGTCGTTGTGGCCGTAGGCCTCTAGTTTTGTCACCGCCCATGCTGGGGCTCGATCTCCAGGCCTCACCGGCTGCCATCCCTCCAGGAGCACGCCTGGTCGCGTTGTCGGGCCACCCTGAGCGGGCCGTTGCCGAGGCCAGCCCCGAGCGCCTGCTGCGTAGGGAGGCCGTGCTGCTGGTGCCGGATGGAGTGGCGTGGTCCGGCGCAGGGGGTGCGGAACTGTTGCGGCGCCTACAGGAGGAGCTGGGCCGATCTTCGGGCAACGTGCGCATGGTGGCGCTGCCCGTGCGGGGTGATGTCCCCACGCGCTGCCTCGACCTCTCGGTGCGCCGCCTCGTGCGTGACCCTGCGTGCTCGCGGTGTCAAGTAGAGGGACGAGGCAAAGAATCCACAAAGGGGCACGGCCCCAGTAATCGCGCAGTACTTGGGCAGGAGAGCGTGTCCAGGTGTCCACAGGAAACAGCGTGGAATGCTTCAGCCAATCGGGCTTCCAGATAAAATGTTTGCATTGCCAGAAGACATTGATCCAGTAGATATTGATGATTGATTCAATCCGGCATGCTTAGTTATTTGTTAAATATTCACAATGATATAATACCTCAAACATCGCTGCAGCTGCATCTGAGTTTCCATCACAGTGAAAGAACGTTGAAAGGGGCGATGGTCGCTGGATGTAGAAGGCTCAGCAGATTACAGATTTTGCTCTAAATATGTTAGAATTAATTAAGCAATTCAAGCCCATAAACAGATTACAAGGTCACCACCAGCAGACCACATGGTGGACTGATGCAATCGGTGAACCCGTGCCCTTGGATGCCCAATACGGAACGACTGGGCGACACCGCTGCCTCCCACGCATGGCCGGCTTAGCGCGTGATCGGTGTTGCTTCTGGAATTATTTGCCTTAGTAATTTTCAGATTTTTGGGGATCCTTTCCGGTATAGCCCAAATCCTAGCTTTGCCAAATCTGGCTTCGAGAGGTTGTACATTACAAGTTGAATGAGTGTGCGGTGTGTAACAGTGGGCATGCGTGGTTGTGTGTGGTGCTACCTTCAGTCAAAATGTCTCGAGTGAGTAGCCTGGTGCAGTGCTCATCCTCACTCGTAGGCCAAATACAGGCTCTCAAAATCCAATCCTTCCATTTGATCAGCCCCAATGGGGTGATGAGCCAAATCAGCCCCAACTGGGGTTTTAGCCTGATTGTCAAACATTTTGGTCACATTGACACCTATCCAGTTGTACACAAAGTGTAATGATTATATGCTTGTGAGTGTGTACAAGTTTATTGCCATGCGCTCCTTGTGTGTGTGTTAGGTGTGTCCAGCTGTGTGGATGTGCGGACATACGTGTGCCTGTATAGGTGAGAGTGAGGGAGTGGACAGCGGAGTACCGGGCGCCCACGCGCGCTGACGAGTGTGATGCTCTGACTGGTGATGCCGTCATCTTCATCCGCACGCCGGTACTGACCGGGCTCGAGCCACACACCGATTTACACACTCCACTGGTACACGAATACTCATCACCGACTTACACACTCCACTATTACTCATTACAAACCGGACATGAGCCACACACAAAATTCAACACTTGCACTCACATTAAATACACTTCACTGATATATGTCTACACTTGGACTTGGCAACTCACAAGGGCACATATGCCTAGCTTGGTTTCATCGACTGTCGGGGCAACCTATGTTGTGCAATCAAGTGTGCCAAGCTGTGGGGTGATGTCGCCTGGACCCAGCCCTGCCACTTTCATCTCCCATTCACTGCCATTGACGTACCACATGAGGTATTCCTTTAAGGCCGAATTGACCTAATTGAGGCCCATACCCAGTTCAGTTACCACTTCCCGCTGTTGTGACCTGCTGCGCTTTGTGCCCACGGCACAGATCCCCGCGTGCGTAAACGTGCGCCTACAAGGCTACGCTAGTTGCGCAATTCTGGCAGCGCTCGTTGCCGCTCGCGTGTTTGTACACGTGTGATCTCCGGTCCCTGTGCGTGCGTGTCCAGGACCTGCTCGGCGTATCGCTTCCTTGGGCCCGGCCCCTGCACACGGCACTTTTCCTGCAGACGGCGCTGCGGGGTTGGCGCGTGCGGCTGCTGCGCGACGTGGCGCCGCTCGCACGCCACCCCCTGCTGACCGACGCTCATGCGCAGTGGAAGGCGAAGCAGCGGCGGCAGACGCGGCTCGACACGCTGCACCGGGACCTGGACATCCGGCTGGTACCAATAGTCGATTGCTTTCAGAGCACTACGATGCACTGTGTGACAGGGCCGAGGCCAGCTTGTACACTGAATGTGCAACACATTCTCTACGGGCCCCTTGAAATATTTTGTTTGTGTCAATCCACATGTTCGAGATATTCCACATGAGCGCACATAAACTACTACACCCAGATTCATCAACTGCTGCTGCTGCACAATGCTGGCGTCACACTCCTATTCCCTTTGGAGTCCCAGGCAGATGCCTATGTCCAAACTTGCTCAGGAACCGCTGTATCCACGCGGAGGGAACTAAGTGTGTGCTGCCGTGGCGTGCGTGCTGCCGTGGCGTGCATGCTACCGGGATCTGCTTGCTGCCGGGGTCTGCGTGCCGCTGTGACGTGCGTGCATGGCAACGTTCGGTGCGCAGGTGCGCGACGCCGCGGGTCAGGAGACGTGGTTTGGCTGCAGCAAGAACACGGCGCGCTGCTTCGGCTCGGTGCTGGACGACACGCCCGAGTATCTGCACCGCGGCCGCTGGACGCCGCCATGCTGCCTGCGCGCCCTGCGCACCACGGTGGCACGCGTTGTGCGCGAGCTGGAGCGCGCGGGGGTTCGCTACTGGCTCGAGGGTGGCAGCCTGCTCGGAGCCGCTCGCCACGGCGACATTATCCCTTGGGACTACGACGCGGATCTCGGTCTGTACCGTGATGACATCACCAAGTGCGATCTGCTCAAGCGGGCGGCAGGTGCGTGCTGGGCCGGGGCCGGCACAGCCCCCCTTATGTGTGGCTGTCCCTGGCTGTGTCCTTGATGTTGTGCACATGCCGTTGTGGTGTACGAACGTGGCAGAGCGCGTGTGTGTGTAAGCATCCACAAGGAAGTACCCTCTGCAGTGTGTAAACATCAACATTGGTGAGACAAAAGTTGCTCGGCATGGTGCTTGCCACCCACCTCCTCATGCGTCGTGCCGGCCTTCATAGGTGCTACTCGTTAACAGCACTTTCCCTAAAATTCTGATAAAAGCTATACCGTGGGTCCTTGTCTTTGTGTGCACCTGGGTTCGTAGCACTGGGCCCCGTGGAGGACGAGGAGGGGTTCGTGTGGGAGCGCGCGCGTGAGGGAGACTTCTACCGCGTGCACTACAGCCGCACCAACCGGCTGCACGTGGACCTGTGGCCCTTCTACTCCAGCTCGGGCACCATGACCAAACTCACGTGGATGAAGGGCCACCCGCAGGATCGTGAGTTTCCCGAACACTTCCTGCAGCCACTGGAGCGCATGCAGTTTGCCGGCATTCTGGCGTACGCTCCAAACAACCATCGACGCTTCCTCGAGCTAAAGTTTGGCCCGGGAGTGATTGAGAATCCAGAATACCCCAACCCAGCTAAAAAGAGACTGGATCAGGACAGTGCATGATCAAGGCTGAAAGCGATCATCTCACACTCACCAATGAGTGGGGTCCCGCTCTCGTGTGTGGAATATCTTGAGGTTATAGATTATAATTTGTTGTTGATGATAATTTTGGTGTTTTATTTTGACTTGTGGTTTCAATGTCAACCCTTTTAGTGCCTAGAGACCTGCTGTGTAGGTACGGCGCTACGTCTATCGTGTATGATGATGATGATAGTCATTGTTTCTCAAGAATTCAAACTCGGCGTTTACAGTTTAATTTGCATGAGTGAGAATCTGGTTGGCAATGTTGCTTGTTTGGATTGTAGGCATTTAAGAACTTTTTATTAAACACAGAGTGCTCTCTTATTAAGAGTTGAACTTTGTGATGGTTTTCTGGCCCTTGGGTTACAATAAAAAGCTAGACATTTCCCTTAAAATATTTTTTGTTGAACTCCAAATCCAGTGATGGAAAATCCACATTCCTATAATGGGTATATGTTTATTCAACAGTACAGTAAACCCTCGCTATGCGCAAATTTCTGGATTAGAAAGTTTGGCGTATTGGCGAGTTGCTAAATATTTACTAATTCTCTATTGGAAACTCGCTGAACTCGAGGATTTGCGAGTGTACGTTCCAGGCCACCGACATCGGGGAGATGCATGCAGAATGTTACATTTAAAACTGCGAAGATTAGGCACACCCCCTCGGCTGCCCGCGTTGTCCTCCGTCTCGCAGTAATCCCGCCCTGAACTCACTACTGTGTTGTGCATCTTAAATGTATACGTACTTACAGTCGACTCATACATTTTAGTATAAACGAGTTGTCTGCGGGATGGATGTGGCTCACGAGCTATAGTTTGGACGGCCATTACAAACCGGGGCTTTCATGAAATGCCACATTGGCACTGCTTGAAAGGCTGTAGATGCCAGCTAAAGCTGGTGGCTGATGAGGTCGTTTGTGAGAAGCATGTTGTTTTAGTCGCCCTTTTTATATGAAGGACAATTAACAAGTTTAGTGCAGCCAATTTAACTAAACTATGTAAAACTATTTCTCAAGACGCAAATTATAACCAGGGTTAAGCAGGTACATTGTTTTTCCCTATTCAAAATTGTTACATTTGACCAATATATAAGCGGGGTGACCCATCTGATGTGCAGACTTTGTGTGTGGTTGTTGGTGTGTGCCACTCTGCACCCTGCACTGGAACGCAAGTCAGTCCTTGTCATCGCTGCACAATATTGCTCTCCAACATCAGCCGTACGCAGCAGGAGAAGACTGCTCTTATACCAAAGCTTGGGGAACTTTGCTTCGAGTGATGAAAATATTGCTTGCCACGTTTTGCATAAGAGCTAATTTTTTTTCCATCATGTTTGTAGCACGCTGAATCTATGACGAAACTTTCGTGTCAGCTGTCACTGCAGCTCATTCCACGATTCATACGCCTCTTCATCATCAGCCTGGGCAGGTGACGTCCTCCGGCGACTCGTGGGCGTGGAGTACCCCGGGAGTCAAGTGTTCTGGCCACACTCATGTGTTTTTCCACATTTGTGTCTAATCTCAGATTTGGTTTAAAAACTGTGAAATAAACGACCAGGGCTTGTGAAATACGTTTCCGTGTTTTATTCTGGAGATGTGTTCACGCCACTTTGCCACGCGCCACCAACTGCTTTTTTAATTTAACACGCAGGTGGCTTTTTTCAGTAAAATGTACGATGTATAATTGATTTATTAAGGCCACTTAATTATCTGGCCAAATCTTTTTCTTTAGGCACCCTCCACCACCCGACAGCCAAACAAATGAACTTGCCGCATGTACAAACATTACCTCACCCACCAGTGAGTTGAACAACAATCACTTTAGTATCCAATTGCTAAATTTACTGCAAATAATTAAATTACTACAATCTTGATTTGAAGCTTTCGTGACTGCAGGAATTACTGTTTGGTTCGTTCGGTAAAGTAACGTAGAAAGAAAATAAATAATAGAATACGACATTTCGATTGCAATACAAGCAACCGTCATCAGGTAGAAATATATTTTAGAGAGACACAACATCGACACACAGAGACCCAATGCCTCTGTGTCGAGGCCTTAAATAGAGGCATTGGGTCTCTTGTGTGTCTATGTTGTGTGTCTCTGTGTTGTCTCTCTGCTTGTGTGTCTGTCTGTGTGTCTCCGTGTCTGTGTTTTGTCTCGCTCTCCAATATACAGTGAGGGAAAAAATATTTGATCCCCTGTTGATTTTATACGTTTGCCCACTGACAAAGAAATGATCAGTCTATAATTTTATTGTTAGGTTTATTTGAACAATGAGAGACAGAATAACAACAAAAAAATCCAGAAAAACGCATGTCAAAAATGTTATTAATTGATTTGCATTTTAATGAGGGAAATAAGTATTTGACCCCTCTGCAAAACATGACTTAGTACTTGGTGGCAAAACCCTTGTTGGCAATCACAGAGGTCAGACGTTTCTTGTAGTTGGCCACAAGGTTTGCACACATCTCAGGAGGGATTTTGTCCCACTCCTCTTTGCAGATCTTCTCCAAGTCATTAAGGTTTCGAGGTTGACGTCTGGTAACTCGAACCTTCAGCTCCCTCCACAGATTTTCTATGGGATTAAGGTCTGGAGACTAGCTAGGCCACTCCAGGACCTTAATGTGCTTCTTCTTGAGCTACTCCTTTGTTGCCTTGGCCGTGTTTTGGGTCATTGTCATGCTGGAATACCCATCCACGACCCATTTTCAATGCCCTGGCTGAGGGAAGGAGGTTCTCACCCAAGATTTGACGGTACATGGCCCCGTCCATCGTCCCTTTGATGCGGTGAAGTTGTCCTGTCCCCTTAGCAGAAAAACACCCCCAAAGCATAATGTTTCCACCTCCATGTTTGACGGTGGGGGTGGTGTTCTTGGGGTCATAGGCAGCATTCCTCCTCCTCGAAACACGGCGAGTTGAGTTGATGCCAAAGAGCTCCATTTTGATCTCATCTGACCACAACACTTTCACCCAGTTGTCCTCTGAATCATTCAGATGTTCATTGGCAAACTTCAGACGGGCATGTATATGTGCTTTCTTGAGCAGGGGGACCTTGCGGGCGCTGCAGGATTTCAGTCCTTCACGGCGTAGTGTGTTACCAATTGTCTTCTTGGTGACTATGGTCCAGCTGCCTTGAGATCATTGATAAGATCCTCCCGTGTAGTTCTGGGCTGATTCCTCACCGTTCTCATGATCATTGCAACTCCACGAGGTGAGATCTTGCATGGAGCCCCAGGCCGAGGGAGATTGACAGTTCTTTTGTGTTTCTTCCATTTGCGAATAATCGCACCAATTGTCACCTCACCAAGCTGCTTGGCAATGGTCTTGTAGCCCATTCCAGCCTTGTGTAGGTCTACAATCTTGTCCCTGACATCCTTGGATAGCTCTTTGGTCTTGGCCATGGTGGAGAGTTTGTAATCTGATTGATTGCTTCTGTGGACGGGTGTCTTTTATACAGGTAACAAGCTGAGATTAGGAGCACTCCCTTTAAGAGTGTGCTCCTTATCTCAGCTCGTTACCTGTATAAAGACACCTGGGAGCCAGAAATCTTTCTGATTGAGAGGGGGTCAAATACTTATTTCCCTCATTAAAATGCAAATCAATTTATAACATTTTTGACATGCGTTTTTCTGGATTTTGTTGTTATTCTGTCTCTCACTGTTCAAATAAACCTACCATTAAAATTATAGACTGATCATTTCTTTGTCAGTGGGCAAACGTACAAAATCAGCAGGGGATCAAATACTTTTTTTCCCTCACTGTAGTGCTACCTGATGACGGTTGCTTGTGTTGTAATCGAAACGTCATATTCTATTATTTAATTTCTTTTGTTTCAACGTGAGTTTACCTAAAGAACCAAATAGTAAATTACTATACTTAAATTCCACCGATATGGCATTAACACCTAACACGTGCATATAATTGCGATTTAATTCTAGTCCAGTCGAATTTATGTTCTCATTAAATGGCAGCAGGATGTCGCATCTTTTTGTTATTTTCGTACTTGTCTGGCCCTTTGCGGCATACCACGAATTCCGACCGAGAGAGCGCGCCCGGTGTCTGCCGCTGCCCTCGCACCGTGAACTCGAGGCGACGCTGCCCCCCCGCCCGCCCCGCCCCGCCCGCCCGCCCCGCCCCGCCCCGCCCCGCCCCACCCCACCCCACCCCGCCCGCCCCGCCCGCCCGGCGTGGAGGTAAATCCTCTGGCCTGGCATGCGTGGCGCGCCCCCCCGAGACTCCGGCTGCTGTGGCCGCGATGGCGTCGTGAGGCCCGCGAGCCTCCTCCTCGTCATCCTCGTCCCTCGCCGTCTCCTCCCCTCGTCATCCTCGTCCCTCCACGTCCCATCGCAGCCTTCGCGTCCGCCTCGCCATGCAGGGAGGAGGAGGGGATGAAGACTATATGTCGGCAGCCTTCGTCGAGGCGGGGTGAGCGGCCCGGAGAAAGCGCGGCGCCTGTGCCGTGAGGAGGAGGAGGTTGATGATGATGATGTTGTGGCCATCCCTGTGGTCATCCACTGCTAGATGGAGCCCTCCCTCTTCGCGGTGTGAGTGCATGCGAGTTGTTTGACCATACTTCACCGCACTGGTGGCCCGTGCTGGTTGGTGGGGTGGGAGTCCAGGGCCGGCCCAGTATCACTCGCCACTTGTGTTAGCCATGGCTGGGAGTCGAACTTTTAAGTGTTTATGGTTTTTAATAGCGGAGTGCGCGGGTCACGGCGCCAACGCTCGTTTGATGTTTTGTGTATCTGGGTGTCCGGGTGCTCTGGTCATCCTGTACCCGGGTCGTGGTGCCTGCGAGGATGTGAATACGATTTCTTTGCAAGAGATTTCACCTCGGGTTGTTACGGAGACAGAAATGTCCACTCCCAGCCACCGGGCAGACCCTGGCCAGGTTCAGGCCCCCAGCTGGCTAGGCCCACGACACAATAATCCACTTATACTTGATCCTCAAACTAGGCCTGGCCCATGGCCTTGAAACGGCCCTCGACTTCACTCCACATTTTAGCCACAGTATCCGGGTCCTATGTCGGAATACTTATCCGTAGTGAAGCAGACGGCGCATATTATGGTTAGTGCACCCGCAGTATTAACCAGGGCGACCGATGTAATCGAACCGTACACCTCTGCATGGGTCTTGTCACTGCCCCGAATCCTTAGTGAAGAGGGATTGTGTCAAGACAATAGCACAGGTACATACAGAAAATCTAGACTCGCGTGAAAAGTGATCACTTATCAACCTTTATATACTGTTTACAAAGTATATAACGTGATCACTTATCAACCAGTGCAGCAGGAAACAGGGTGACCAGTTTTGCTTGGTTGTAAACGACATTTGAACCTTGCATGGCCAGGTGGAGTTCTCTGAATCTCTAGCTCAGCAGGTGGCATGCCAGGTCTCTTGTCTCTGGACCTGGCATGCATTTGAATGGCCATGCACACGAGATTGTTGTTAAGGTCCAGGAGCTACTTCCCTACATGCTAATCACATAGTGGCAATGTTATCATTCGACAGTGGTACCGATTTTATTGACCTCAGGAATGATCGGCTGAGTCAACCCTTGACTGGGATTTAGAAATGGGAACCCTCTGAATGAGTTAAGCGCTATAAACCATTGCAAGTCAAAGCTCTTATTACTGTTGCATCAACTTTGCTAAATTATATGTTTATATCCTTCGGGTAGTACATAATTACGTGCGTCCGTTATATTGGCATGAAAGCACGCAATGTAATTTTCATTTAGATTATCACCCAGCAGCACAGCTCTGGGTTGGCCGCATCTGTGTGCATTTGTGCATCTCTCGTCCGCACAAGGAAGGACCAGCGGCCAGGGCTGGTGGTGTCGCACGCGGTGAGGGCACAGCGGCGCCTGGAGCGGCGTCACAACGAACTGAACGCACAGCACCGCGCGCGGCACGTGCCGCGAGCCGTGGTGGAGCAGCAGAACCGCGAGGCGGCACTGTCCTCGGCGCTACCCACTCACAACCGCGGGTTCGCCCTGCTGCAGCGCATGGGCTACCGCGCCGGACAGGGGCTCGGCAAGTCCGGTGAGCGGCACCGCGGGCCCGCGGTACGCGCCGGTATCGGTCCACGCGAAGCAAGGATTGATAGCGGCAGGCAGGAGAGGTATCGTAGCTGCCCACCCTGAGTTATAAATGCCCTGATAGTGCATTGTCTTTGTGCTGTTCGCCTTTTGGCGTTCTCTTGTCTAATACTTTGAGACTAGGCTCTAAAGAAAGCTGTCTCTAGTGTGGACCAATCCGTTTCAAAGACAATGCATACATTATCAGAGCATAAACTTGATCTGGAGCTTTCGTGACTGCAGGAATTACTCTTTGGTTCTTTCGTTAAAGTCACGTAGAAAGAAAATAAATTAAATAATAGCATACGACGTTTTGATTGCAACACAAGCAATCATCATCAGGTACAAATGAAAGAGAAAACAAACCTAGTAAACTTAGAAATACAATGCAATACAACACAGAGAGTCGGCTAACATAACAGTCAACACCCTACCTGGTTGATTACGTTCTTCCAAAGATTGCTGAATTTGAGAGAGAGACAGAACACAGACACGGAGACACATAGACAGACACATAAGCAGAGAGAGAGACAACACAGACACACAGAGAGAGACACACACACAGGCACACAGAGAAGCAATGCCTCTGTGTCGAGGCCTTAGAGAGAAAAGGGGGCAGAGAGAGAGGGGGGTGGGTAGATAAATTAGAATGTCAATGACAGATTTGGAGCTTTCGTGACTGCAGGAAATACTACAACACGAGGACACAGAGAGAGAAAACACATTTAATCAAACAAACTTAGCAAAATTTGGAAATGTAATGCAATGCAACACAGAGAGTTATCAGACCATGTTTTTTTGCGTGTTCACCACAAGTACATGTGGTTAATGCAGACAGGATCCCTTGAAAAAGGTTTCTGTTTGGTGTTTTAACATCTTAACACCTAAATTTTGATTTAAAGCTTTCGTGACTGCAGGGATTCATATTCTTGGTTGCAGTCGAAACGTCGTGAGAATTTTATTGTTTTATATTTTTATTATTTTATTGTTTCCCTTCTAAGTGACTTTACCGAAAGAACCAAGAATATCTTAACACATGTTTTATTGCCAGAAAGGGTAAAACCTATTCTCATAGGTAGGAGGGTGATGACTGTGCACTACCGATAGTCTTAAGTGTCCACGAAACAAGCTGTGTGCATTAAAGTGAACAGCTGCAAGTAAAAAAACACTGAGAACTGGGAAATGGTTCTGGTGAACACTGGAGTGACACTGGAAGCACCGGGTGTTGAAAGCGTGCACGAAGGTTCACCCACCCACAACTCGCCACACCGCCACTCACTTCGTGTCATCCTGGTGAACATTACTGCAGCCTTACAGAGCGCATGTACAGACCATCTGTTATTCCACTGATGGATGAGGGATCTCTCCGCACCTTCTGGGCTGTGGGGGTTATTTGTCCATTCTTCACCATGCTGGTCAGTTTGGGTTGAAGGCGAGGAGCATGTATGTTGGAACATAGTACAGCACATTAATTAATATTGCTACACTCTTATGACAATAAAGCCGTGCTGCAACTTTCTTTTGTTTTATGAATAGCGGTCGCTCATCCAACTACTACTGTTATTTTACCAGGTAAAGCCCTCTTGAACTATGAGCTCTGTTTTTGAGGCAACTTGGCCACACATGATAGTGCACTGAAGTGGCTTATCGCAAGTCGGGATTTATAGTAGCAGCCAAATAATCAAAATGCATGTTTCTAATGTGGAGGGAAAAACTGGAGGCCCCGGAGAAAAATCTACACAAAATCAGAGAGACAACACGCGAACTCCAAATATACATGCGTCAGGGTCGGGATCAAACTCGCATCCTCCTGTTGTATACCATGCGAGGGAGATAACATTTCCTCAAATGTCATGTGACACTGCACGGACATCACTCCTGCAAGCTTGTAAATTGCCAAACTCGCAACGGAACTGCTCGTTTCCCTCATCATCACACTCATCGTCACGAGGCGTGTTGGTGTATTTGACTTGCTTGTGCGATCACTCTCCATGCATGTAGATATGTTATACTGGTAGGAACGAAGTTGTAAACTGAGTGTACCAGCCTGCAATAGATTAATGTGTCCGTCCGTCCGTCCCCTTTCAATACTTTAACGAAGTGAAATTTCGTGCTGTTGGGGTGTAAAAATAAAATTGCGCAAAATTCCAATGTTCCTACCAGCCCACCCTGCAGGGACCTGTTAATGGCAGCTTACAGGTGATTTTGTTTTTCTGTCTTTGATACCACAGGCACTGGCATCACGGAGCCTATCCCTGTGCAGCCCAAAGCAGGTGAGTGCCGATTGCATTTGCTGCATGGAGGAGCCACTCTCGGACATACGCACGCTTAACTCTGTGCATGTAACTAGGAGCAGCAGCATGCAGGCCAGGGACACAGCCACAGTGCTGCCAGTCCCATGTATGTTCCTGATGTGGTAAATTAAACCAGAACAGGGGAAGAACATACAAACTCCACACAGACAGGAGTCAGATTCGAGAATTAAACCCAGGCCCTTCTTGCTGAGCCACAAGTGTTGCCACTGCGACACCATGCCGCCTTAATCTACAGTTGTATCAATAGAGATTGGAGTGTCGTGCCAAACGTGCCGTCTGAAGTGAGGGATTGTGTGGTAACAGTGGGTGGTCGAGAAAGCTCGGGCAGAGGTCGACTGCAGGGAGCCCGGCTCGTGAGCGTTGGTACGGAGCGCGTTGCGGAGGCGGAGTTTGTGTAAGGGAACTTGTGGGGTAACCCTTGCCAAGAGGAACGTATTTTGTTGGCGAGGGAAATCGTGTTGGGAACTCATGAAAGCTCATTCAGATGACGTGTTTCTTCTGTGAGGGAGACCCTGGGGTAAAGAGAAGTGCACGCACAAAGATTTTGTAACAAGATCGGCACAAATCAATGCAAATAATAATGGTCACGAGGTCTCATGGTGGCCAAGTCTGCGGATGCCATGGTGATTCCTTAGTTGCACAGTCGACACTCGCCCCCATCCGATCCAAAAATAAATTGTGAATCACTAGCCCTCTGCTCTTTTAGTTTTCAACCACCTGGATTTATATTTGGCTTTGTCTGAATAATGGCATTTATAATTTATAGTTTGACCGAGTTACAGGTATACTCAGGCAATCTGAAGGGGAGAGAGCGTCTGTAACAATTGTGCAATGTGATGATATTCTAAGGGCAATTGCATTGCCTCAGCCATGGTTTTAGGAGAGACTTAGAATAATCAAAGGTTGCACATGTGTGCGGTACATATACATTTAGAGATTCACTGGCATGGGTCTGCATCGTGCCCAAATTGTACGAATGCTATTTCAAATGCCTGACACAAACCATTGCTACCAAGAGAAGTTGAGTGGACAGATGTCTGAGCATGTGGGTATGTGATTTGTGTTGGGGATGAGTTCGGAGGTGATTTCATTTTCTTTATAAGGATTTGTATTATCGGAGCTTTAACTTGCAATCATCTCACAGCTTTAGGGCTGACCTCACTGACCCTACACACATCAGTGTTGGTGCTTGCAGATTAGAAAATGAAACATAAATCTTAGGCTTACCAGAGAGCTTGGATGATACCAAAATAAATAATACACGCACATAAGGTATTGGTAAAGTGCGCAAAGAAGAATGGAGAGATGCATGCTTGCATTTCCACTGAGAGATGGACAAAGGAATACGTGGAACAGTGAACAAACGCGAATCAGAGACATTGTATTGACAATACAGAAAGAAATGGCCTCCAATAGTAACCATCGCTAGGTGGGTCAATGGCCGATGTGTGAGGACGATCAACACAGAGATGGAGTGATGAGATCGGTTTCTGCGCACAAGTGAGACGATGGTAGCAGCACTGGACCGACCGCAAGGGATGGCGATGGTGTGGGGAGACCTTCATCCAGCAGTGGATAGACATTGGCTGATAATGATAGAGCTATTGGAAGAGCTTATTGTAACACGTGGACATTAGAAGAGCAGTGAGATGCCATTGGCTTTAATTTCCTCTGAATGAGAAAATACAAGTGAAATGTATCAGAAAATAAGTTGCAAATTAATGAGCAACCACAAGTATTGTGGCAACATATACAATGGGTGGTGGCATGGCTGCAATCAGGGTGCATGTTTGTGATGATGCCAAGTGGTAATTCACTTCATGATTAAACTTAGCCAGCATTGCTTGTGTCGAGAGCTTGATTGTGTGTGACAGGCAAGCAAGATGTAGGAACAAATAGCGGTCATAGGGATAAATTTGGCAACAGTGCTCTCAATGATTTCTGACGAGTTGAATTTCTCAACTGTGTGCCCAATGGGTGCCGAAAATGTTATCGGACTCTTATAAGGCGAAGAAGATTCGCGTTGGCCGTACCTTATCAGGCAGATTCCTGATGGAAGGCGAGATTGAGTGGGAACACCCGGGTTCAACTCCCAACCTTACGCATGAAAGGTCACGAGGAAAGGTCACGTTTTTAAGGACATGCAGGGTCCGATAATGGTTGCCTTGAAGGAAGATTGACAGACTGTCACAAGCGCTTCACATTGTCGGAGAAATACATTTGGCAAAGTGTATTGTGACGTTCATTTGTAGTGCCATGGGCTGTTGATAGGGAGTGGTGTTTCAGCATTGTAATGCACCCCCACACTCAGTATGTGCGTTGATGGAATTGTTGGGAGAGTTTGGATGGGATGTTCTGAAATGTGGCAGAGTCCAGACTTAGTGTGTGTGGTTCTGCTGGTGGTGTGTGCGTGTGTGGTTCTGCTGGTGGTGTGTGCGTGTGTGGTTCTGCTGGTGGTGTGTGCGTGTGTGGTTCTGCTGGTGGTGCGTGCGTGCGTGTGTGCAGATAGGGGTGGAGTGGGCCGGGAGAAAGAGAAAGAACGACAGGTGGCGGAGCGACTGCGGCGCAGGCAGCAGCAGCAAGCCAAGTGTTCGGTGGAGGAATACAGGCACGCACTGTGTGTGTGCTCACATCATCAACATGAATGAAGCCTCTTATTACTTCGTACTTAAAGAAAACTCTTTGTTCTACCAGATCTCGCATCAGGGTGTCTGCATTATTTTTTGATCACGTCTCGGTTAACTGTCCAAATTGGGGTTTTCAACTATAACTATGTAGTACAGCAACCATCTGTGATGATACATTTAACTGTAGGCAAAGATCAACAAGCACACCCATGATTACGCTTTAGTTACTCACCTGAGCTGTTTTGGTGGGGCCACAGCGAGTGCTCTGCCTTAAACTAGATTCAAGATTCCACCCTGTGACGTGCAGGCAGCTCTGCTTTTCTATCTTGTGGGGAAGATGCTTCCAGTGCTTGGGATTGCACAGAGAACGTACGGTGATGTGGGGGGGGTGTGATAAAACAGCCAGACCCATGTACCCCTCTATGTACGGATAGACCCTGCGTGGGCGGTCGTTGCATGTCTGCTCTTCACGTGACGTGCGTTCTGCGTCCCGCGGTGTAGGACGCGCGTGCGCAATAAGCTGGAAGATCGCCAGACGGAGGACGACCTCCGGAAGAGCCGGGGAGCCTGCGAGCAACTTGACCAGCAGAAGGTTCAGGGGACGGCGCGGGGCACGACAGGCGGCTCCTGGGGGCGGGGGGTCGTGTCGTGGGAATGTGGTTCCTGGGGCCTCAATTGGTGCTGTGCCACAGAGAATAGTTGAGCGAGGGAGTCCCCATGGCTATTGGTAGGTCAGCTCGCAGGCAACAGATAAACAACCATCTTGTGAAGGCACTTGTGTCAACTGTCATTTTAGAAAATTCGGTGTACATCGCAGCGCGGAAGACAGTACGTCCGGCACAGCGGTATTATACGAGCATTCTCCTCTTACCAACAAATTCCTATCCTGAATTACGACCCTAATTCATTGAGGTACTATGCCCAAGTAAAATAACTTAATGATTATACAATCATGAGCATCATTAAAGGGTCTGAAATATACATCTGAAATTGTGTAACTGCCCTGTTATTGCCACCAGTCATTGCTAATAAGTGAAATTAATAAAATGCACATTTATGAATCTTTCGGATTATATTAGTTATACTGATTAAACAAAAATTGCATAAATGACAAAAATAGATGTGGTGCCTGCGTGTGCTTTGTGATGCACGCCATGAGCCATACGGCACACGAGCGTGTTAACACGTGCTCTCCGTGTCCCTTGCATGTCGTGAGCAGGGGGTGAGGGAGCCACTGGAGCCCTGGTTCTGGATGCAGCCTGAACCAGACGAGGATGAGGATGACGAGGACGATGAGGAGGAAGATGATGACGACCAACGCAGTGTGAGTGCTTCTTTGCAGGCCATGAGCCGCACCCTCCTCTCACGAGCATGGAGTCCATGAGCCGAGTCGTTTGCCGATTCGCAGCTCCAGAGTGATGTAACGGGGCTGTGCGTGGCGCATGCGTGCTACTCTCTTGTGCATGCTGGTGCACGTCACCTGACCTTCACTTCACATTTAATTTCCCACTACAGACTAGTGGCAGACCCAGCACAGCCCAATCAGTAATGCTGCTCAGCTGGGACTACACACGCTGCCACGGTGGAATATAAGCTTAGGTTTGACAGTTGATACCAAATTATTTATATGAACCTTCAATACAAAAGCTGCGTTGCCACAATCCAGTAAAGTGACTTCCATTGTTGCCTATCTCCCATATTGCCTAGCACCAGTTCCTGTACAGTTTATGACCAGAGGTGGCCAACTGTCACTGCTTCCTGTGTTTTTGTAGTAAACAACAAGAGAGTGATTCTCCTCCTCCTGAGCGAGCATCTTATCCACTGTCTGGCCAGACGATATGTGGTTCTACGTATAGTCTCTGAACCCCTGAAAACTGGCAGTAAATATGGTCACAAGTGCTAACATTTGAACCTTATGGCGGTACCCCGGCTCTCGCATCATGTCCGTGATGCAGTCATTTTTAGTCTGTTGATGGTCGGCAATGCGGCAATCGACTCATCTCGACGAGCTGTACACTACGATGCACCACTACGGTGCATGCGAGCGTTCAGGGTTTCAGCGCAATCGTCCTTGCTGCGTTTCGATGTCGTGGAGTAGCACTGATTTCGGATTGATTGGTACCCCAGTCGTGGAGTTAAGTACACCCCTGGAAAAAATAGTGTCCCAGAAATAAAATATTTAATTTCCTCAACCATTTTGTGTTATTTCGTACCCTGGGGTACTGCCATAAGGATCATTATACTGGTGCTGCAACAGTGCAGACCACAAACTTCCTCTCTGGTGAGGCCAACAAAGCCATGAACACCACCTCCTACCATCACCGCGGCCCACAGAGAGAGAGCTGTGCGGGAGAGATGAGGCGAATGGCAACTTGTTTCACCCTGACAATTAGCAGAGCCAATCATGATTTCTGGGTAGGGCATTTGTCGAAATTGAGTGCATTGATAGGGAAACCTGCGCACTTGGTGAGGTACAGTGTTGTGTTAGTGTTCAGTGCAATGACATCCAACACAAAAATTGCTCCAGCCTTCAGGAAATGGGCACTGGATGTCATCTGACCCACGACTAACAGCTGTTGTGCCCATGCAGCGCTTGCAGAAGCAGGAGATGCTGCAGAAGCTGACGGGCTATCTTCGGTCCGAGCACTTCTACTGCATCTGGTGCGGCACTTCCTACGAAGGTGCGTGCTGCGCTCGCTTGCCCAAAGGGGTGCCAGTTGGACAGCTCACCAGTCTCCACTCACACATACCTTGGTCACTCGGACTGAACCACCGTTTCATACGTTGAGGGATAACACTGATTTATTACTATGTGTAATTTCTAGTCGTGCAAAATACGTTTGATATTGTCCCCTGTACAGTGTTTGTAGTAGTCTCATATCTGAGTAAACAGGTCCTTCCTTGTTAGCTGATGTTTCAAGGAAACTGCTCGCAGGAGGTAAAGTCAGCCTCTCCAAGTGCAATCAAGTAAAGGGTTGGCACTCATCTTCATAGGCAGCCTGGAGCCAGCACTGCAAATGCCACGTTCCCATAGCAGGGATCAGTCTGTATACCCGTACCACTGTTCACCAGCCAGTGTGCTCTTCCAGTTGACCTCGAGGGGATAATAGATCGAGGCAATGAGGAATGTAATTTCTCAACCTTGCAACTGTGATGCAATTTAGCCACAGTTCAAGGTTTAATCAGACTCAAATGCAGTGTCACATTTCATCAATCCCTCTTGTGTTTTATGATACCCTTATGTAATAAAACATATATAACTCCGATTTTAATTGAAAGTTTGTATCGTTCTCGGTGAAGATCCTTAAGTAAAAAAAAAAATCTATTCAAATTAAATGTTCTACATTTTATCACCTGGACCACAACTAAATCTACAGTGACATTGTGTTTCCCCATCAGACCGTGATGACCTGGACTCTAACTGCCCCGGAAGTACTGCAGAGGACCACAACTGATGGGTAGAGCCAAGATAGTTGTCGTTACAAGTTTCGCAAGATTATTTTTGATGCCACGTGAATTCTCATCTGAAGACTGTGCCCAAACTTCACCCCCGTTTTCTTCCACTAGATGGAGAAAGTCAACACCGTTCGTATGTTAGAGAGTAAAATACCTTTTCTGCAGTGTCGTGCAGTCGTATTCACTGTGGCTACCCGGTAGATTTATGGATTGACAGGCATGGCCACCACGATTGGAAAATATAACGCGAGGGCTGGCGCGAACTGGTTTGTGAAGACAACTGTACGTGCGCATGTACTGTACATGTAACCACAGCCTCCTGTATCAACGCTGGAAAGCTATGGTGCCCAAATAATATTCTTTGGGTCTTTCGGTAAAGTCACATCGATGGTTAAAAGAAAATAACCAAAAACTATGACGTTCCGATCACAACACAAGCGGTCATCAGGAGGAGAGGATGACGTTCGCTTGTGTTGTGATCGGAACGTCGTAGTTTTATTTTCTTTGAACCATGTACTTGACTTGAGCGAAAGACCCAAAGAATATTAATTCCTGCAGTCACAAAAGCTTTAAGTCAAGATTTGCCCAAATAATGTTTTGTTTGTGTAAATACTATTTTTTAAATTAAACTTTAACTTAAATAGTCCATGTGTTTCATGCTCATTGACATAAAACTCATCTGGGGCCTCTGATGTAGTGCAAAGCCTGTGGCAACATTTGAAATCCCTCTAATCCTGTGCATGCACTTGCTGCGAGTGTACATTATCCATGCTCAGAGCACTTATTTCAGCCATGTTTACATTGCCCTTTTTTAAAGTCATTACGAATTTGCCATTGTGAAGTGGCTGTCGTTTGTGGACAATGTGGCTCGGGATTTCTGAATGCCCAATTTTCACCAGCCTTGGCTTGGACATCTCTGGGGAGTTGTGCACCACCTTGAATGTGTACCACCTCAATAAGGAAAAAAAAGCACATGCCACCCAGTAAGGAGGCGGCTCATCTCGTGGTTTCCATTAATCCAGTTGGAGCATGATGCAGCACAGCAGTTGCTGCTCGTTGCAAAGGTTCACAGTTCAAATCCTGTGGCTACCCCAGTTAATACTGTGGGTGCAGTAATCAAAACATACGACGTGCCGTCTCAGTCAGTGGACATTAAAGATCACGATGTCATTCATAAGCATAGGCCAGTGTGCCTGCGTCGTGATTACAATTTTAAAAGTTCACACTGCACATTACGCAATTGGAATATACAGTTCATAGCAATCATGCCAAAACGTGGCCAGGGCCCTCCTGAAAAAGAGTCCGCAATGGTCCAAGTTGGACCATTTGCCACTGCACTGCCATACAAGATCTGGAGGCGGCTCCATAAACGAAGGGCATGGCTCCAAACAGACAAGAATGCAGACAGCAGAGAGGCCCCTGTGGGCCGGAGGAGTGGTCCCTATGGAGCTGCTGCAGGGCTCGCCAGGCGTCAATCGGTGCTGCAAGACAGTCTTCTGCTGCGCTGTCACCTGTGCACTTTGCACTCACTACAACTACTTAAAACACCCTGCATGAATCCTTATGCAAAGTTCCCTTTAAAAATTGATTTTAAAATCGTAAAATCTCAAATTAACTTTCAGAATCTTAAAGCTTTATTGCAAAACAAAATAGATCACGATTTCATTTATGGTATGGACTGCTGCCTCGATTGAAACTTTGATAATTACCCGTCCATTGTTTATATAACACATTCCTGCAGAGGGAGCCGGTAGGAACGTTGGGTTGCTCGGTCAATGGCCAGGGTCAATGGCGGTGTGGTGTATTCCGCAAATATGCCCGACTGAGGGCGGGTACAAGCCGGCGTGAGTAGGTTAAACGTTGAGTTTTATAAGGGCACCACGGGGTTACCAGCCCCTCCCCACCCAGCCCCACCCCTCCCATCATCCCCTCCCAACTCCTCCCCACCCCACCCAGCTCCTCCCCACCCAGCCCCTCCCTCCCCACTCAGCCCCTACCAACCCAGCCCCACCCCTCTCATTTTTGAATGCACGACGGACGGACACAATAATCCCCTGTGGACTGGTGTAACCAGGAGGTTCCTACCAGTATAACTTTCAAAAGTGACGGTGGCATATTACACGCTGGGCTACTCACGTGTGTTATGACACTGATGGGGAACCGCTGATCGTTTTGCATATCAGAGGCATTGTAGGAAATCTGTTCCAATAATGTAATACTTTAATTTTTTTTTAACGGGCATACCTCAGTTCTGTTTTTCACCGTTTTCTTTATCGTTTTTTTTTTTATCAGCGGCGATAGTTACAAGTTTAATAGGTCCAGTTTCACATTTGTAACACTTACAAATCAACGCAATGATCGACACAGTTACGTGTAACATCAATAATGCTGGCAGCTTTGCTTTTAAATGGTGAGCATGGAAATGCTGAATTTGAATGTTGAAAGGCTATTTCCTAGCAATATCGGCAAGGACGCGTTTATTCAGCAGAGGATTAAATGGCTGATGACTGTACAGTTTACGTTAATCCCTTGCCTGCCAAGTATGGATTGAGAAAATTGACGAGTCGGCAAGAGGCACTTGGTTATCCACTAGTAAGTACTGCAGCCTAAGACAAAACAACTGTAAGCAACGTTTAACACATCCCAAATAAATGCGAGTGGTTTTCTTTTGTAAGTAAATGCCGTGTGTGTGGATTGCGTACGGTCTACACACACCGTCGAGCAGCGTATCACGACTGGTGGCCTTCATGTCAACGCCAATTGGCTCGTAGCTGCAGAGGCCGGTGGTAATGAACAAGACGAAAACAGAAGTTAAAACGGAGCTCTGGTTTAATTTCGAGAACAAGCACGGGCGTTGGAGGGATGCCGATATTCATGGCGGAGTGCGCGTGTCAAAGTAATGTGGCACGAAGTGGGTCAAGCAATTCATAGGCGGCGAAGCGTTGCCGTCAAGCCTCGGAGCAGGAGACCGAAAGGAGCAGTTACCTCGACTCATGCGGAGCAAATGCCCGAGGCTGACCATTGCATGGGAGGGCCACGGTGGTGCATTTGAGATTGTTCACCATTGCCTGGCTGTCACTGCTAGTTTTCTATTATTCTGATAAGGGGCATTCATTCATTCAGTTAGTTTGGAAAACGAATTGGATGGATACGTAATTACACTTCCGTCCCAAAGAATATTCAACTCAAGAACAGGATGTCATGTTATGTATTTAGTTTTTACAAATGTATTGTCAGATTAGATCCTGTTACAGGCATGGTGGCAACAGCAGTTGTTACACAGCACGATGAACCCAGCCATCGATCCGAGCTTGATTCCCAGTCGAGGTTAACATCCGTGGCGAGCGATATCTGAACTGGTCCCAAGGACCCCCCTTCATTGTATAGAACCGGGAGCCAATGAGAAGCGTTCATTCAACACAGCGCTCCGTACCAGTGGTAGCCATTGAAGCAAAACCATTCCGTAGTGGACAATCAATGTCAAGGCCCTGTGGACACGGTTACCTGCGTGAGCAGAGCAGGGGATTGTGAATCGCCGAGTTGAGCGAGGGTTTCTGAAAATGCAAGGCCACGATTAAGCGACGAGATGGTGACGCCGCATGCCCGAGTTGAACCGAGGGGTTCACGGGGGTGGATCCCTCCCCCAACCCCACACAATGCAGGCCTGCGACACGGAGACCATCAAGAAGCTGAGGCGGAGTCCACGTGGTTACCAACGACACAAAGAGCGGCTGCGCCACGTGGTTCCCCCGCTTACTGCTCGCCACAGCCCCCAACCCACCACGCGCCAGGCGTTTAGAGGTTACTCCATTTACCGAGAGCTTATTTGCATAACTTTTTAAGAGTCTGAATAATGTATCACATACCGTGCAAAATATGAACCTTATGGCGGGACTCCGGGGTCCCATAAGCCCCCGGCCCTCGCATAAACATAATGTAGACATTACATTATATATGATATATAATATATATTATATATAATGTAAACATATTATATCTTATAATATAAACGTATTATGTGAACAAAAACTGCTCTTTTTCACCAATGGTTTGAAGGATGGTGGCAAGTGTTGTCTTGTTAAACTATGCCTTTAAAACGGAAAACTATTTACCTGCAGCACCTATTTACATACGCTATCGAAAAAATAATTTACACCCCTCTGTCAATCATCGTGTTTCTCAGTGTGGATTTGTGAACACACTTTGTAAACAGTAGGTAAATAGTACGCGTTTTCAATGCGTTGTTCATATTGTAACGTTTATACCAATGTTACTCTAAGGAGTAGTGGGTCGCCGCTCCTCTTATCCGCATTGATACGAGCGGTATGTGGGGACTATGGCTTAACCGGAAAAAAACCTATCTGCACAGATGCATACGGACATGAGACGTATCAAACAGGAGGAATTAACGGTGCAACGCATCTCATTTGTTAAATATCTGCAGGTGATGGGATTGTCATCGATTGATCCTGGCTGCAGACATTGGTAGGTCACAAATAATAATGAAGATAAGAGAGCAGTTGCACTGTATTATACATACCGTTATGACAAATGACTTAAGTCGTGTAGGCAGTTTGAGCAGCTTTGGATAAGACTTATTATGATCCTGCCCATACCCGAGCATGGAGTGCATTCGCTTGTTCAGCTCTTGTGCGCATTCGTCCTCGCTGCTGAGCTTGGACAGAACGATCCGCGCCAGGCAGGTCGCGGCATTTATGTGCGCAGTGGGACAGAGTCGCCAAAAATAAATTTACGATTTTGACTTTTATTCGGGACCCCAGGGTCCCGCCATAAGGTTCATATGCACAACGGCAAATTCTACACGGTTCCGCTCTAATGCCACCACTAGAGGGCATATTGAGCTTTGCTTGGACATTCTGATGTAGAGCTGACGACTGACTGTGGCTATCAGATTTTATAGAAAAGCTGGGAAGCTGCACTTTGAGTGTTGCCCAGTCTTGGCTTAGAAATAGGAATATCTAAAACCTAACCCTGTAAACCGATTCTGTCAGAAGTGTTTTAAAACCTAGGCTTATGACAGTTTGTATTTCAGAGTTTTGAACGGTTCGGAATCCAGTACCAAATCTTTTCTAAAACGAAAACTAATAATTTGGAATTTGGCGGTTCCACAATTCCGGCATACATATTTGAAACGTTTTAAGATAAGGCTGTGAATGTTAGTTTTAACGGTTATAAAACTCAAGCAAATACGACGTTCCCTTACATTCGTGAGGGTATAATACATATTTGTATAGACCAGCGGCCAGTGTCCATCGTCTCAGACCAATGGCTGCACTGTTTGCGTCGTGAGTCTCTGCAAGGGCGAACGGGGTAGCACCTCGGAAGTGATCAGCATGAAGCTCTCCATGGAGCTACACAGGCTCGATCAGCGGAGGTGCAAACGTTGCAGTGGCATGGCAGGGCAGCAATTGGAGCAATGTGTTTGTGTGGAGACTCGGGTTCGA